GGAGTATTCTCAACACTGAAGGATGAGGCCCATGTCATCATTCTGCAGAAGGGCAGAGACTCCGGACAGGACCTCCCCAACATCTCACGAATCTACACCGAGCTGCTCGCCCGACGAGGAGAAGAGGCAGCAGGCACCAACTGGCAAGACTCCTTTACTTATCAGGAGAAGCTCAACTTCAAGATCACGCAAGTCACGACTCGGCGAAAGGCGCACTTGGAGCTCAGCGACGTTGTCAAGAAGATGAGGAAGGACGAGCTGCGGCCACTGATGATGGTCATCCAGTCGTCCCAGCGCAACATGCTCGTCAATGACGTCCCCATCCTCGGCGAGTTCCCCGTGCTGCCACTCAAGTACGACCCCGCCGATAGCTCTCTCCCGCCGCTCGGCTGGCAAGCAGTCGTGGCCAGGCGACTTGTCGGACACTACCTTGGGCTTGGCTCTTGGATCATGCATCTGACTACCCTCGCGCGGTACGGCGAGGTTCCCCTCTGCAACCTTGAGCGAGAGGACCCGCGCTTCCTCATCGACATCGCGTATGCCAGGCGACTGCAGAACAACAATGTCGTGCTTTGGTGGTCTGCAAGCCCTAGGCCTGACCACGCTGGACACGAGAAAGATGACATTACCGGGCCACTAGAAACTGTCCAGATGCCCGCGATCAATAACCCTGGCACGTTCTCTTCGGTCTGTATCGACTTGGAAGTCAGGAACCTGGCCATCAACACAATTCTCACTTCGTCTTTGATCAACGAACTGGAGGGTTCGGATTCTATCTCGTTCAACCCCGCCGGGGATGGAAACGCAGCAGGCGACGATGTTATCTCGTCAGAGGGTACCTTCGCTAATGCCGGTGTCCTGGTGCTGCGGGAGATGGTTAAGAGTTGGTGGCAAGAGGCATGCAAGGGCAGCGCAATGGCGGACGTCATGGTCCAGCATCTCGTCCGTTGGGTCGAGAATCCCGACTCCTTCCTGTACGACCGCGCTCTGCACTACTATGTGCAGATGATGTCTCGCAAAGCCTTCCAGCAGCTCATGGCCGACTTCCGCCGGGTTGGTTCGCAGGTTATCTTTGCCAACTCCAACCGCCTTCTTTTGCAGACTACCAAGGCCGAGGTGGGCACCGCCTATGCCTACAGTCAGTATATCATCAAGTCGATCAAGAGCAAGCCTCTGTTCCACTTCATTGACCTCGAGATCAAGGAGTACTGGGACTATCTGGTATGGTATGACGAGTTCAACTATGGCGGCAAGGCCTGCCAGGAGGTCGTGGAAGCGGAGCAACAGACTCTCGACACCATCATGCATTGGCAGATGGCCACTTTTCTCCCTATCCGCCTGCAGCCCACGTTCCAAGACTGGGTCATTGAGTTCATCCAGCTCATGCACAACCTCAAGCGGCCTCAGCACGGGGACTTTTCTTCGACGCCGCGTCTCACGCAACTGCCACAAAAGTCCCTTGCCGAAGGCGCCGAGGGCCAGATCATCCTCGGCAAGGTCTTTGAGAAGCCCCTTAAGAAGGATATTGCCAACCACATCAACCTGCAGAAGCGCGAGCTCCTCCATCCCGAGCTGGCGGAAGATTACTCTTTCCCGCACCTGCCCGGATCGCATCTCACGCACCTCTCGTCACGCAATGCGGTGCTCGAGCTCGTCAAGGCGCTGATGCAGGTTCTCTCGCTCGACAAGAACATCACGCTCGAGGCGCGCCTGCTGCGCAAGGAGCTGCTCGCCATGTTCGACGTCCGCGAGTTCAGCAAGGAGGGCGCGTTCCAGAACCCGAGCGAGAGTCTGAAGGTCATCCAACTCAGCTGCGACAGCTGCACGATGGCGCGGGATCTTGACTTCTGCCGCGACGAGGATCTGTTACCGGAGATGGGGCCGGACGGGAAGCGTCTAGGGCCGGAGACGAGGCCGTGGCGGTGTACGTTTTGTGAGGCCGAGTACGACCGCAATGCCATTGAGGAGATGCTGCTGGCCAGGGTTGAGGCGTTTGTGGTAGAGTGGACGACGCAGGATCTCAAGTGCGGAAAGTGCGGCGCGCTGCGGATGAACGAGTTCATGGAGCACTGCACGTGTAGTGGCGAGTGGGTGGAGAGCGTGCGGAGGGCGGACATTGTGAGGCGGCTGGGTGTGTTTTGGAATGTGGCCAAGTTTTATGGGTTGAAGATGTTATTGGAGGTTACAGAGGGGTTGAGAAAGGGGCTTTGAGGGACGAAAGCATGGCGCGGCGCATGAAGGATGACATGATATCATTGGAGTTTGGGGAGGAGGGTCTGCTTCTGATGTTAGATGAATACGGGTGCATGAACGAGACCTCTGAATACAACAGCTAATATATCGCTCAACGTATATCGTTCCCCCTTTTACTTCGTGCGAAGAGGCTGTCCTGTCCCGCCCTGCGTTTGTGCTTCTCCCTAGCCGCCTGGCGTCCCTAAGCACCAGTTGCCAACAGAACACCGGTATTAATTCTTTGCAAGTCCCATTGAGCCGAGGCCCTCACATCGTTATCAGCTGTCGTAAATCAGAACTATTGGCATTTACAAGTTTCGCAAAGGTTGACCTTTCCCAGTCCGTCTGTTTGTTTGCAATGGGAATGGAATCTAAGTGTAAGAGAGATTACGAGATGTCGTCAGCCATGGCCTCTCATGTCTGTAATCCTATACTGGTGGATAGAGACAGGTTGTAACTGTTGCCTTAGAAACTCTTGGAATAAGAATCATGACACCAAAGGCCACGAAGACGTATCTATATAAGACCGCCGCTGAAAGTCCTTTGAAGTAAGCATCGTCTTCCATTCTACCCTCCAACATTATATGCATATTCTTCCATCCACGCCTAAGGCTACTGCTTCTCATTCATTCTCCGTACCTGATAATGCACCCGCAACTTCTACCCTTGATTCTTGGGCTTGCCCTTGCAGTTCCTTACCCCAGTCTCAGAGACAGTGGCTGTGGCGTTATCATGAACTCAATGACCCCAACCACAGTCACAGTGCTGTACCCAACATACACTTCCAATATCGGTGGTATTTAAGGGTATCCTTGCTCTGGAGCTCCCCATACGGCCATATCTACCAACTCTCCTCAAACTCAGCAGCTGTTGCCTGGTGGGATACCCGAAACGGGCCGTAGCCTTACGCCTTGGTCCACTGAAACTGCGTTGTGTAAGGGAACGTTTATTGCCACTCATGCGATCTTCAGCACCAGCTCTATCAATTCCCCAACTATTGCAACAATCAAGGGCATCCAGCCGGAAGAGAGTGGTCTGCTTTCGTCTCCGAACCCTACTATACTTCAATCGCCTCACCCAACTGCCTGCACCCATAGCTCATGTTCACCCAGTCTCAAGGACCAGGATGAGATGTCAACGAGATTGGCAGAAATATCAAGCAGGACTTCAGATGTGGAGAGTCGAACGCAATCATCTCCAGCGCCAACCAACATCAACTCAGTTTCTCCAAGCGACCCATCTACCGGAAATGGACAGAACAACTATTTTGAGACTGAAACTCTTGCCGCAGCCCATACTAACACCTCTTCAACGGGCCCTTGGCAAACGAGTCTGACAGCGCCGTCCCACTCGCCTGTTCAAGTATCGTTAAAGACGATCTCACAAGCTTCCGGATCTTCCTCATTCACCAAGATGTTCTTTGTTTTCGTCCTTATGGTCATTCATGGGGCCTTCATGGGATGATTTGTTCATTTGCTGAGGAAGAACAGGAAGAAGCAATGAGGCTGACGGGACGACGCTCAGCACCGGTCTCTTTGTTGAATTTGCTTTGAAAAATATACGGGGATGTCAAGTTGCCGACTGATGAGCCCACGTCAATATGAGTCAGAAAGTCGTTGGGGTTTCGAGACATCTGTCTCTTGTTGCTGCAGTGTCTGTTCCTATTGCGGGGTATTATGGAGTTTCGTCTATTTCTTTCACAGTTTTGATTAAATGAGTTTCCGGCATTTCAGTCTTGTAAACCTGGTCGAGCTGAATGTCTCCCTTTGACCCTGAGACTTTGGAGGTAGACTAGCCCAGATAAGCCAAGGGGGCTAAACGCCTCCACAGCTCCATAACGGCCCGCTACTAGAGGATTATATATTCAGGCTTGTTTACACTGAATTCAAATTTGATGTGGGGATCCTTTAAATCAAGTACCCGGCAACCAAAATAGAGATAGAAAGAGCTTTCGAATCAAAATGCATAGCAGACGGTTCGCTACCTCTACACTTGACTTCCTCCAGTAAAACCTGCGAGATATTAAGTTATGAGAAATTAGGCTCGAGTTAGCGAAGCTCGTTATGGTAATTGTAGTTCCCAAACAACAACAACAATGAGCTTGACGCTTTCACACAATGAGCTGCCCCGTAAGGCCTTTCGACCCTGTACGTCCAGTTATTCATTCTGTATCATGACACTATGCCTCCAGGTCCTTTCAAGCATTGTATGCGTCTAGGATGTGTTAATCATCGGATATTCAATTCCTTCAGCAGAGATAGAAAAATAAGGGGAAGAAAATATTTGGCACCGAGCTTTCGATAGTGCTCCCTAGCCGGACTAGTACTCCGGCACAAACCGACTTACTCGTAAACAACAGGCAGGATCTTGAGTTTGACTTAGAGCATGACTAAATATGGTAGCACCTCAATGTAAATTCGGCTTTGATCCCTCAAAGAATTACAAGCTAAGACCTGTCCCGCAGAATACAGTGGCAAAATGTATGTGGAAGATATACCAACTCACACAAGACACTCAGTAATTAGAAATGATGGAAATTTTCGATTCATAGTGTTTTTAAAGGTATCAGCAAAGGAATTCCATCGGAATGGCCTAATGACAGAATTGTGGTTTCAGATAGCAAGAGACTATTTACAAGAGGAGAGACTGAGATTGAAGCGTGAAAACATGGACCTGGGGAAACTGATGTCTAGCGCTCCAAGTCACATGGGACCAATGACCAGTTCAGTATTACTCGCGAGGATATAAATGTCTCTTTGAATGAGCTCTCAGTTTCCAACGAGGCTCTTTTGGAAGAACTGTGTGAACTTTCCGAACGGGATGAGTTCCACCCGGTCGTAGAGGTCGACATGACCGGCGCCCGCAACCCAGACCAGCTCCTTCGGCTCAGCCGCACGAGCGTAAGCGTCCTCGCTGAACTCACGCGAGTGTGCCTGGTCTCCCGAGACGAACAGTAAAGGCCGTGGCGAAATCGTCTCGATATCGTTAAACGGGTAAAAGTTCATGAATTTGGTGTTGCTTGACAGCGTCGGGTGCGTCGTGAGGTTCGGTGACGAGCCCTCAGGTGTAAACTCACCACGCGGAGTACGGTAGAAGTCGAAAAACTCGCGGTCGACAGCAGTTGACTCTTCTGTGATTTCTTGCGGCGTGCCACCGGTGTATTCCACCTCACCGCCATTCACCTCGATCGAGCGTTGTTGTACCGCCCCGGCGATGATCTCCTTGCGCTGCCCAAGAGACACGGACTTTTGCAACCCATTGCGAGAAACGGAGCCCATGTCGTACATGCTCGAAGTCGCAATAGCTTTGATGCGCGGGTCGATCTTGGCGGCGCTGATGACGAACGAGCCGCTGCCACAGATGCCGAGGGCGCCAATGCGGTCATGGTCGACGAAGTCCTGGGTGATGAGATAGTCGACCGCAGCACTGAAGGCGTCGGCGTAAAGCTCTGCTGACACGGCATTGCATGGCGTACCCTCGCTGCCGCCCCAGTGAGGGAGGTCTAGAGACATGGTGACGAAGCCCTGTTCTGCTAGCTTTGTGGCATAGAGATTCGCGCTTTGCTCCTTGACCGCGCCCATGGGGTGGCCGACAACAATAGCAGAGGTATTGACAGTGATGTCGAGGTTGTTGTGGGTGAATAGGCTGCCAGCGACGGTCGTATTATACTGAGTCTGGAAAGTGATGGGCTGAATTGTGACGACATTGCTACGGTAGAAGTTGTCTGCTCCGTAGGACAGGTTTTGTGCCGCAGTCGACATTGTGTGGACGACTGCCATCAGGCCGACTGCGGTGATGCCACTTCCTACGCGCATCGTCATGTTGCTGCTGTTGAGTGGGTATTTGTTTGTAAAAAGAGGTGAAATTGTAGGTTAGTCTACGGAAACATATTCGTCATTTTGGATGGCATACTGTTCGTCTTATAGTTGATGAGATGAACGACAGATCTAGCAATACTGACGTCTTGGTCCTGGAAAGCAAATATCGAGCAGGACGTTGCGTACGATGGCCCACTGTCATCAAGTTGCATGAGAATAGTCTTGGAAAGTGTACTTGTACCTATATCTGAGTGCTGATCGCCTAGGACTTGATGAAGGTACCTTGTTAATGTCATCCAGTTGCATTAGCGTCAACTTTATGTGGAAATTGGCGCGTGAGCGCTGTCTTGGCACAAACGTCACGTCTATTGCGTTACGACGCTTAAGGATACAACCTATATTAGTGTAGGCTAGACCTCGAGTCAATGGCGATGGACATATCGCTGTTTGGACCGAAGAAACTCGCGTATGTCTTGGCAGCTGATGCCTTTGCAATCTACATCTTTCCCTCTCTAAGCCACACAGTCGAAGATACCATCGGTATGATGGAAATTACCCCTCAGACATCTCCCGCGTTATTCTAAACTCAAAAGTGAATTCATCACATAAATCCTTAGACAAGAAACAGCTACTCACCGTTCTCTACCAAAATTTTCTAACCAAGACCACCAACCATTTAGGCAGGACTAATCATGGCTATTTGATTTACAGCTCGCCTTCCGCATTATGCTACTAAGGTGCACGGAAACCTTGAGACCTTCGTAACAAGTCATACGCTAATTTTAATTGTAAATGAATAAGACAGCCGTGGATTTTGGGCCTAGTGAAACTGGCCGGGACTGGGAGGTGTTAGACGCTGAAGCTGGACACCGAGTTTAGAGACAAGTCCCTAACAGCCCGTTGTAACAACTATGTCAGCAGGCCTAGTCGAATAACAGTCTCCCCACTCGAATACACTAAAAATTATGAAATAATTTGAAAACTGATCAAGCAGAGCAGTCTGATTTAATCCATTACATGTGAGGTCGAGATAACGGGAAAGACACATAAGAAGCTTTGTCCGGCTCTTAAAGAGCATAAAGATATCCCTTCCCAGCGGCCCACGAAAGCGGTGTCTGGCCGTATGTATACCGAAAGTTCAAGTCAATATCTTTGTTCTCTGTTGAATGGATTCTCTCTTCCTGAGAGAACCCGTTTGTACGATCGTACTCGGGTTAAAGTTAGGGTGAACCAAAGATGTATTTTCTGTGATTATCTTCCTAACTACAAGACTTGGCTTTCGTACACGAGATATATGATCTCGTACGTCCCTGAGTCAGTTCGGCATGAATATACTTTTGATCCCCTCACTGGATAACCGAGAGCCGAATATCCAGTCTGTGCCCTCTGCCATGATGTGTGTCCCTGAGTCGTGCGTGTCGTACAACCAGCTGGTGCTGTTATTCCAACATTCTCGAATATTGTTTTCGCAGCATCTCGATTCCTCTTTTGTGTTGGGGAGTGACGAGGAAGAGCCATTGTCTACGACTTCTCGTGCCAAGCCTTATCAAGGCGAAATGCAAGCTTTAATTGTTGGAAGTTATCTTGAGTCAAAATTTTCATTCGATTACTGCTTTGTAGGTTAATAATTGCGGAAAGGTAACAGAAGAGAACATGTAGAGTTTTCGCTTCCTTAAATAAATTACAGAATATAAGAATTGAGCGCAGCTCATGTGGGGTGTATTTGGTTGGGCATGCCTACACAAGTTACTTTGTAAGGCCTCATGATCTGCCAACTCCATCAAGCTAGATGTGCTACTATAGCCATATGTGGCGACTGAAGAGTGCCTGTTGGGATGGGTCAAGGTAATTCGCGTCAATAGGGGCATGGATACTACTACATGGTATTCGTCAAGCGTATTAGATGAGTGCAAGGTGATCAGGTCTATAGAGAGCGGTGCGGTGCAGTGGACAACCACAACCTCCCCTTATAGCCACGCAAGATGCCTTTAGCCAGCCGCGAATCTGCAGTTCTGATCAGTTCAAATGTGCCCTGATCAGGCTTGGCTGGAACGCGATAGATAAAGTAGAGACTCCCATAGTTCTTGTGTCGAGGTGATCAGGGTGTTGGTCATCACGAAAGACAGAAAGGATGCTCCCTTGAGCGTAGAAAAGTCTGATGAGTGTCCGTTGATTGAGCATGTCTGACCTGAGTCCTTCTGTGTCTTCGAGGTTTCTATACCCCTGATCAGACCATGCTTAGCTAAGAAATCAAAGAAACTAAACGCAAAGACCACATCAATGGGAGCAGGAAACCCTGCCCCGTTCCAGTATATACCCATTGCTACTCGAAGATATACCCAAATGACACATAACACAGTTCTGGGAGACTCGCCTGCCTACATTTCAAGTGGACATTTTGAATATTCTTCAGCTCTGATAGGTCATTACATGCGTCCCTCCATTGATTGACCAAATATCACCCGTAATGTATGCTGCATCAGATGAAATCATGAATGCTAAAAGTGCACCAACCTCCTCAAGCTTCCCAAGCCTCCGAAGAGGAACTCTCTTCAGACCCTCTTGCATCGCTGGACTTGCCGCTATGCCTCTCTCCAAAGCGGCAGTCAAGATAGGGCCGAGAGCAACCGTGTTGCACCGAACATTGTCGGAACCGTACGTCGCAGCCGTGTGGCGTGTCAAGGCATGCACAGCTGCTTTCGAAGCTGCATATGCCACTCGTATTGGCTCTGGAGTTCCCATAAAGTGACCACCCATCTGTGATAGGATCAGTACATGGCAAGTGTCTGGCCCCACTATATACACAGTCACGATGACTGACAAGGTACCCACTGCCTGGGAACAGAAAGGGTAATGCCAAAGACTTACACTGGATATATTAATGATCGTGCCACCCCCTGCCTTTTTGAGATGTGGTAGAGAGTATTTTGTTGTCAAAGCATAGCCAGTAGTATTGACTAGGAACGTTCGTTGCCAGACCTTGGTGTCCATATCCAAAACAGATGTGTCGTTTCCCAAGTTCTGAGGGCTGAGGTCGGCACCAATATTTAGCAAGCTGTCAAGCCCGCCGAGCCACTCGGTGCCTCTCTCGACCAGAGCCTTGATAGAGTCCTCGTCTGAGAGATCGAACTCAATGACAATAGCGCTGCCCCCAGACTTGGTGATCTCTTCACCAACTTCTTTCGCAGCGGTGATATTGATGTCGGCCACGACGACTTTAGCTCCGCGGGCGGCGAGGAGTTTGGCCGTGCCGGCTCCGACACCCGTGGCCGCACCAGCCACAATAACGCGCAGTCCAGTTACACTCGCCATTTTCTTCGAACTTTGTGGGGTAAATAGAGGTTAGGTTCAATTGGATGTTTGATAGCGATCGTTCGTATGAGGCCTGTCTGAATTCATAGAGTCCCGTTCGTTATATATCTCTTTCTTATACCTTATTATTTTATATCGTAAAGCTGCCTACCATCCTGATTCTGCCTCGGGATCGGGAAGAACCCCCTGTAATGCGGGACCGAAACCGAGACCGGGGTTTCATTCGCGAAGTTACAATCCCCGTCTCCCTCAATCTTGGCGAAAAGAAACAGCCCGTAGAATTTAAGCAGCTAAGGATGTAAGATACCTGCCATGCGCGGAGAGTATGAGATACCATGTTCAGACCAATAGAATCACATAAAATACAATTTTCGATGCGTCAAGGCCCAGGCCGTAGGAAGCATGGCAGTGCACATGAATACAAAAGAAGGTTCAGCCATCTGAACGGAGCAGCTGATGGCCTATCACCTCATCTTTGACAAGGCGGCATTTCATACAGTCCGAGATAGGTTGAAGCGACTCATATAAAACCAGAAGACCGGCTCTCGCCTTATTTTCTCCTACGGTTCAGCGCATCAACCATCCCCCCTCATTTGCATTCTTTCAGATCCAAGTCTCTCGCCAAACACCCCTCCCATTGTACTAAAACTATGGCGGATTCATCGAGTGCCGCAGCTGCTGCAGCAGCAACCCTGCTTGAACGCTTCAGTTCCGGCTCTTCAGTCAAGCTGCTAGCAACTGCGCTAGCCATATTTGCCGCAATCTTGCTCGTCATTGACAAGCTCATTGCTGCGCCCGTGGATCCTCGCGAGCCCCCTGTTGTCAAAGGAATCCTCCCCGTTGTTGGTCACTGGATCTCTGTAAATACATCGTACCCAGGCGTTTACGAGAAGCTTGCGTAAGTATCTCCATTAAAGATCGTTGTTTAGACGAAACCTCAAGCGTGGAGGAGGAAGAATGAAGTGCTGACTCCCTCACCCATCTCGCAGCAAACAAAGCAAGTTGCCTGTCTGCACCATTCCCGTCCTTAACAAGAAGATGTATGTCATCAACAGTGCAAATCTTGTGCAGAGTGCGATGCGCAACAAAACACTGGAGTTTGGCGCTCGTATCGAAGAGATCGGCCGTATCATGGGCGTGGACCCCGTCATCGTTAAAAGGCTTGTGAAGGAAAATGCTGTTGAGGAGATTTCTCGCGTCACCGTCTCAGCCCTGTCCGGAGACAACTTGCTAAGTCTAAATTTGAATGCGTTGAAGTACATCGGCAGTCGCTTCAATGAGGTCAAGCCTGAGAACCCCCTGCAGATCGACGACGTTCACCACTGGGCCCGCGATCTCATCGGACAAGCCACTACTCGAGCTTTGTATGGCGAGCATAGCCCTTTCAACAATCCGGAGTTAGTTGAAGCCATCTGGTACGTTTGTTAGTTTTACCGCTTACTGACAGCTTACTATTCATCTTCCGATTTTCCTTTGCTAACCAGTCTACCGTAGGACATATGAATCAGGTCTTGGAAAGCTTCAGTACGGTTGGATCTCAAAGTTCATTGCTGGCAAGGCGCTGGAAGCCAGAAAGAAGATAGTCACAGGTCTGGTCGGCTACTACATGCGCAAACTTGATCAGGGCGAAACTGTCTCCGCCGTTATAAAGGGCCGGGCAGAGTTTTGGCGCTCATTCGGCCTCTCTGATATCATGCTCGGTGCTATGGATTCCCTCCCGGCATCATCAACTGTCAACACGGCACCGTCGATGTTCTGGCTCATTGTTAATGTCTTCGCTGAGCCAAAGTACCTGTTCCACGTCCGCCAGGAGCTCGAGAACGGTAACGTCATCTCCATCACCCAGGAGGGTGACAAGCGCGTCGCCACTGTCGATGTTTCCGAGCTCGGAAAGTCGTGCCATTACCTCGTGGCATGTTACCGCGAGACTCTTCGTATGGAGAACACCGTCACCGGAAGCCGAACCGTCACAAGCAAGGATACAACCATCACCGACCATGAGACCGGACGCGAGTACCTTCTAAAGGAGGGCGTCGAGGTTCAATGGAGTGCGTCCGTGATGCACAAGAAGCCGATCTGGGGCGAGGACAGCGAGCACTTCAACCCCGGAAGATGGCTGAAGAGGACCCCCGAGATTAACAAGGGCTCCAAGGAGTCATTTGTGCCTTTTGGCGGCGGCAAGCATCTTTGCCCTGGTCGAAATTTTGCGTTTGCTGAGCTCTTGGGCTGCTTGGCTGTTTTGGCAGTGGGTTTTGAGCTTGAAGGAGTTGAGGTCCCAGATCATGCTATGTTGTTTTCAACTTCTGGTCTACGTTCCCCTATCTATGGAAACAAGTCTAGCAGAGCAACTTTGAAGAGGAGAGTGGGATGGGAAGGCGTTGAGTGGAGATATAAATGAGGAGATTGAGATGTTAACAGGGATAAGTGGAGGTTTTCTCCAGGCAGAATGAGCATACGAGAGGACTATAATCTGTCAATCATGATGATGTACAATAGGCATCGCAAAGTGTATGCACTCCGCTTATTTTGTTCCATTCGGGTACAGTTCATTGGGGTAAAGCTCTTCACGCCCTAAAGAATGGAAATGCTCTCATCGGATATCTTGTCATAGTACAGCATTCTCCTCAACTTTGAATACAAATGCTTGATGGCTTGTGGGTCGTTTTCTGTCTCTCCTGCTCCACGTCCCCAAAGGGCCATTGGCCTTAGATTACATGGAATCTACACTCAAAGCTCACTAGAGGCTCACCCAGACACGCTGCTTTAAGGGTGAAGTTGAGGGTAAGCAAGGGTGAAAGTGGCTCACACAGGGTAAGGCAGGAAAGCAAGGTGACAGAGCTAGAATTGTCGCTTATAGGGGGTTATACTGTAATTCCTCTCACTATACTAACATGACTTCAACCCTATCGAGGAGTATTTAGAGTCCTTAAAATTTCAACTAAGAAGGTATTGCATGGGAAAGAGGATTTATTGCCAGAGAGCAAACATCTACAATTGGCGGAAGTGCAGTCTCGATTTATGACACTTGCTTACAGTACGTGCATTGAATTGCATATGATGGGCGTCCTTGTGCATTCCAGACCACTCTCAGCCAAGGTCCATCATTAGCCTGTGGGACATGGGCATTTTACAAGAGCATCAGTAAGATTTGGCTGCCGATGCATCTGCTCTGCCTCTTCGTACTTCCCTGCCTTCGAAGCGTGAGTAAGTTGTTCAGGCTGGTGAGTATTTCGGGACTCTCTGGTCCCAGACCTCGATGGTGTCTTGAAGGTGCCCTTGAGAACCTCGTCCGCCTATCTCTTGAAAGGGACGGGCATACTACGGAACGGCAAACCTGTAGAATGAGTTAAGTGGACGTATGTTACCGTCCATGTCTCTTCCCAATTGATTACCTCTTTGGAGGTAAACCATAGCGGGTGAAGTAGCTCAGCCTGGGCCATAAGAGCCTCAACCTCTGTGCTTATGATGGTACAGTCGTACAGGGAGAGAGAGCAGTCGCAGTAGATAAGCAGGAAAATGTGCTTGTCTGATAGGGTAGTATTAGCTTCAAGGGTCCTAATCACTATTGGGGGGGGGGAAGCAGTACTAATACTTACAGAAGATAGATTAGCTTATTTTAATTGTTGTTGTTCTCTTGGCGGAGCCTTTCTAACTCGCGCACGCGTGCCACAGATCTCGCCAGCATCCTCTCCGCTACCTTCCGCGAGGCCTCCATACTCTCAGCCATAGTCTTCTGACGCCTTGGCTCAAGGTTAGGCTCCCTGCGTCTGTAAGCCCACCTGTCCTCAGTATCAATAAACAACGGCCCATGGCCGAAATGCATAACGGCCAGCTTCGTCTTGGGTGACCACGGCACCCCCTTGCCATCGGTCTTGCCCAGGGCGTACAGGAGCCTCTCACGCATGCCCATGAGCCACGGGTGCACGGCAGAGACGTACTCGTGGATCGTAAGAAACTCGCTCCCAGCCGTTTTGGTCACCTCGAGCTGGACGTCTTTAGCCCGCGGCCGCTGGGGGTCGTTCTTTGTGTCGAGACAGTAGCGGTTAAGCTCCACCCAAAGCTGTTCCCAGTCGTCAAGGCATTCAATCCTCACGGTGACGGCTGGAACCTGGGGTACCATGAGAGACTCTCGCGACACGGGGTGCCAGCTCGGCGCGATATTGACTTCGCTAAGGCGAAAGTAGGGTTCCATGACGTCGCCCGGCTTGTAATACTGGTCAGGCGCGACCTGAATTGCGCTCTCGAGAGGGCCGTTAAGCGTCCACAAAAGTCGCCTGCTGGCCGGTGATGGTCTTAATAATGTCTCATTCGAGATTGCCGAGGTTCCGGCCATGGTGCTGGCGACAGACAGGCCGGTTGTGTCCATTTTTGAAGGTTGCGTGTGCGTGTGGTCTGTTTTGATTGAAAGTCACAGCAGCCACAGCAGCCAACTTTCCCCGCTATTTCACAGCTCTCCCAGAGCTCGAGCAGACCAAACCTCGTCAAGGTCGAACTCCATTCCCAGAGCACCAACGCTATTCTACCCCCTTGACAAGAACAAGCTCTACAATCATGCTATAATAAAGTCAAGCTTTCGCTGAAATGGGATGAACTCGAACACCCTTCTGAGTCTATTTTTCTGCATCTCAACGCATGCGCACAGCCACAGCCTTCTTAAGATCAGCAAAACTTGGTTTCAGTGGGTTGAAAGCCTGCAAATAGTGTATTTAGATCCTTGCGTAGGTAGCGGGGCAACGGACAATTATTCGGTCGGCATCGGCGTCTGCGGCTATACCCTCCAGGGTAACTACCCCGAACCCCATATCCTTCGTCCTTGTCCTCTACATGTACAAGCTACCCCTTAATACAGCCTACTGCGCATACTGAACAGCTACCACCCGGTGATCTTTCTAACATGCAACTTCCAGCCCTCTAGAATCTCCAAAAGTGTCAAAGGCAAAGTTACCACCAATCTCCGTGACTTCGTCTGAGCCTTCAGTCGGGTTTATTGGCAACAGCTTGATGGTCCTAATCGCACGAAGAGGTGTTTTCAAGGCGATTGGCGGTCCAATTATGGATGCCAATTCAAGAACCACTTAACCATGGCGCGTTATCTTGAACATATGGATGAATGCGCGACGAACCTCTTCTTTTAGTGCTTGGCGTGTCGAGCAGCAGAACCGAGCTTGTTTGACGCCATTGTGTTGATGGTGTTAAACTCTGCATTGTATCCAAAGTGACCGATCATGTCGATGCTGGCCACAGCTATTGGTATTAACTGAACGGATGTGACACCAGCGAAGTCAGCTTGTTGGGTGTCGTCCAGAGCAGTAAGGCCATCGACGTCAGTGTACTTAGGGATGGTGTTGAGAGCATCGATGGCAATATTCCACAAAGAAGGGAACCATGCCCTAAGATTAACCTATTTGAAGGCTTGATTAGGTCGTTTGCGGAGCTACTTATGCTCTTCTCCTTCTGGAGTGAGCAGTCCGCGGCCTGAAAGAAGTTGTAATCTGTTAACCTAGACAAATAATGAGTAGGCATCGCAAAGTATCTATTGTGCTTCTTGTTTTGTTTTTTGTATATATAGTTTGTTCTGGTAGAGCGTTTTATGCGCTACAGAATCGCAATGCCCTCATCGAATATCTTGTCATAGTATAATCTCCTCCTCAACTTTGATTCCAAGTGTTCAATGTCACGTGGGTCGTCTTCGGTCTCACCTGCTCCACGTCCCCAATGCATTATGCCCTCAACAAAACAGCTCCCTACCATCGTCATTCTTCTTATGCCGTGCAAATGTTCGATTCTTCCGCTTTTTTGAGGAAGAATGTTTATCCTCTCGGTATGCCCCCGGAGAATGTATGGCATGAGACCTCCTTCGAGGATGCAAACTTCGTCTCCTATTCGCATGTTTTCCGGCCCTACACCGATTTGACCACCTCCTGTCATAAACAAACGGCATCCTGCCGCCATAGTTTGAACAGTATCTTCGATCCACTGAATTTCCTCTGCTTCAAGTGGCTTCTGTAGATTGAGGTCATTTGGAAGCGTGTCTAATTCGTCATTTGGAATTGTGTCTTTATCATCCAGCTGAGAGCGATATTCGCTGATCCAGGCGGGGGTATCCTCGAAAGTCGCAATCTGTGTCGAGGCATCCGGGTAGTGAGTTCTGGGGCTGCCATCAGACGTCTTTGTTCAGTGTAGTAAAGGAGCAACTTTCATACCTCTGCCTGACCCAAAGTATGACTCGCTGTCGCTGTTCCGGTTCAAGTGAATGCAGACTACCCCCGCTTTCACTAGAGACTCGCAAAGAATAGCAAAGACAGGTCGCGACAATATTAAGAAACGATTCCTTATATATTCGCCAAACTTTGTTCATGCCATCGCTTGGTCGAATTTGAGCAATGGCTGAGCTAATATTCGAAAGGTCGCTCATGATAACTTCACTGACTGTCTCGGCGAAGCCACAATGCACGCTGTTCAAGACCAATGCCTGACGTTGCTGGTCTTCAGAAGCGTAGGGGTGTTTTGTATACCTATAAATTGTTGGGAGTAGATGAACAGCCCCCCAAGTTGAATCATCGTCCATGGCTACCAGACGCTCGATATGCTGTCGGGGAACTAACGTTGCACCATTGCACGTGGGTAGATCAACGGGGCGTTGTTTGAACATGGCACGGCTGGCGTTAAAGTGCAGTGGGATTTCTCCCTGAAGACGGAAGCGACGTTGATCAAAACCTGGCGCTATATTCTCGGAAGACCAGTCAGGAACCCATGAAGGAATGTCCGTACGAGATTTCGCAAGCAAGTCGAACGTCGTCATCCAAATGAGACCGGTTTGTAAGATAATCTCATACGCTACTGAACTGAATAGATCGCTGATATGGATATCGTAGTCGGCCTTGATGTGAACGTCGCTGTTTTGGAAAACTCGCTCTTTCTTCAAGTCTTGTGCAAGTCGAAGAAGAGCAAAGACTTTGTCTCGAGGCTCAGACGATTTTCTGGTGTGGAATCTTCTCAGTAACCACAGTAGTGGGCTTGTTGTCGTGAGATGTGCCATGTCCCCGAAGGTTCCGCGGAAACGCATTGTGTCGATGGCGTATACTTTTTCTGCTAGGTAGGCCATGACTTGGTTTAACTCCTTAGATCGTAACGAAGATAACTGCAAAAAGTTCTCAGTTGCATCGACAATGAACGTGAATGGCATTGTGACACGTCCGTACGCAATAGTAAGGTTCTTGGCGACGCATGCTTCCTGTACAATCCACATGCGGTTCCACCAATCACTGATAGCGAAGAGTCGAATCCTCTCGGCCATCAGCTGAGTTCTCTGGTCCTTGGTCGAATTGTCCGTCGTTAGCGAAGCGAAATGCTCGTCAACCAAGCTATCGTTCATGCTTTCAAAGCTAAACGCTATGAAGAAGCTGAAGAGAGAAACGATCTCGTCATTCTCGGATATTGATCCAGGAGACTTCTTCCAAAGATCAGCGAGGTACTGATAGGCTACAGATTCGTCTCTGCGGGATCCGGCAAAATGAACCGGGGGATGTTGACCAAGCTTTTCAAACCGATGTGGATAGTCCTTCCGGCTGCGATCCAATCCGTCGCCAAGGTAGGCGACCACCTCTGTAGCCCAGCCGAAAATATCGTGCATCAACCCAACCTGATGGCTCTTTTCAACAGCAGCATACTGATTGATGCAGATCGAATCCACCCAGAGAACGATGGGTTCTGTCCGCCGACGTATCGCGCGCAAGGCTCTGTCGAGATTGAAAGTGATGTTGTGAATCTTGCCGTTGACGATGATCTGATTTGAAGTCTTGGTGCTGCCCCAGGCATAGGATAGGGCAGTATATTGCCGAGATCGGTCAGCCACGTACAGCGTTGCCTCTAGGTCTCCCACCCACTCGCCAGGGTGAAGTCGAAGGAGACGAATCTCCATGTCTTTGAGTTCCTCGGCGTAGTGAAAAGTAGACATCATCTGTCAAATTAGGGTACGAGAGTTTGATGGAAATTGAAGCATTGCCAGCCAGTCCTAATCCACCTGTGTGAAAGCGGCAGAGCTAAAGAGGATGATGTATGGACAATAGGCAGATGTTCGAGAAAACATCATGTCAGCCTGCAGCCCCGAGCGTCGCTGATTGGCAGGCCGAAAGCATGATCACGAGATGCCACAAGTGGAATTAAGCAAGTCATCCTCGAAATTGATTAGCAGAAGTTGGGGAGACCCTTGACCTCGCTCAAAAACGCGCGTTTCCTCTTCCACAGGAATTTCGTAGTAGTGCCGTGGCCGTTCTGCATTACCTCATATCCATTTAGAGGCGGTGAAATGACGCCGCAACCATAGGTGTTGGTGTTGAATTTGTGTCGGGCTTTAGGCGGGGACCTGACAGGGGTTGGAGAGTACCCCTCCTCAATTACATAAGCCACCTCAGGTAAGGCAATAACAGAGTGGTCCGTGCTTGGGGAACATCACGAAAGGCTGCAATAATTTTTTGGAGCTCCAGAAGCTTCTTGGGCCACGAACAGCACAAGTACAGCCTCCCCCCCGCGACGACATACGAACCCCGAACAATACGCCGAGCGAACCCCTCACTGCTGTAATCGTTGTCTAAGCACCAACATTCAAAATGTCGTTCGGAGGCCAGACCCCGACCATTATTGTCCTGAAAGAAGGTCCGTTACCCCACCGCCCTCTCTCCCCTTGTCGACCTAGAAACCATGACTGACGATTGCCTCTTGCGTAGGAACCGATACCTCTCAGGGCAAGGGTCAGATCATCTCCAACATCAACGCATGCTTGGCCGTCCAGGCCACGATCAAGTCTACTCTTGGTCCCTATGGCGGTGACCTCTTGATGGTCGATGCCAACGGCAGACAAACCATCACTAACGACGGTGCCACGGTTATGAAGGTTCGAAGCCCCATACAGGAAGCTTTGGAGGGCGATACACTGATGCGGTTCTAGCTCCTCGACATCGTTCACCCCGCAGCCCGAATCCTCGTCGATATCGCGAGATCACAAGACGCCGAGGTCGGCGACGGAACAACGTCCGTCGTTGTTTTGGCCGGAGAGATGCTGAAGGAGATCAAGGAGCATGTGGAGCAGGGCGTCAGCTCTCAGGTCATCATCAAGGGCCTGCGGAGAGCTTCGATGATGGCCGTTAACAAGATCAAGGAGATTGCTATCGACACCAACGAGAGCAACAGAAGAGAGACCCTCGGCAAGCTCGCCGGCACAGCCATGACGAGCAAGCTGATCAAGCGCAACACCGAGTTCTTCACAAAGAGTACGTGGATATGCACTTTCCTTGTTGGACGTTGTTAACCATGCGTAGTGGTCGTGGACGCCGTCCTGTCCCTTGACCAGGACGACCTGAACGAGAAGTTGATTGGCGTCAAGAAGATCCCCGGCGGTTCCCTCACTGAGTCACTATTTGTCAACGGTGTCGCATTCAAGAAGACTTTCTCCTACGCCGGATTCGAGCAACAACCCAAGTCTTTTGAGAAGCCCAAGATTGTCTGCTTGAACGTCGAGTTGGAGCTCAAGGCCGAGAAGGACAACGCCGAGGTCCGCGTCGAGCAGGTGTCGGACTACCAGGCCGTTGTCGATGCGGAATGGCAGATTATCTACAAGAAGTTGGAGGCAATCCACAACACCGGCGCCAAGGTGGTGCTCAGCAAGCTGCCCATTGGTGACTTGGCCACCCAGTACTTTGCGGACCGCGACATCTTCTGCGCTGGTCGCGTTGCGTCCGAGGACATGGAGCGCGTGGTTCAGGCCACCGGCGCGACTGTCCAGTCAACATGCTCAGATATCCTGGCGGAACACCTGGGTACCTGCGGCAGCTTCGACGAGCGCCAGATCGGTGGCGAGCGCTTCAACTTCTTTGAGGGCTGCCCCGAGGCCAAGACCTGCACACTTGTCCTGCGCGGTGGTGCCGAGCAGTTCATTGCTGAGGTCGAGCGCTCGCTGCACGACGCGATCATGATCGTCAAGCGTGCCATCAAGAACCACACTATCGTCGGTGGCGGTGGTGCCGTCGAGATGGAGATCTCCGCTTACCTCCACCAGTTCGCCGACAAGAACATCCCCCACAAGCAACAAGCCATCATCAAGAGCTTCGCCAAGGCTCTCGAGATCATCCCCCGCCAGCTCTGCGACAACGCCGGCTTCGACGCGACCGACATCCTCAACAAGCTGCGCGTGGAGCACCGCAAGGGCAGCACCTGGGCCGGTGTCGACTTCACCAACGAGGGCGTCGCCGACATGATGGAGCGCTTCGTCTGGGAGCCGGCGCTGGTCAAGATCAACGCCATCCAGGCCGCGACCGAGGCCAGCTGCCTCATCCTCGGTGTCGACGAGACGATCCGCAATGAGGAGAGCCAGCAGCCCCAGGCCCCCGGTCAGCAGCTACCCCCCGGCGCCGCTCAGCGCGCGCTGAGAGGCAGAGGACGGGGTATGCCTCGTCGGTAAGGAGGTGGTCATGACCGGGAAATGAATGGAAAAAGGAATCAAAAAAGGAATCGACGAATGGCGTCTGTATGATACCTAGAACTGGCCCCCAGGGGCTTTGGCTTTCAGAAGTCCGAATAGACTGGGTCATTTGTCGCTTGTCACGAAATGTTTATTCTCGCATACACCTCGTCTGATTGTCAAACGTTTGTAGTGGGTTGCAAAGAGAGTCACAACGTACAGAACTGAATTCTTCCATTGAGGACCCCGCATTGGGGGGCATTGAAAATGCAATGCAGACACTTTATTTTACATATGTGCATGCCTTCCCGTCCTCCAATCAGCAGCGCCGGCCTACCCCAGCGTAGGCTATAAAGACGGGAGACGGACGCAACAAACGCACATCGTCGTCGGGGGACACAGAAGAGGGTAGGCTGGACAGAATCGCTTCAATCGCCTGCTTTGTCCATGCATCCAACATGTCCAGACCAGGTTGCCATGTCGCCCCTAGCCCCTGCCAGCAGCACAAACAAATGGCCTTGTGAATGTCAGGAACAAGCATACGCTGAATGGTTCCGACGCGTCACATGTTCTGATATAGATGGCGTTCTTCGTTTGGCCTTCAAAGTTGCCTCATAGAGCCACCCGAGAAGTACAGAGGACCGGTTCAAAAGTTTTGGCCAGGCTCCCAAGTAGTTGTGGACCCGGAATTACTACTATACAAGCCAGTGCGAAGTCTTATCAGAGGGGACAAGGATAAGTCCCTATTCATTTCTTTTTCAGGGCCATGTAGCCGCTGGATCGAAAGTATCACAGAGAATTAATCCGAATATCGTGTACCCTAGGTACTGATAGTGTTGGCGAGGTGATTCTGTACTTCACCCTGGCCAGAACTTTTGAACCGGTCCTCTGTAATAGCGCTTGGGTTTGCTGGAGCCCCGGCGCCGCCGCCGGCCCCGCCTTGGATCCCGCTTGTTGCCGGTGGCGCCCCGGCTCCGAAAAACCAGCTTGCGGCCCACGGCTGTTTTCTGCCCTTTTGAGAAACGGTCCTACGTGAAAAGGAAGGAGACGGGGTTGTTACCTAGGAAACTTGTAGACGAAGGGGCGGAGAACGGGATAGTGTAGGGTAGACTACGAAGGGCCCTTTCTTATCGTGAACGCCGATCGCTGTTTCTTTGAACCTGTTCGGTTCTGGTTTCTCTCTCTCCCTTCATCGATCCGTCTCTTTTCAGCCTGTTTACTCAGTTCCGCCTTGTACATTACAAATATACGGCCTGCCCTACCGTGTGTCTCATCCCCCGTCGACAGCGCCAATCACACCAACAAGAGGTCCGTCCTGCGTTCCCCAGAATCACATCCTCACCCGCCGTTGCGAGGGGCCACGGCTGGAATGGGGGCCCCCAACGAGACGTTTAATCACGGGGCCAGGCTTGCTCCGGTTCTTCTGCCTCGCCACTTTTGCTGAAGATGTTTTGCGTTCCTCTGGGTGGATCCTCCAGGTCACACGCAGGGTGGTCGCATGACGATCCTGTTTGGCTCAGGAATGTGATAGGAAAGTCATGGGGAAGAAGTCACATATGTCGAAGGTAGTAGTCACACAAATCGAGATTCACAGTGATAGGCATAATCTGTCAGGCAAGTTAAAGTCCATCCCAAATTCAATTCATCGTATCTTTCTATCGCGTGACCCAGAACCCAACCGTGCGTGGCAGAGGCATACTCGGTTGCCTTGCGCCAAAATCGGGCTCATTCCTGACCCATTGCCGAGTTCCAAACCGCCGCTGATCGCCAAAAACCGAAAACCCATACCGAAATAACCGTAAACCGAAACGTTTTAATTCCCCTTGTAGTTGTACATCCGCCCGGCGAGCGAGAGCGTCGCGAAATATCGTCGTCATTACATGGTCCGTGGCGGTACTGAGAAACGACCAAGATCAAACCCAAGCGTAAAGCGTCATAAGGTACACGTTGCCGAAATGAAGAAGTCGTGACATCGTCCAATACCTATCCGAACGGAACCATTACGCCAAAGGAAAACACCCTGTCCTGCTATGAGCTACCAAAGAAGACGTCGTCGTTGTTGGTGAACATGTTGACTGCGTCGTCAAATTCCTCGTCAAACTTGCTCATCATGAGCATGCTTGGGTCGCGGTCGAACTGAACCATTCCCTCCTCGGTCGTGAAGGCCTTCATGAGGAGTTCGTCATCGGCATCGCCCAGGCCCAGGCTCGAGATGCTCGTGTTGCCAACGGGGCCAGCATTGCCTCTCATTCCAGCGAGCAGCGAGTCGTCGCTGAAGCCAGAGTTGTTGGGCTCGGCATCGAAGAACTGATTGGGCGGCGGGGACGATGACTGGGAAAGTTCCGGCGGGGTGTTGTACTCGCTCTTGGCTGGCGATTCGGGTTGCTGGGGCAACGAGATGGGTGCCTCCATGAGGGCCTCGGGCGACACGTATCCGGAATTGTGGCTCGCGGCCGGTGATGGTTCCACATGCAATTCGCGCAATTCCCTGTGAATACGGGGAGGCGACGAAGGCATGGGTGCGGATGAGACCGTAGTAATTTGAAGGGGCATGTCAATTCCTCGTCGCTCGATGCTGATGCCGCCCATTTCGAATTGGTCGTCCGACATCATGTTGAAGTCGTTCTCGGGCGAGTTGGCCGCGGAGCTGTCCGAGTAGCCGGATTGCGACGAAGTGGAAGTGGTAGACTTGTTCTTGGTCCTGGTGCGAGTCGACTTGTTGACGCGCTCGTCCATCTCGGGACGGTGCTTGCGGGGGCGACCGCGCTTGACAACCTTCTTGACGATGCCATCAAAGGCTCCAATGCACATGCCGCGCTGGCGATGACGGGTAAGGGCGTCATGGCGGGCAAAGCTGTTACCGCATTCGCAAGGGTAGGGCTTGATGCCGGTGTGAATCTTGGCGTGGCGCTTCAGATCGTGCTGGCGAACGAAGCACTTCTTGCAAGTAGGGCACTGGTACTGTCGGTCGTTGAGGTGCGTCTGGACGTGGGACTTGATGTTCTCCTTGCGGCCAAACTTCTTGCCGCAGTCCTCGTATACGCAAGTCCACTTGCCGTCGTTGGGGTCGGGTCCTGTAATGTACATGGCAATCTCATCGAGCGTGACACCGGTCTCAGTCTTGGTCTCTTCAATGTTGATGCTCGCGATGCTGGCGGCGCTGGCAATGCTGGCAAGAGACTCGGTGCGACGATGGGGCGAAGAGCGGCGGGATTCATCGAAAGATCTGTCGTCGAAGGATCTGCTAGGAGAGACAGAGCCGACGGTCATATTGGGGTGGTGGAGATCGGGCCTGTTGTCGAATGCGCTGTGATAGTTCATGAGAGGCGTATGGGGAGTCGATTGCTGGGACATGTCGGAGTGGACCTGCACATCGTCCGAGAGGCCGTCGTAGCCACCCTGGATCTTCATGAACTCGTTGTTGAAGTTGTTCATGTTCATAAAATCCGGCGTGGGCACCACGTGGTCGTAGAGACCGTCGGCCATCTGGGAAGGCTGCTGAGATCCGGGCATGACGTTCTCCTCGGACTGTCTCCGCAACTCCTCAAAGATGTTCTGGGCGCGCTGGTTCGTCCGCCTCACGGGCTTCAGCGTCTCCTCCATCGACTCATCATAACCCTCAGCGAACCGAGTCGGCCTCGCAGACATGGGCTCGTGCTTGACAGCCCTGTCGTGGGGGGTCTCCATGGGGGTAGGGGGGAAGTAGTCTGGTTCGTGTAAGTGACTGAAAAGTGGTGGATTTCGGGTCGACATACTTGTTGCATCCTGATGAGGTGGCGTGGTTGGTCTTTGCATCTCCATGCCCATCGTCTCGAACTTGCTGACTCTGTCCATGATGCCGTTGCTGATCCTCCTCGAGGAGCGCCTCGTGCTAGAGGTTTCGCCCTCAGAGATCCAGCCCTGTGGGGTTCCGGGAGCGTCGCCAAAGTTCATGAACGAAGGGGTCGAGAGGGCGCTGTCAGACGCAAAGAGTTCAAAGTCCTTGTTACCGGCCATGTTGCCGGCGTAGGCGTGCTGGTTCTTGGCCATCATGCCGTTCATCTGGTTGCCATACTGGTTGTACTGTATGGGGGACGAATCAAAGCACGAGGAGTCGAAGCGCTGGGCGTGGGGCGTCCCATGGGGGGACATGAGGTAGTTTTCATGGTCGCCGGCGGCCATGAACATTTGCTGCTGTTGGTGAATCTGTTGTTGTGAGTGTTGTCGAAGGTGTGCTTGCTGGCGGGGGCCCGGGCGTGCTTGGATGCGTTGCTGCTGCGCTTCTCGCAGTACATGCTGCGGTTGTGCTAGTCCTGTGTTAGTAGTCATACTTACCGTAGCAAAGTCCTGCCGTCTTGTGTCCAGGCTGAGGCCTCGGCGGTGGCCGAGAGCTCGTTGACGCTGGACATTTTGGGGCAAGGGCTGGATCTTCACTGCTTCGAATGCCGTCGGTGTCGAATTCTGGCGTCGGTGCGCTCTGTGACGGGCATGAAGTTGGTTGGTTGGGGGGTTATTGGACAGCATTGTGTCGCAAGGTCGAGTCCGGAAGGAATTGTCGTCGGTCGGTTATTGTCAAGGGAACCTATGGGTCCGAAACTGCGTCGTGTAAGTTAGCACTGGAGCCGGGCATTGCGACGGAGCGCGTCGCATGGGATGGCAAGTAGTAGGCGGCGGCGACTCACCTCACGCAGTGCAAGCAGAGCTGCCGGGCTAAGGGGGGAAGGGGGAGTTGTGCTCAGTCGAGGTCGACTTCGCGGGTTAAACAGATGATATCTGGTCTGTACGCCTGTTCAGGCGAGGTGAGAAAGTTAGGAGAGCTTCGAGAGCGTGCTCTCTACCTAGGCAAAGGTAAATTTGTCAATGGCAACGGGCAACGTTTGTCAGGTATGCAAGAAGTTCTTTTAGATCTTCTTGAGCAGCAGTGGAGGTTGTGGTGGTTCGTGGTAGACGGAGGAGGAGATGTAGGTGAGTGTGGTGTAGTCGCGATGGACTGGTAGAGGTTGTCTTCCTGCAGTAGTGGATTTGACGGGAGGGGAGGGGAGGAAATTCAAGATTCCACTCTGGAGACGAACGGGGTGGGTAGGTAGTAGTAGTAGGACGAGGGAGAGGAGGACGACGACGGTAGTCAAACAGACACAGACCAAGCGACGACGCAAGGGGAGGGGAGGTGAAGCCTGGGCTGAAAAAGGTGGAGGGGGAGTTCCAAGTGCTGTAACTGAGGAAACCATCTCACTCCAGACGATGCGATGGGCTGGCGCTGGTTACCAAGGCGTCATGGGCTTTGTTGACATGGTCACCACAGCAACGGCCTTCGCGCCTGCACTTTGCGCCTGTAGCTGCAGCTGCAGCTCCAGCTTGTTCGCGGCCGCAGCGGGCAGCGCAACAGCCAACGACGGCGCTACGCTAAAGAGGGAGGTACGTACCCTGCAGGTGGGTGGGTACCTCTCCCACTCCACATCTCTTGTCCTCCCACGCCTTGCCTTGTCTCACTCTTCGCTTCTGCTCTGCTCTGCTCTGCAAACCTCTACCATGTAAAGTGCGTACTATGGTACATCGTATAAGCCGCCGACTCCTCCTCCTCCTCCTCACAGTCTGAGATACGCCCAGGATAGATCCCGTCATTGTGGGTTCCTACGCCTGGCTCTCCTCCCTGGCCCTCCACCTCATCATCACCACACTTTAAAACATGTCGTCTTAGGACAAGGACCGCTGGCCCTGCTCCCTGCCGTTCCTGGCGTGGTCGCATCATGGGCCAGGTTTCTGTGACTTCGACCTTCTTGTTGCTGCTGCCGAAAACTCGATTTTCCCTTTTCGTCTGCTGGGGGTGCTCGGATGCCGGACGAACAGTCAGTCGATGCATCCATTAACGGACCCGGTCTCCGTGGTCAGAGTTTGGTGTGGCATTCGTCCACGTCGGCCCTCGATACCCAATACCGGCAGTCTCGAATGCGCTTACACCGCAACAATGTCGTCGTGTCGTCGTCGTTGTTGTCGCTATCTGACCTGGGCAAAGTGGGCACAGAAACAAAAACATCCACTCGCCCACCTCAGGGATCAGAAAAATAAATCCCGTCTCCGCAGTCAAGACCCGAATCAAGGACGTGCTCCCGGTCGGTCCCATCCAACACGTCCCGCAGTGCCATCCATACACCAGTTCGATTCGATCACCGATCGCACAACCCTGGCAACCGGACTTGTGGAGGACGACCAGCGGTGCTGCCCATCTCCCTCCCTTCAACGCACACCGTCGTCTGCTGGCGCCGTCTCACCTCACCATCGCCGCCAACCACACGGTACCGACGGCGCACCACAGCTTGCCGGCGTGCATTGGTACAGCCACACGGTCAAGTCAATGTTTCACCCGCCCTCGCCCGCCTCCCAACGCCCAATACTAGGTATCTTTATGTAAGACAAAAATGGTTCCAAAGGAAGAGACTACACGACAATCATCATCTCCTTTAGTCGTTCGTTCGGTCGTTTACACTTTCGCTATTTTCCTTTTACACTCCAATCTCGTTCATTGCCAAATCTTCGTCCACCTGGCCAGAGATGGACTTCGCCAATACTGCGACAACGTCTTGTCTGTACACACAACCTGCCTTGGTACCTTTCCGAGACTGCACACCCCAAGCCGTGCTGTCTAAGGCCGGCTTCTAGATTCCAGTGCCACTTGTCTTCCAAGCTAGAAAGATCGTAAGCACGGTTCAATTGGCTTCCCCTCCCACCTTATATACGAGCCACTGAACATCTCACTTCCTCCTTCGCTGCCCAACCAGAGAGTCAGATCCTCTCAGGTATCAGCGTTGACCGGCAGCAAGAGTAAAAGGTCGTACCAGCATGATTGATGAGATCGTCAAGAGGCGAACATCCAACGTCTTGGAGGCAGCTGCCCTGCACTCCTTACAAGAAAAGTCTACCTCGGACGACGTATTAGCTATGGAGGATCTGTCAGCCAGCATCTTAACCTGCGCAAGAGTTTGGCCGATCTCTACGATCAAATATCTTATTTCTTATACACCAGAGGATTAGGCGGCGTCCGTGGGCGATACGTGCCAAAGACTGAAGGCCTTGACCATGAACCGGGATACGATCTGACCGTGAATGCGTCGTCCGATTTTTTCCCAAGGGAGCGGTTTTCACGAAAGGCGCTTAAAGAACTTTGCAATCGCAGGGACGCCAAGTCTGCAAGGCAGAGCTAGGTCCAGATCCAGCATCTCGGACATTGGCAGCGCTAGCTGACCATACGGCAAGACCGCTTCGACAAGTATCGAGTGTGATGCAGTAAGCCTGAAGCTGTGCGGTGACGTGTCGAGTACCGGACTTCGAGGAGAATAATCGACAAACATGATACTCAATGTGGAAGCTTGGATGGACGGGTCGACTGTTCTTAAACGAGGAGCTTCCAGAGATGGAGCGATGAAGGTCGTTGGATGACACGAGACCTGGACGAGCATCATGGTATGTCTATTATCATTATTTGTTAGGTTTTCGTTCCGAAAGGCGACTTGGAATCTGACGGCTCGGCCGACAAGCCCACAATCAAGACTAATCAGAGCTCAACTCACCGCTTTGGGCGCGCTGCGGGAGGTCCCGGCGATCATGCAGGTCGAGGCCCTCTTGGTTAGGCCTCGCTTGCTATCACCTCTCGGCATTAGCGCCGAGGGGAGTGCGAGTGAAGATCTGCAGTGCGACGAGGAAACGAGATCTGGACGTGCAGCTGCATGTTTGGCCCGTTCACTATTAAAAGATCCCATCTTTTCTTGGATCCTTGTATATGTAAAATGAGAGCCGACCACGAACACCGTGGCCGAGGCGTGACGGGTATCATGATTTCTTGTCCATGTTGATTCTTCGGGTACGTCATGTATTGCGACTCATGGACCAGGATGGATATTTGTTGCAACACCAAGCAGTCGCAACTTCCCGCCTCTTTACACGCTCATTCCTAGGGAAATACTCTGGACCCAGGCCTCTGCGAGACCAGCCCGTTCTCCTCAAGACATCATTCGCTAGGCCTCTTCCTAGGCCCTATTCCACCTCTCCCGACACAACGATCCCGAGCCTTCACTTGTTCCTCCTCACAGATGTTCGGGAGGCCGAGCTTACGCATCCTCGCATTATTTAGGAAGGGCATCGTTGACGCAAGTTCGGCGGGGCAGCGAGAGTTTTGCCTAGTACTTGAGGGAGGGTGAAAGACCTGCCCGTCTGTAGGAGCGGGATTTGGATATCCCGGGATGAAGAAAACACCAAGAGATTTCTATGTGAGGGCAACGACAGCAACGATGTGGCTTCTGGCTGTGAAGTGTTGGGCGCAGCTGCAGGTGCATGTCATGATGTGCTTGCTTCAGGGACCTCCAGAGACAGGAGGGATACCATGTTTGTCGCTGCTGTCGCGCCATGTAAGCTGATGCTTTCCCCTTTGCGTTCTCTCCAATCCTTCCTGTGCAAGAAGACCATGGAATGCACCATCATAGCGCCATCCTCGCACATTAACCCGCCTGCCGCGTCAACTTTATAGCCCGATTTATGGAACACGTCGAGCTTGTGAGGGAGAATTGCACCGTGAAGCAGAGATGTTGGCGATCTCACAAGCCCACAAGACCCTATGCAGGGAGGGAAGTACATATCGTCTAATGGAGGTTTAGTCATCGGCATCGTGGGATTGAAGGAATCGAAGGAGATGCTGATGGATTTCCAGCTAGTGCACGTGGTGACGGGGCACAAGTTCTAGCACCTAATGGGTTGGGGCAGCCAAGGATCATCGTTACATTTGATAATCAGAACTGCGCCCATGTGCCGTCTCCAAGGAGGCAGTTCACGTTGGGAAGGATAGCGACTAGAAAATGTTTAGCTGGAAATGACATGATATCAAGGTTTGATTATAACGAGAAGAAGTGCCGATCTGCAGCACGGGTTCGATGATCATAGAATAGTGACAGCAGATGGTTGAGGGATCAAATATTAAGTAAAAAGAAATCAAAGCTTCAACGTCGTACAAACAAGAGTAGCGGCGTCTGTTGCACGTATCCGCAGACATGTTATTAAATTGTCCCAAAGAATGCGGAAATGGAGTGGCGGATCCCGATAGCAGCATCTCGGACCCGATGGGATTTCGGGCCGGATCAGCAACCACGGGAAGTCCGGGTTCGCGAAAGCCGGCGTCTTGGGCTGCAGAGCGCGGGTACGTAGCGACGAAGAGACGGGTACACGAGATGGGACGCGATACCCTGGGACGCGATACTTTGAGACGTGATACTTTGGGACGCGATGCCTCGGGACGCGAGTTGGATCTCGAAGCAAATTTTCACGCACGGTGTGATCTGCCAGGCAGGTCAATTAGAAAAAAAGAGTCAGGCGATATTGGCTTCTCAGGTGAGGCTAAAAAAAAGGGGACGACCAGACCCGCCCTTTCGGGTCGGAATTGGTGGTGGGAGTACTATGTAAGGGCCCAGGCATAGGATGCATAGGATGTTTTGCAATTTTATGTACGATTTTGGGGAAGCGACGTTGGCTGGGGCCGACCCGGAGAAACAAACGAGAGGCGGTGGTGCAAGAATCAGTCGACGACGATGTGGTCTGGTGCGAGTATGTAATCCGGCGGCGACAACTGGCGGAAAGCAGTTCTGTGGGAGACGACGCTGGCGAGAGAGAGAGAGAGAGAGAGAGAGAGAGAAAGAGAGAGTTGGGAGGAAACAGTGGCTCTCGACATCGGACGACATGCATCTTGACTCGACAGGGTTCAGCTGTCTTATTCGAGGCTGTTATTCACCGCCGCCGGGTTGGGTTCATGCAAGGGTCTTTTCTCCCACGCGTGTAGGTAGGTACACACATAGAGGATCTTGCCTGGACTTTTGTTTGTTTGTTTCGAGTTTTTGTGGCAATTGAGTTTTTCTGCCAGAGCCGAGACCAGATGAAGGACGGGTGCAGTGACTGTGGAATCGAGCGAGTCTCTCATCTTTGGCATTGACAGCCCAACCACTCTGTAGCACATACAGGTATAGAAATGAAGTCACACCGAGGATGGAAAAAAGGCGGACGAAGTCTCGGGTTACAGATCACACGGCCTCGGGAGCTTCAGGGAGCGACAGAGTGGAGGCTTCCAGCCAGACACGAAGAACTATTGGTAGATGGACGGTCGGTGAATTGGAGTGTGGATGAAAATAAACGCAACTGCAGTCTGCAGGTGCCGATAGTGGCCCGTGCATCGCAATCCCCTGTCACCTTGACAACCGGGGTATCTTTTTTTTCTTTCTCTTTGGTCTTGTTCCAGCTGTCCACTGGGCATGTCTATGCTTCAGTAGTGACAATTGCACTCACTCACTGGACTGACTGGTGGCCTTGTGCAGTGCATCCAGCGGGTGCAGCGTACAATGTGCAGCGTGCAGCACTAAGAAACATAATCCACCCCCCCTAATCTCGGCCCCCATGACCGCGGACAGCAGACAGCAGACAGACCGGGGACCGTACCAGCTGCTGGACCGGACTGGACTGGGCTGGCCTTGGACCTGGAAATAACTGACCCGGCCCCGACCCAGAGGCTTTTCCTCGACCATCTCCTGTCCGTCAGTTAATATTATCTTGGCCTCAGCACCCGAGGCAAGCATTCCAGCTTTTTCTGCAACGGCTTTCTTGCGGTGCAGCTTTTTCGGAAGATACGATAGCAGACTGCAGATAACATTGGATACACCTTTTTGTCTCCCGTCCGATTCTTTGTTGCACCTTCTTTGTTACTCTTCCAAACCTACATCTCTCTCTCCCTCCCTCTCCCCCATCGCCCTGCAAAACTTGGAGCAGCCAGCGACAATTTACCTTTATTGACACCCCCGACTCCGATTCTCCGACTCTCGCACGCGTCGCCCTCGGCACCCACTCTCCCCCAACCAGAGGGCAAAAAAATAGCATCCTCGCATCAACACCTCTCATATCGCAATCTGGCAAGTTCATGCAATGTCAGGCAACACCCTTAGAGGCACGCCCAATCGCGGCCAGGCCCGTGGAGGCATCCCCTTCACTCAGAGCCCCTCGGTCACAGGCTCTGCTGCCCTGGCCCCTCCTCCGGCATTCCTCGCCCAGTTCTAGAGACCCAGGCTACTCAGAGCGAAGTTGGTGGATCGGGAGTCAGCGCCAGCCGTCAGAAGCAGACCAAGAGAGATGAGGTATGATCCCTTTTTCTGCTATTGACCCCACGATGATTGCCTCTTGCTCCCTCCGTCCCGACTTCTTGGGATTCGGAAACACTGTCTGCCCATCTTTGCTGCCGTCGAGTCTGCATCGTGACAATCGCCTCTCCCGTCGACTCCCAGAACCCACCCGATCTTCCTCCACCCAATGGGCAGACTCACCTACGGCGAGCTCGAAAGAGCCAGACTGCTCGACACGATGGATACTGACTACTACGTCAAGGCGATCCGCAAGAAGATGGAGAGCGATCTCTCCAAGAAGAAGCACCTCACGAGCCGAGCCCGTCACTCGCGCAAGGCCCCTCCGGGCACCGTCCTCGCCCTGAAGCCGAGCCAGGCCCTGCAGATCAAGCCCGGCACCACCGTCGCCGAGGCCGCCCAGCTCATGGCCGCGAAGCGCGAGGACTGCGTCCTCGTCACCGACGACGACGACCGCATCGCCGGTATCTTCACCGCCAAGGATCTGGCCTTCCGCGTCGTCGGAGCCGGTCAAAAGCCGAGCCACATCACCATCGCCGAGATCATGACCAAGAACCCCCTCTGCGCGCGCACCGACACGAGCGCCACCGACGCCCTCGATCTCATGGTCCGCAAGGGTTTCCGTCACTTGCCCGTTATGGACGAGAACCAGGACATTTCGGGTATTCTCGACATCACAAAGTGCTTCTACGACGCCATGGAGAAGCTGGAACGCGCCTACTCGTCCTCGAGACGCCTCTACGACGCCCTCGAGGGTGTCCAGTCCGAGCTCGGCACGAGCCAGCCCCAGCAGATCATCCAGTACGTCGAGGCTCTGCGCTCCAAGATGTCGGGCCCGACTTTGGAGTCCGTCCTCGACGGACGCCCCCGACGACGGTTAGCGTGAGGACCTCGGTCAAGGAGGCCGCGCAGATGATGAAGGAGAACCGTACGACCGCCGTCCTGGTGCAGGACCAGGGTGCCATCACTGGTATCTTTACCAGCAAGGACGTCGTCCTGCGTGTCATTGCCCCTGGTCTGGACCCCGCCACCTGCAGCGTTGTCCGCGTCATGACGCCTCACCCCGACTTTGCTCCCATGGACATGAGCATCCAGGCTGCCCTGCGCAAGATGCACGGTAAGTGTTGCTCGAGACGAGCACGGAGAAACACCAGCTAACCCCGCCACAGACGGCCACTACCTCAACCTCCCCGTCATGAACGATGGCGGCGAGATCGTCGGCATGGTCGACGTCCTCAAGCTTACCTACGCCACCCTCGAGCAGATCAACACCATGTCCACCGGCGACAGCGAAGGCCCCGCGTGGAACAAGTTCTGGCTCTCCCTGGATGACGGCACGGAATCGATGATGTCTGGCGAGGGCAGCCACACCCATCACACAAATCTCGGCTCTCGCATCATGTCCCCCGACCTCACCCGCGAGCGCATCGGCGACAGCGTTGCCCCCGGCGACTCTGCCTCCCACGTCGGCCTCGAGTCGCCCCCGCGTTCAGCCGTCACCGGCCACAGCCCGGTCCAACAGTCCCCCGCCGAGCTGCCGTTCCCCTTCAAGTTCAAGGCCCCGTCCGGACGTGTGCACCGTTTGCAGGTTATCGCCTCCCAAGGCATCGCCGCCATGGTCACCAACGTGCTTGCCAAGCTCGGGAGCGAGGTGGATGCTATCGGTGGCGCTCCCACGGTCGAGGAAGGAAAGATCTCGGGTGGTTTCGCGCTCAGCTACCTTGACGACGAGGGCGACTCCGTCTCGATCACGACGGACAACGATCTCCTCGAGTCCATCCTGCTTGCCCGCCAAGGCCACAGAGAAAAGGTCGACCTCTTCGTTCACGACCCCGAGAAGCCCCCCGTCTCGGCTGCTCCCCCGACCATTGAGCCGGTCGCCCTTCCCACTCCCCCTATTTCTGCCACCCCCGACCTGCGCCGGAGACGAGCCTACGACGACGAGGATGACGAGGCGGAGGATGAGGACGACGACGTGTCCCACGTCCGTCGGTCGCGCCGCGCGAAGCACGCACCCGAGCCGGACCAGGTTATCGCCGGCGTCCCCAACGAGCTGTTGCTTCCCGGTGCCATTGTGACGTTAGCGGTTGTTATTGTCGGTGTCTTTACCATCTCGCGCATGACCAGTAGGTAAGGCATCTGTAGAGACCGAGGGACACTGGAAGGGGAGGATCTCAATTACGACTTTACGAGAGTCCTTGGCAAAGCATTGTAGATATGTATCGAGTATTGTTGTCTTTACTAGACTGAGTACCCCGACGTTAATTAATCCACCGCAAATCGTCGTTTTGCAAGACGTTTCTCAATTTCTTCAAGAGTTCAGCGACCAAAATGAAGGCGTAATTTTCTAAATTTATGAAATCCCATGCATGCACGCAGAATTGTCTCTCGTCCATTGCATTCATTGTAAGTGATGCTGTCAAATACTAGCTTACCTAATCGCTGGAGCAGGGGGCGTGGCGGAGAATTCCGTCCAGCTCCCCCGAAAGCTCCAAAAATTGTTCCCGACGACCTGCAGCGCGCAACCACGCACCCGCATCACGCCCGCAGCCGACAAGAAATGATTGTCAGAAGTATAGTCAGCCGGCATGGTATGTTTCTTCATGGTCCTCGATCAATTGACACCATGCTGACCGCCCTCCCCCGTGCAGGCCGCAGAGCCCTCGCGGCGCCGGCCGCCGTCCGATCATGCCACCGCGCCATCACCACCTCCTCCCTCGTCGGCGTGACCCCCGAACAGCTCGAGAGCTTCAACGAGGCCGCAGCCCTCAGCCAGATCCCCGAGGACCCGCGTGAGGTGCGGCAACGCCAGATCCAGGAGGGCAAGGCCGTCCGCAAGGCGTACGACGGGTTCCGCCGCGTGCAGAAGGCGACGGCGCACATTGGCTCCGTCGTCGAGCGCCCCTACGTGCCCTCGGCGCTCATCAACGACCCGCCCGCGCCCAAGGACATTACGCTCGAGCTCCTGATGGCCTCGCAGACGCACATGGGCCACCACACGTCCCTGTGGAACCCGGCGAACGCGCGGTACATTTACGGCGTCAGGCAGGGCATCCACATCATTTCCCTCGAGACGACGGCCGCGCACCTGCGCCGCGCCGCGCGGGTCGTCGAGGAGGTTGCGTACCGCGGCGGCCTGATCCTGTTCGTCGGCACGCGCAAGGGGCAGATGGAGATCGTCACCAAGGCGGCCAAGCTGGCGGGCGGGTGCCACCTCTTCACCAAGTGGACGCCGGGCAACATTACGAACCGCGACATGATCAACCCCGGCAAGGAGGTCAAGGTCGTCGACGAGAAGGACGCGACGCTGGACGGGTTCGAGAGGCTCGAGAGGACGGGCCGGCCGCTGGTGCCGGACCTGGTGGTGTGCCTGAACCCGCGCGAGAACTACACCATGCTGTACGAGTGCGGCCTGACCAACGTGCCGACGATTGGCATCATTGACACGGACGCGAACCCGGACTGGGTGACGTACACCATCCCGGCCAACGACGACAGGTACGTCTTGATATCCCCTGATTTGATACTTGTCGTAGGACGCAATGGCTGACTGAATGTACCCCAACAGCTACCGATCCGTTGCCGTCATCGGAGGCGTCCTCGGACGCGCGGGCGAGCAGGGCCAGAAGCGGCGCCTCGCGGACGCGGAGAACGGCGTGGTCGCGTGGCAGACGCCCGCCGAGACGGGGCGGTACATGAAGAACGAGATCAAGCGGTACGAGCAGGAGATCAAGCGGTGGGAGCGCGACAACGCAGGCGAGGCGGAAAACGGCGGCAGCGGCGAGCAGCAGCTGTTGGAGATGCTGCAGGTGGAGCGGACCAAGGCTGTTGACGGCGAGGTCGACTAAGGGTAGAAGGGGGAAGGCTGGCGTGGCGGACGATATGTGCGTGGTCTGGGGGGATTGGATGGAGGGGAAGGCATCGTCTTCGTCTCCGGGAAAAGGAATATCTGGAAAAAAAGAAAAATTGGGAGACGTGACGAGAGGCAACCCTCTTTGTACTAGATACACCGTTGTATGAACATGTACCAGTATTTATAGAATCGGCACCTTGCTGTCTGCGGGTGTTTTGTCACTACATCAGGGGAGCTCTTGTGTCATGATGGCCCTTGGTTGCGTATGTCCTGGGATCGAGCAGAGGGCTCAACGTACTAGAGCTATCGAGCAACATCGGGCTCGGGCGTCCGAGAGATATATAGCAGCATCGGTGTCGTCTCGACAATGACAAATGGGAGGGACTTTGCCCTTGGGGTAGTTTCAGACTCAAGACGGATGATATGGGAATAAAGACACAGTCCTTACATATCCCTAGGCCTTCTGTACTGGTAAAAAAGAAACATCAGAATATGCAGCCTCGTTTACGGAGTACACTTTCGCTCTAGCTCTTCACTGCGGCGCGTTAAATATGCTACTGCTTATAGTGGTGTCTTGCTGTCACTCATGTGTAGGTTATCTTGCTCGGATCGTTTACATCTGAGCGAGGTACTCTACAACAAATGTCAGCCGTTTCTTGTACATACATATATGTATATATATATTCATAGACATAGTGAGGCTCTGTACTCCACATTGAGAAATATCTCATCGAGTGCCAATGGGCGAGTGTTCCAACAAGCAGTGTGGAGTAACACCAGTCGAGTTCAGACATCTTTGCTGCTGTCGAAGTACAGTAAACAAAAGTAACCGTAGCATATAGTACTCGAGTCACTTACAGAACTTTCTTCAGTGAGCCCCATTGGCACTCGGTAAGATTCGACATAGTGAGAGGAAGAACAGGCGGCCTTGGTAAGAAGAAGTAACTTACTTGTATGTGTGCTTTTCTTCGTCCTTGCTCAGTCTTCGTGGACGCCCAGGGCGTGGCTTGACAGCAGTCGAGTCAGCTCGGATTGCGTAGCGTACTTGGTTAATGGTATAGCCGGTTTTCTTTGCAATGGCCTTTTGGGGCATGAACGCATCAAAGTATAGGGTACGGATGCGTATACGGTCAGTCTCTGTAAGGTGCTTTGTATGCACGTCTTTTGGGCGGCCTTCCATTGCGGAGATAGCGATAGCAGTATAATTTGGCGTTGATCTGTCAGATGTTGGAAGAAAAGATGCGGGGAGGGAATGGGGAGGATGCTAGTTGGTCGAGAAGCTTCTGGTTGATGTTACTTATGCTCTCACGGCTCATGACCCACACGCCTGAAGGTTCCCAGAAGCGGCGATCCTCCAGCCGTCGGAAGCCCACAGAACAACTATTTCGGAACTAAGCCCTTAAATGGACGGATGCCGTGTCGTTTCAGAAATTCTTCCTTAGAATTATCTTGAGAAGCAAGAATGGTACTGGTGGAAGGCAGGCAAGGTTGTCGTCTGAGCTGACTTTCCATGCCCTCACGAGCCACAACGAGGCTTGCCAGCGCCCACGTGGGCCGCTAAGGTGGCTCAGCACGCTTAACTAAACCACACCACCCCCACCAGCCCATGTTGAAAACTTCGCACCTGCGCATTTCCCCTCCCTGATGTCTAGAAACCATCACCAACGAACATTTCAGCACGGCACACGCAACAGCATAGCACCAGCAGCTCCCTTCCGTTTTCCCACACCCCGCCAAGGTCAGGCATTCGTGCATGGTGTAGTGGTGTCATCGCAAAGCTAAACGGAGGGCGGTGCCAGTTCCGATCATAACCAAGTGCAGCGCAAGCCACCACCAGGCGCTTTCATTTGCAGTTTGACACCCATTTCGGCATTTTGGCCGACGGAGAGTTGTCTCTCTCTTTAGCCAGTTGGGGGGTGACCTTGACCGTCAGACCAGACTCGGTAGGCTTACTTGCAGCCTTTCCTTACAAATCAAGACCTGCATACTCCCCTTCTCCGTCCCCAAAATATCAGATACCAAGAAGAGGTCGGAGACGGAAGGGGACTGTGCGCGCGCGCGAATCTTATGCGCTCCCCGCCGACTGCTGCTCTGTTTTTGCTATACCATGTGAAATGTTGACTAACTCTTAATCGGACACCAAGTTGGTAGAGCCAAACTCGGCGCAGACGGCAGCAGCTACCCCTCTTCATCTCGCCCGGCGCTTACACTTGAGGAGGCCCCTGCGGTGCCGATCCTCCGTCGAATCAGCGCAAGATGCCGGCCATGCTGGATGACCCGGCGAGCCCCACTATTTACCGTGTCTCCGGGGCGCCGCCGTTTCCGGACCCGAACAAGCCTGAGCTGCCGGTTGACATCGTCCCGCGTCAAGTGACACTCCGGGATCGTCAGACAATCGCAACCATTATCCCATTTGCATCGCAACATGAGGTGCCTCAATCCCTCGTGCGCTACCTCAGCGACCAACTCAACAAGGAAATCGAGGGCGGCGATACGTACCCGATGATGGATCCCATGCCGGCCGACAAGTTTGGCGCCTACTGGTTCCAGAACTTCGGCGCCATCATGCTGCTCGGCAACATCGAGCGCACCGATCTCGCCGACGACATGGACTGGTCTCGAGAGTGCCTGGGCAGCTTCTACATCAAGCCCAACTACCCCGGCCGCAGCAGCCATGTGTGCAACGCGGGCTTCCTCGTCACCGACGCCTCGCGTAACCGTGGTGTGGGCCGTCTGATGGGTGAATGCTACATCGACTGGGCACCCAAGCTAGGCTACACTTACTCCGTTTTCAATCTCGTCTACGAGACCAACGTTGCTTCGTGCAAGATTTGGGACGCACTGGGCTTCAAGCGTATCGGCCGCGTCAAGGGCTGCGGCAACCTAAAGTCGCACCCGGGCCAGCTCATTGACGCCATCATTTACGGCCGCGACCTCATACCCGGCGAATCGGAGGAACTCGTGAGTGAAGAGCGTTTCGACAAGATCAAGTTCTACCTCAAATACGGCAAGTATCCCGCCGGGGCTGACCGCGCCGAGAAAAGCAGGCTCCGGAGCGCCGCCACCCACTATAAGCTGCTTGACGGCGACCGCCTGATGCTCAAGGACAAGGAGGTCGTACCTGACCCGCGCCGCCAGTACGAGATAGCCCGCGAGGTCCACGTCGCCCAACACGGTGGCATCAACAAGACGACGGCCACCATTGCTGAAAAGTACCATTGGAGTCGTATCAAGGAGACGGTGAGCGATGTCATCAGGAACTGCGCCGAATGCAAGGAGCTCGGCAAGATGCCTGCCCCCGGAGGCAACGGGGGTGCAAGGGGGAGGGCGGCTGCAGTGGCGGCTGCGGCTGCTGCCGTCGCCTCTTCCCCGGCCAACACTTCTACTTCTACTTCTATCTCAAATACTTCACTTTCGAATCCGTCATTTACGAATACTTCTACATCAACGCCGCCCCCCTCTGCCGCAGACGTCAACACCGCAAACCGCGTCCTCGCCCTGCAGCATCACCACCTGCCTCCTCTGTCCCCGCCACGATCATCACCATACGCTGAAGTCGCATCAATACCGCCGTCACACACCCTCCGAGATCCCTCTGCTTCCCCTCTGCCTCGACATCCGCACCACAATCCCATGTTACAAGATGAATCTTTCCAGCCTATTGACCCACAAATCATCGGCCCGCCGCCGACGTCCCACGATGATCCGTACAACCACTACCATCCACACCATACGGACTTCCAGGCGCTGCTCAACGCAACAGAGGCAGAAGAGACGGCAGAGGAGGCGGCGGCCGTGGATCGGGACTTGGACATGTTGATCGAGCAAGACAAGGAAGAAGAGGATGCAGATGAACCGATGGAGGGGAAGGAAGGGAGGGATAAGGACGTGTACTCTATAGGGTTCATCAACGGGTGAGAGGGAGAGTCTGTACGTGTGCTGTTTGGCGTTTTGGGCTAGTTTGGGGCGGCGGTGTTTCTGCCATTTGCAATTACCAGACTTCTCTACACGAAAGAAGGGGGCATATCAGCGTTATAAACAATGCATAACTACCTGTAGAAATTATATCAAACATCATTCCAACCGTTGCGCTCGTTGGTGTGCTTAGCATCGCTTGCCAGCAATCCCTCCTTGGGTGCCCTAACCAGCTGTAATCTGCAAGTCTTATTGCTTGATCAAGCACAGAAAGAATTGGTGATCTCTTTCCATTTTTACCTGATTTGATGTTGTACCAACTTAATTATTCTGGTTGGGCTGAGATTGGTTGCAAAGCCAAAGATATCTCTTCTTGAGGAGCATGTTAGTCGAGAGATTCTATGGACATGAAGAATGGTCTAACAGGGGTTTATTTTTCCTACGGCATCAGCTTGTCACAGGTTGTCACGGCTGTCAAGCGTGACAGGCCGGTGGGATTTATAAGGTTTTGCTGCTTACAAGTGGTTTTCCCTTTAAGGGAAGTCTTTCCGACGGGACGAATAGCCACGCTCTGACCCACCTAAGGCCGATGTAGTAATTCACTGATCCAGTTCATCGGTTCTTAGAGCTGCCCCTCTCAGCTTCGACATTTCCCACAATTGAGACTTTATCTTGACAGAACCCCGTAGTGTAGAAGCTTGGTTTCAAATTCAACTTCCTGAACCTAGCAGTCCTTTGGTGATATGCAACCCACCGGTCTTGCGACACAAAACAAGTCTCACAACCATCGTTGTCTGTAGCACACTCAAACTGGTGTACAACCCAGCATAACCTCACGGTAATGCTCTGGTGCTGTACTTTCCGGCGAAGAAAGTAGGCCTTGTTCAAAACCTGGAGCCGGTTCTGTTGGAACGCTAGTGGCTATGGTGACGCACTTTCGTTCATCTTCTTCGAAGTCTCGGCGGCCAGCCAGGGGGGGTGCGCACACTTTCTCTAAACCTTTTTTTCCCCCTTTTGGACAACTACCGAGTTCAAACTACCCACTGAGCGATTTCGGACTGTTATCTCTGTCTAAAGGATTGGTGTTCTATTCTAAGTAGTGATCCATTGATGTTGCGCCTTGTCTATTCGATCTTGATAGTTAACCAGTCTTCCTTGCCTTTGAGTATTTATAGAGGTAACATATGGAGGTGATCTTCAGACGGATTCCACGCAAGCACCCGTCATGGACGCACGGAAGGGGCACAGTCGTAGGTGAACATAGTAAGTAGAAAGGGAAACTTCGGTTGAGTATCCAAGAACCATAGGTTATTATTGGTGTTTTCATGGTATTTTGAGTCAAGCGCACAGCAATTCTAGGAAATATCACGAATCGTGGCCGGTGTTACTAGTGAGAGATTCGTCTGATATATGGCATTATGTCACAGGAAGCCAGGCAAGCCAAGCCATGTCACTGAATGGGTTTCGTTACAGCGAGAAAAACTCTAAATGCTTGGAACGGCTGGATGCCCCTGTAAATATGTCTATCAGCAATTCTGGTAAGACTGTCTTCTGATTGGTTTTGCACGTGGAGTTTCCGGTGGCTTGACGAGCATTATCCCATCAATACTTCAGAACCGACAGCCTTGTCAGCTTCGGCTGTCGCACTCCCAATCCGTCCGGCCGTTCCGGTGGCCTGGATTTCGTCTCAACTTTATCCCAGACGACGCCCAGCTTAATATGGATAAATATAACGGCTTTCTATCTCGTCCTTAGCCCGATTGGATGGCTTCTGACAAGCAGGCCCATCTCTGAAACCACATCTGTCTCCTTGCAGCCTCCAGTTTAGAATCCTCATCGCCTAACATAGACTCTAATTCCGCCAACCATCTGAAGAACCAACGTGTTTGGGTGGCTATTTACCCCAAAGTCTATAGACCTCATTGAGACGGGACGGACAGTTGCGACGAACTTCGGGCCCGCATGAGGCGGGCGTGACCCTGCAGACATTCTGTTGCAACTTGATACAACGAGCTCAAACTGGTTTACGCATACGTTTTGGCTCCTCATCTGATGAAGCATCCCAAAAGCGCTGCCCGGGGTACCGGATGATCGGAATGGATTGGGTGTAATCGTAATTTGATGTAGTGGGGCATGCCTCAGCCTTGATAACTAATTTGTGACCAGTATTGCTTCTCTGGATAAAATTCCGAGTCATTGGAAATCAAAGCAACCTCTATATAACAGAATCCCGAACACCCTCGGACCAAGACCATCATCATTCAACAATCACAAACTGCCTCTCTTCACCAACACATTCATTCCAGATTCTACAGACGCAACACACCGCGGCGCATACGCACACTCACTGATTGTATATACATACATATATACTAACGCACATTATCTTCACAATGAAGTTCACACTGACCGCCCTTGTTACCATCATCAGCGCTGTGTCTGCCATTAGTGTCGATGCCGGTCTGGTGAAGAGGCAGTGCATCGCCAGCGGAGGTTAGTAGTGTCCAGAATATGTATCAGCTCCAATCATTGAATTTTGCTGACGATGTCAACTTGCAGGACTCTGCTTCACCAGTATCGCTGATACCACAAAGCCATGCTGCGGTGGCCTCATCTGCAAGAATAAGCCCCAACCCAACACCAACATCTGCGAGCCTGAAGAGAGTCCCAAGGTCGTCGTCCCGAAAAGAGAGGTAGTTGAGAGGTCCGACGTCCCCCCCGCGCCGCAGGCCCAGGCCATGCCTCGAGCCATGCCTGGGATGGCCCGCGACGAACCACTTTGGGGATGAAAATGTCGATGGGAATGGTGTAGGCTATAGGATTGGGGGAGACAGCGACCTTGATTGTTGGCATTGATTACGACTCTAAAACTTATTCGCAGTAACTGGGTTACTCGGAAAATTTAGACTTGATTTCGCTTTCGTTAGCATGTAGAATGCAAGTTTTGACTTTGCGGGCGTACCTGACTTTGCAGACGTACCCAGTATCTCGATATTTTTGTGCATATCGTTACGTTTGCTTGATGTCAGGCAAAGAAAGAGGTTAAGGAAAGAAGAGTGGCATACGAGATGAAAGAATATCGCGTTAGTAAAGAACATGGCTCCCAAAGATCTATTGCCATGCATACAATGGAGTTGTTTGCTGTGGTATGTAATGCAGGCCACGCACAGTCTGGTGTTTTCGGGGGCGCTCACAATTGAAGAGTGTGCTGTACATCTTACACAACCTTTGCCATTGCCCAGCGAGTCCGCCAAGACAGTGTGAAGCTGATGTCATACCGGGTAGCTTGTTTAACGCGAATGATATATTGGAATGTTATTTGTCTAACCCAAACTTATGAAGGAAATATGTTGACTGAAAACTGCGCATCTGGTACCGCGTGAAAGGCTCTCTACGTAACTCTCACCATTTTTAATGCTTCAATAAAGTATGTGATGATGGAAAAATACTTATGGATTTGTCGGTATTCTTCAACCATCATTCAATATAGATATAAATTGGGTTTATGATTGAACTGGAGATCCAAGCCGCTCCACCAAAAATCTACCAAGAGGGGCAAGAAAGGAATTGATTTCTAGCTGGCGTACCATTAAATAGCCCGCTTAATTACCATGTCGTCGTTGGAATGCTTGCCCGTACTACTTCCGTAGTACCCAGCTCTTGGAAAGCTGCAACTATCCATCATTGGATGTTGAACATCTGCAACTCAAACTAAATCACAATGGGCATCATTTACGGCAGCATTCAACGAAATATAATTGGCCAGATGTAGCTACGCTTCTGTATAACAGTATCATTCATGTGCATAGACTGGGGGATATCATTCGCTTGCTTCTCTACATACATCTCATGCTCACATAAGTTACCGTGTCTAGTCTGTGGTGGTCCTCTGGCCGCTAAAGGCTCTTCTTTTCGTCTCTGATCACCCGAGAAAAGATATTAACCATTTTCTCGACTGCCTGGAAGTTCGTATACTGTTGGTCGTGTGTGGATGTTATCGCCGTATAACTCGTATTTTCGTCCTTCAACAGACTGCCCTGGCAATTCGAATTTCCGACCTTCGAATGATTCTGGCTGGCAGTACTGGACAGAGGCTGCCTCTAGCTCTCCTGAGCCAGATTTCTTTGCTTTCCTCTTTCGCTTCCACATGAGGAACACTCCGCCGCACAATACCAAAACACCTAGCACAACACCAACAGACACGCCCACCGTCAACCCGAGAGGCGTACCGGAGGACTCATTATCAGCCTCTCTGGCCACTTCAGTATTCGTTGAGGCCGGTTGCGTAACAGTTTGTGTGGCTGGGGGGATGGTAATGCCGGGGCTGCTGACACTGGTCGAGCTCGCAGGAAAGTTAAATCCATTGACGGGAACGGCCCAGAGAGTCACGTTCTCTGATGACACCACGGTCGAAGCAGGTTTGTGCGTCAAGGTGTCACTCAAAACTGTCAACGATTCGTAGGACAGTGTCTGGCCCGCTGTTGCCGTAGATAGACACTGAGAGGGGAATACTGGCTTGGTTGGCTGTGCGACATGGAACGTGTACTCTCTACCCTAACGCGTTAGCAACAAGATCGAAAGAACAGTGGATTGAACGATGGCGACATACGAAGGGCAGCAATACACGTGCTGTACGCCGCCGGCCTCGAGTAGCGTCTGCGCAGCCGTGTACAATTCGGGGCACGCAAACGTTGGGCCCAACGCAACGCTCGTCGTCTGGTCCTCTGTCTGGAACCACCACGACGTAACCTGTGGTGGGAAGCACGCCGCCGCACTGTCGTCGATGTTCATTCCATAATAAGGATCCCAAGCTAGTATGGTGCCTGCATCCAACTGACGATATGTTTGTGAAGCGCAGGATCGACTCTGCGGCCATGGTGTCGGTAGTGGAGAATAGACTGTCGGGCGGCCGTTGGCCGTTATTACAGTAGGAGACGCTGCCATCACGCACCAAGGATTATGGCTGAAGAATCGAACAAGAAGCTGGAAAGGAAGTCTTGGAGTCCAGAAGAAGGCGAAGCAGCAAGAAAAGAGACGCGGCGTTCTGCAATGCTACGCCATCTGTCGGCGGCAGGCACACGCCATTACGGCACAGCAGTTGGGCGCTTCAGCTTTGATTCATAACCAGGTTCAGTTGATTGTTGGATCCACGATGGTGTCTAGAAAGGGAAATGATCCCACTTGCAGTACGGAAAGAGCCTTCGTTTAGGCAAGGGCCCGACATAGTGATGCAAGTACTAGGGCCATCCGACCTATGATAAGGATGCTAAATGGTCATGTTGGTTCCAGGTTGTAGAGCAACCTATGAGAGTCGACATTGGCGCTTAAACGAAGCTTTTCAGGCTAGGTCTTGCCAGGGTATGCACACCACCTCAGGGTGACAACAACCAGGCAAGCGAAAAGATAACTGACCATATTGATCCTGAGCGCTCCTTTCGGCGCTTGCACAACTCGGCATGACCCGCTCAGCCTTTTCTGCGTATGGCTTAACCGCCTTCTTCACTTATATTTCACCCACATACTGTTGACGATAATAACCCAACAACGATTGCGACCCATCGACAGCAGCTCAGCCCAAGTTTACCACTGTTCGTCAGCCAAACGAAAAGATAACCTGAAATACATACTCATATTGGGATCTGGAAAATGCCATTTGCGATGGAAAAAAACGCCCTCCTTCAGAATCGAACCCAATATCCAAATCTACCCAAGGCCCGACGATCAGGCGGATGCACGCTCTTGATTCTTGTTATCGTCTGCGTTCTAGCTCTCTCGTTCTTCAGAAACTCAGGGATTCACCCAAATGTTCGTAAGACCTCTAAACTCCCAGATTGTGAACCAACTGGTCGACGAGAGCTCAGTAAGAGACGAGCTAACGCTGGAACACGGCACAGCATGATCTGCATCCGAGTGAGCCGAGTCACCGCCTCACCAAACAGCAGCCGGGACAAACAGACAGCCAAGGCAAACTCCCACCTGTAGAAGAACTCAATGTCCCTGGGGACATCTTTTACGCATCGGACGTTCTTTCAGAGATAGAGAAACAATCGTCTGACAACTCCCGGCCAGAGATTATGCAGCCATCACACCGACACGACGATGTATCTGAAGACGCCGAATTCTATGCGTCTGATGCCTTGTGGAAGGCGGAGAAGGAGGCAAGGCTCAAAGGACCTAAGAAACAAGTTTGACAGCTGCGACAAGCGAGATGCAATCCAATCACTCGTTGATAACCCCAGTTCACCAATTGGGTTCTGATTTGTGTCCACTATTTCAAGCCTTCTGAGAATAATGTAAATTAAAGAAGCAAGACTTCAATTGCAAAAGCAAAAGCTCGGTCGACACCACAGCCAGGCAAATTTGGTAGGAGTGCGAGCCTTAGATGCAGATGCACTTTTTCCTGCCATCAGGTCAAATATCTTGGGAAAAAGAAAGCAGTAGAAGACGTTCAGCCTGGAATTAGACAGCGTTCATTTGGTTGATTGAGATGGCCATAACTTGCGAACTGAGCGGTGGCCTGCCCCTACTTTGGGAAGCGGTGTGGCCTAACTAATTAATGTAAAGATTTCTCGAGCTTCAGTGGCATAACATGCTAAAACGATTCGGAGCCAACATAACATGTTTGTTCCTCGCTTTTTGTATTATCATAAAAAAAGTAGGAAGCTTTCTGTGTAGTTAACCGTATAGAGTAGGCCCAGATGCAGTTGATCAATGTCGCTTCGTTGATTAGGCATAGGACTACAGCTGGCCCAAAGCCCGAGTCTTTAGAGGCTTCACAACTTCGGCAGACGTCGTTAAGACCTTGGTAATAAGCACTTGACAACTTGGAGGCTCCGATAGAAACAAGCTTATTGATCGAGAGCGACAATAGAGCCAGAACTTACATGTAGTTGCAAGCTGCGACTCAAGGAGGACTTGGGGACTGGAACACATGTTGGTCTATAGCTGTGCCGCGTTGGATACAGGACGCACAATGCTTTTCAGTCTTTGAAAAAAAAATTTACACTCTGAAAGATAAACAGTAAATAAAGCCTTGTTCTTCAAGTGGTTCGGACGCTAGTGCGCAGACTCGGATCTTCTCTTGACATTCCACTTTATTAAACTATTGCCCGCGATGGCATCGTATCCGCGACCGCATGCTGGCCTCTAGAGACTAGCGGTATGAAGATGGGTTTCACTGCACCCTCGAGACCCCAAGTCGTCCTCTCAAGCAAGGGTCCAAAAATCATCGGTTTGAAGCCCAGCACTTGGAACAGCGTCCGCGACTTTTACGGCCAACCCGGTACCGGAGTTTGCAGTGAGAGTATTATGTCATTCTCTCGAGAGCGGACAAGAAACCAAGGCCCAGAAAAAATGACATGAAGTACCGACACATTTCCCACACCTCGACTCCACCGGCCGCAGCCCTGCTGTCATGCCCAGAGCCACCTGCTACCGTAACTCCCGAGGCCAGCCCAAGGTTGCAGTTGAATCCACACACGCCTCAGAAGAAGAATAGAAGTGCGGTGCGTAGGGCTCAGATGGGATTTCATTCGACGCCATGAATCATTTGCCGACCACCTGCCAGACTGCCATCGAGCCTTCGCCATCCCATTGCCCAACGAAGGCTGGGCTTGGGCACGAAATGGCGTCAGACCAAGGTAAGCATGGGCGGGGGTCATCAGGGTCCATCCCTCCCTCCACAGCTTCCAACCTTCTTTCGAATTGTGTTTCCCTCGTCTCCGACACACCGCTCGCTGACCCGGAGGCTCCTTTTTGAAAGAAACCCAATCGCTTGATTGCAATATGCTCAAAGACGCCACCCCAAGCCAAGAACCCCTCATCGCGCCGAGGATGGGCGTCTGCTCTGAGCGATGCTACTGGTAGTCGTTTGCTAGTTTGGCCTAGCGGGTTTGGCTATCTAGTCGGGTTGGCTGGTTGGTCAGTCGACCGCGTCTCGCACGCAAAAAAAAACAGACACGCACGAGAGAAGCAGTAGGTAACGAGGAAAATCCCGAAAGGAATGATCGTCAGGGGCCTAAACACGACACGCCTGTTCCCCAATTTACGTTCCCCAGCGCACCCACACTAAAAACCACTTGGACTCGCGAAAGCCGCCGAAAGCCCAGAGGGCCGACCGGCCAATCCCCTTCTCTATCTCGAACCCTCCCCGAACTCCACGTGCTGGGAGGCCTTTTGCGAGGAGAGATAGGAGGGGGGAACCGGGAGGCAAAAAAGAAACCCACCAGCAAGGCAGATTTCCTTGTTTACCAAGGTTACTTCGGGGCTTCTTTTGCTAAGGTTACCTAGGAGGCTGGGGGTTGGCCTACCAATCATGGACGGATACGTAAGGATGAGAGCTGCCCCAGAGAAACAGAGAGGGAAAAAAAGGCTCAGCCCGCCGTGTCACGTCAGGTGACCTCACACACAACCTGACACGCTGCGCCGTTGGCTGTCCCCGAACTTCACGCTTCCCCGGAGAAGCAGGATGTTGGCTGTGCAGAAGACTAGGTGGCTCGGGGACTCGGAGGCGGCGCTCGGGGGACGACACTAATCACGGCTGTCGGAGTGTCTACTGCATGTTCACGGCCGTCTGTCAAATCACCACGAGTCTAGTCAATGCGGTGCGTGAACAGTGAGATTATGAGGTCATTGAATGCTCGATTACTACGCCGATTTCCTTGAAGTACATCGAACACGCTATCAGAAAAATCCAACACCGCGGCCTCCAGCGTTTCAACTCCCTTAAACCGGTGTTGAAACGCGCCACACCCGGCCCCAACACTCGCATAATAAGGTGTTGCCCTCGCGCGGGCGTCACGGGCTCCCCGAGGGCGAGGTTGTGATATCCAAGAGTAATATTTCGAATCAGTGCCCATTTGTAGAATCCCCCGGGGAGGCCCCGCGTGCCACATAATATGAGGGGCCATGTACTATACACACAAGATGGGGGAGGGCGTGTAACCACCATACTCCGTCGCAACTCTTTCCATCAAATGTCGTTATAAAAAAAAAAGGGTTATTCCTAATCGCCGCCGTTTTTGTGATGAACAAAAGATCTCGGCCGGCCAAACCCCCCCCGGTGAGAGGGAAGCGTAGAAGCGAAGATACCCAGCGGGGGTAGTTGGCGGGCCGGGATGTTTTGTGCTTGTAGATGTGTTGTGATGTGGTATGTGGCTGGCGATGCGATTGGGGGGGTAGAGGGGAGGTTTCCCGTCTCGAGACGGGTCCCCCCCATTGATATCCAAAAGTTGTTCTAAAATGTAGCGCAAAAGGAGTGGACGGCATAGGGGATTTCGTGGCCGACGGCGGATTTTAGGTCCCATAGACAAAGAGATGAATCCAACGCAAACCCATATCGTAATTCCGAGATATGTTCCCTACACCATAATACATATGAAATCCGACGACACTGGTCGCTTTCGGAAGGCGCTCCCGAGTGAGCCAGCGTCGGGAGATTAAACACCCTAAACGCCATCAATGCCAGAATGTTTAAAAAGTGATTTAGTGGCCAGAGGCCAAGTCGTTCGTCGTCATGACGTGAGAGTGCAGTGCTCATGCGTTGGTAACCTTGGGACGAATTAGCCTCGGGTTATGCCATCACTCTTCATCTCAACTTACTCGGAGAATCTTCCTTGAGTAATCTTGGTTGTCAGCAATGCTGCCGTCGCTCATGCGTCGGTGCGCCAGGGTGGGATCCATGCGAGAGTCGCTCATGGACATGCCGCTGCTGCTTGGGGGCTTGGAGCCGCCAATGAAGGCGTTCACGGCGGCGTTGCGACGGTGCTCCTCCTCGATCTCGGCGTTACGTCTCCGGCGGACGAAGAAAAAGGCACCACCAACAATGGCGGCAATGACCACGACACCAACAACAACGCCGGCGGCGATGCCAGCCGTGTTGGTGCCACCACCACCACTCTTCTTGGAGTCCCCGGTCTCTGTGGGAGCTGATGATTGCACTGGGGTCTCGATGATGGTTTCGACGACACCGCCGCTCGATGTCGTTGTGGCTTTGCTGGCAGCTGATGTGGTAGTGGTGGCAACCTTGTCGTCTGGCACAACAAGCTTAAGACCTGTGTTGAACACAGAGAAGTACATTCCTCCTTCGACACCACCGCCTATAATCTGGGTCAGTACTCGTTCAAATCGGCAGATCCGAGTCTAGGGACAACATACAGGCTTCCTGGGGGTAATACGGGCAGGGGAAGTTGCACTTGGCGTCGTCGACGACGGCGCTTGCTGGCGGGTAAGAGTCACCGCAGTAACAATCCTCGCCGTTCAGGGCCATGACGTTCTTCTTCTGGACGGTCTTGCATTCGTCGTTGCAAGATCCACTGCTGATGCCCTGTGAGGGGATGTACTTCTCCCATGTCGTGGCATTTTGGTTGTAGCAGCCGTGCGCGGTGAGGGCGCTTGGTGCCGGCGCCGTACTTGGCTCCTGGACTCCCAGAGCGGTGCTGGTAGAAGTTTGCGCAGAGGCGAAGCCGAAGGCCACCAAGGCCAGGGCAGCTACCGAGTTCTTCATTTTGGAATATGGCGTTGAGGGGTATAAAGAGTGCGTGAATAAAAAGTCGAGAGGAAGACGGTCTCGAATCGATGCTAGTTAGTAACCGATTGTGACACGTCGTGAAGTTCCGAGTTCCGACGGATCAGAAGGGGCTCGATGCAAAGTCGTGCGATTCAGTCGGTCGCCAGAATTCCCAAGCTTTCGAAGTCCAAACAGCGTCCTCAAAATCCAATTCGTTCGATTAATAGTTGTCGCTCGATCGAATGATGACTCGGTCGATCGGCGGTTGGGTGATGATGTTGATGAGCGAGCGTGTCGGACAGTTGTCGAGTCGTGCGGGAAACAAGGCGAATCCTAATGAATGTATGGGCACAAACGGCCTCTTGGTTTTTCTCTCAAGTGTTGGGCTTGGACGAAGCCTCTTCTGCTTTTTTCCCTTCGAAATTCCTCTCTTTTGCTGGAAAGGAAAAGAAAAAAAGAGGATATCACCGAGTAAATGACATTGAAGGAGAGGGCGAATGAACAAGGCGAAAGGAGGAGACCTTGGCGAGATTGAAGATGAGTAACAAGGCGATGGAAGAGGGAGAGACTTGGGGGGAGGGGAGGAAATGAACGAGTGACAGCGGGTGGAATTGGAGGGAATGGCTTGTTTTGTTGAAAAGAGGGAAACGAGCACGGAGTGGGTTGAGATGAGGAGGAAAAGCGAAATTAGGAGTCCACTTTGCGGCATCCCGGGGGTCTCGGGAGGGTGTAGGCCAAGAAAACGCACACCCCTTTTTTTTTTCTTTCCCTCTCTCACTCACTCACTCACTCTCTCGGTCGGGACTGAGTCTGTCTCCCCCCCCTTCACTCTGTCTTGTGCACTCAAAACGTTACTTGGCTGGGCATGACCAGTCGATACGAAGCGCGAATGGACGGATAATTAGGGCAAGCTAGATGAGGCTAGGCTAAGTCATCGAGGCAAAGACTTCCCGCCCTGCCATCTGGTGTGAGTGTGTGTATGTGCACAACTCTCCAGTTCACGAGGGCAGCCTTTCAGTTACTCAACTCGAGAAAAGGTCCGTGTCGTCCACCACTCAGCTTCTGCGAGGAGGCAGAAGTAGACAGGCTGGTGCTGGGAGAAGCCCTGGGGAGCGCACTTTGGTGCAGCAAGCACCGGTATCAGCCAAGGGGACTCCCTGGCGCCACCGAAGGCCTTCAGACGAGGAGCAGAGAAGCCCGGGAACAGACTGGGACGAAGAAGGGGAAAACGAGCAAGAAAGGCTTGCGTGAGAAATAGAGACTTGCGCGAAGGAGAGAGAGGGAGTCCACTGCCCACTGCTTCAGGCGACTTTGGGCAAAGTGAGCGACAACTTGACACGGCCACTGGCCAATGGCAGCGTGCCGCGCCTGGCGAGGACTCCGTCTGATTGGATTCGATTGGACGGCGAGCCTCGTTCTGGTGTCCAACATCGGCGTCGATTGGATATCTGTGCAGGTGGTGCGACAGGGGCCCATGTTTGGGGTCTTCCTGGTTAAGAATCCAGGAACCAGAATTTACCGTCAGGGGCGCAGTTGACTATGCAGATCGTAGGCTACATCGGGCGGCGGCGGTACCATGTACGGTCTGAGAGCCGTGGTGGCTGTTAGTGATGGTGGCGGGAAGCCTCGCGTAATCCATAACACGAGAGATCGTCTCCGGTACACGCTATCGCAAGCCCGGGGAGTGATCGGATCCACTTTCCAATTAAATCCTTCACCAATGCAACACACCACCGCCAAACTTGCTGGCGTATGATGCCGCCTGCGAAATTCCGCGCGGGCCTTCATAAATGTGAAGTTGTGCACAGAAGAAAAAAGGGGGAGGCGGTGAATAACTTGACACACCCGCTACATCATCGCTGATGCCACCCCAAAAGTTGTGACTTGAACGGGCGTCTCGACTTGTGAAAGAGGAGACGCTGCCCAGCCAGACACTGAGCACACCGGCTTGTGAAATGATCTTCTCAAGGGAAGGGGAGAGAGCCATCTTGGTTGGAGGCGGACATCCGATCGGCCGCTGCTAACCGTCGAATCGTTCGTTCCAGCAACGGTCAACGGCGGCGACCCGTACCGTTTTCACATTGGGGTCCTGAGTGCTGAGTGTCCGAGGAGAGATTCGCTGCTCCTTGCGGGCATCTATCTGCCACGCGACCTGGCCCAGCGGGCGGCAACTTCCATCGATGAACGACAACGCCTTTCCCTCCTGTGACGTCTCCTATTATTTCCCCCCCGTCGTCGCCCGTCGTTCGCTGGGAACCCAGGACCGTGTGTTTGACGCTGAGTGTCAAGGTGTCACGCGCCTGGGCATGCATATGGCACGCATCCCAGGGCCACACCAGAAATGCATTTGGATGAAGCTGGGATACGTCCGGATTACACAGGTTACACACACGCACAGAAAACCAGGTACCCGCCAGTTGTGCGACGGCACGCCCTGCGCACCGGCGTCCGTTGCACCTTTGCCGCTGGTGCCACGGTTCCCTGACAGGACGAACCTCCTCTCGGCCGTGCCATTTCCCCCTTTCTGGTAGCGTTTCTTTTCTTCGTCTCGTTTGTGTCGCAACTGATGGGCCGGCTGAACGTGCAGGACAGGACGGGGAGCGAACGGCCTGTTCTCGACGCCTTCCCGTCTGACTCTTTGGACGGACTTTTTATGCTTGGATCTCCACGGTGCAGCAGTCTGCAGCACATCCCATGCAGTGGCGGTCGACAGTGTGCGATGACGGATGTTCGACAACCCTCGATTAACGGTTCAAAGCGGGCAGGGCAAAGGGGGTTTGTGGCTGGTTTACTGCTTGATGATGCTACTCCTGCTGCTCTAATCCTGATCATCCTCGATGGGCAGCAAGTCTTCAGGCCCGTCGCCCCAAACGACGACTTGTGAAAACGAAACCCCTCCAGCGCCAAGGGGGCTGCCCAAAGTCGCAGATTGAAACTTGAAACGAAGACGCCAACGGTGGCAGACGGTCGAGGGTCGAGTCGACTCGAGTCGAGGACCGTCGCCTTTTCTCACACTCCGGCAGCACCGTCTGGGAGTGCCGTCACCACCTGCTTTTTGGCCCGACACCAGCGCTTGGAGACGGGACCACTGGGAATAGATCCCCGCAACGGAGTGCCACGACAGGTAAGGCAGATTGCCTGTTTGCGTGTGGGTTCCTACGCAGAGCCGGACGCCGTTCCCTGGGCAAGTAAGTGTGCAGTCTGGCTGGTTCTCTGGTAATGCTCGACTGAGTGAGCAGTCATATTGGCTCCCTGTGCCATGACCCCGTGGGACACCCGCCGTCAGAGTCACCATTGTCCTCTTGTGTGTTGCGCCGCATGTGGTGCTGTGTGCACGCGGCACGGCAGAGCAGCAAAGAGGCGAAATTGGTCAGGATAACGGCACTCCTACCCCCCCCCCCCCCACTAACGTCGTCGTCCCCCGAGAGTGCAGCATGTGGGCAGGATACGAGGACGGGCGGCCGGGCCAAGAGGCTTGGGCACGGCTTGCAGCGAGGCTTGCAGCGTGCCAGTCCGTCTTCTGGGTTGTCAAGGTTGTCTGTCTGTGTGCGTGTGCCCGCTATACCTAGAGAGTACTGCACACTCGACAATGCTGGGGGCTTTGCATTGGATAGAGTGCTGTATTAGAGATGGGCTCCTGGTCTTGGTTCCCGCCTAACTGATCCCATGAGCATGGTTGTGTATGGTGTCTGTCTCTCCATGTTCCCTCAGGCTCCGTCGCCTTTCCTCGTTACCGTACGAGAGGGAATGATCAAAAGCAGAAGAACACCCAAACCTACCAACGAGACGATAGCGGAATCTAAAAACCAATATATCAGACGAAGTAGGAAATAAGGACTCATCATTCGTCACACAAGAAAAACGTGTTTGGCTTCCCGAGAAGCCGTCCAAAAGTCAAATCATTCCTTCCGTGGACACCAAGTCTTCCAAGGTCTTCCAAGGTGGCTGGTTCACAGGGCAAAGGGGCATCAGCAGCGAGTGACTGTAGTGGCTGTTCTGCTCTCCTCAGTGGCCTCATCTGCGCGCGTCTTAGGATAGTTTGGGTGCTTACGGAGATGCTTGTTGCCAACTGACTGGATTTTGATGATCGAACGCGCATATCCCAGTCAGCGGAAGAGAGGGGGTGGGGTTTTTGCACAAGAGACGCTTAGCTGAGAAGCTTGTCCTTAGTCGGCCCCAAAACCTGGGCATCCGATGCATGTCTTGCTTGGGATGGCCCCGGGCTGCGTTGCTTTTCCCGCTCGGAGTCGATATTGCTCCTCAGCACTGCCTCAACAATCAATTAAGAAAGCCTGCGTCATGTTGTTGTTGGCCGCCGGCATCCTGCAGGTGAAGTGTCTGATGCCGACGATGATTTTCTCTCCGTGGCCCCAGAGTCCGAATGCTGCGTGGCATGGTGTGCCCGAGGACGGTTACGCTGGTTCTATTTCCATCCAGCGGACGCTATTGGAGCCAAGACAGGTGCCGAGAGGTTAGCGAGGACCCGGGAGATGATGTTGGATGTTTTTCCAAAGCCACCAGCATGCCTTGCCCAGCCGTCTGCAGTCTTGATGGAAGAGCATGTTGGGTTTCCGATGTCGAATTGATCAACATTGCCATGTTGAAGCGTGAGATCAAGGAAGCTGCATTCTTCGAGAACGTCGATCGGTCCGTTCATTGCATCGGGGTCGCGCTCGGTTGCGACTAATCGTGGCAGAGTCTGCCACTAACAGCATCTATCTGTAAGCTCAGCTTGCCTCACCTCTTTTCAGGTAAAGGGGCCGTGAAAGCGCAATCCTCGGAGTATGTGTCAACAGAGAGCATCTGCCACAGCGCCGACAGGGGCTGGGAACACGGCATGGCCAGTCGCGGCTCGGGCGTCTGGCTAGCTGCCGTGAGTTGATTCGGGGGGCACTTTGCAGCTAATACGCTTCCTTCGCAAGGTCGGAGGCCCTTGAAGAAGCAACGTCCTCCCTGGCTGTGAAGTCGCTCTGCGTCTGTTCTCTACAATCTTCACCATCACCAATCTCCTCCATCTCAAACCTCTAGGGTCTGAAAAAGCAATTCTCTACAGGATTCCGGCACGACGGACTCTCGCATCCATTACCAAGTGGCATCCTCCCCCTAGAAACGATGCCTCCGGCATCCGGAATTGCCGTGAAGAAGAAGCTTTTCAACGTTCCAACGAGTCCCATCAGCGTTGATTAATACGAACAAATCATTGATTATGTGCGCTGCCGGCATAAAACTCTTCTTGGCGAATAGAGTCCGACCTCGACGCGACTAGAGCCCCGAAATACTCTGAAAACTCCGTTGATCGGCTCCCCAAGCTTCCTATCTCGAGTCGGTTCCCGGCTCCCGGTTACTCCTTGCTTGCGGTCTCCGAGCAAGGAAGCAAACACCGCCGCCCGAGGACTCCATTCTTGACTGCGACTCCATGCGGGACTCTCACCCCTTCTGCACCTGTTGTGTTTATTTCAAGAATTCAACCCCATCTTCCAAGACGCGTCGCTGCAGGGTCAATCCCCCTAATCGGGCAGCACAAGCCCACAGTTTTATGTCATCTCATATGTGGATGCTCTGGAGAAGGCCGAGTCATGGTCTGTAGACGCAGACGCCAACTTTCCCTTTCAGCTGCCCAGCTGCCCAGAGGTCTCCAACACACATATTGGCCCAAGACTCACCAGGCAAGGCCTCATCGGTCAATCCTGCTGGCACCAGTCGTCCCATCTTCTGGTAGTTCAAACCGCCATAAACTCGGCTGGTTTCGTTTTGGGGGACATGTCAAGCCGCTCTCATCCTTCGGGTGAGCGTCGAATGGAGCCCCGACCGCGGTTCTTGGGAGCCGCCGAGATGGTCAGGGGCCGGCGACCCGTTTTTTGCACCTTTTATTTTGGTTTTTTTGTTAATGTCGCCTACTCGACGAGACCGAGGCCGCCACGTTCAAGCTCTCCGCGACATTGCTGGCTTTGATAGTTTCGACATAGCTTTCCCTCCGTCGAAATGAAAACGGGCATCTCCTCATCTCTACTGGCCCTGCCTGCAGATCCCGCCGGTTCCCTCGCCCTAACTGTGATTAGCCCATCCTCGCTCAAGGCCCGAGCCCGCCGTCCCGAAAATGGCGGCACGAGATTACCCATCCATCTGCTTCCAACAGTCTTACATCAGCACATGCTCCTGACGGCACTGTGAACATGAAGGGGCGACTGAACTCCATCTCTCTCAGACATCACTTTCGCTTCGAGGCAATGCCGTCAACAAACTTGAGACCAGTCTCAGAGGTTTGATTACGCAAGGCTGCCAGTCTGTTTACATGTTCTAGCGTAAACACTGGTTGTGGGAAGCGTCTCGAACCACACACGCCTTCCAGGAATGTGCGCCACCACACGACGGGCCTGGACATGCAAGACATGGCCCTCTCTCTTGACTTGGTGAATTCCTCAATATCACGGGCAGAAGCTACACCAACAAGATTCATGACGCTTGCTGGACAAAAATAGAGAGATGAAGCACGCCGGACTTGAAAAATGCTGGGAAACGGAAGCCGGCTTTGGACACAACCGGTAGGCTTCGCTGCCGAATTCTCCATGCTGACGTTTGATTGTGCCCAAATCCCATCAACAGACCGAAGAAGACAGCGCGACAGATTAAGATCCAATGCCACAGCCCTGAGACCTTGGACGACGGTTCAACGACATTGAACCACATGGGGACGTTCAGGAACAGGTCCCTGACAGACCAAGCTGGACCAAGCCCCCACGGCTTCCCCCCTGCAGGCCGCAGCAAAGTCCACGAGCCGGAAGGGCCCGCCTGTGCCTGGCGTGCACAAGGACTGCTGTCCCGAGGAAAGGGCCGCAGGATCAGGCATCTCGCTACTGGGCTGTGGAGAGAGGGCTGCTGTTCTAGATGCGTCGTTGGCAGCCACCCCTTTGCATGTGCCGAACTGCGCGGCGCAACTCTCGTTAACAATGCCAGCTGAGGAGAAGTCTTGACGAACACCTGCATTTGGTTTCCTCAATGGTCTCCTTCCGGCCGTTACAGAAGTCATCCAATGTGCATTTGTTTCTGCGTATGATCCCCTCTCGGATCACTCCACCGGCCCGGACAACATTATTCTGCGTCAGTCAGATGCAGGGCGAACCCACCAGACCGGCTGTTTACATCCCCCACAATGAATCGGGGGACGCGTTTCCTGCTCGCAGGCGGCTCAACGCCGCTCCCCCCAAAGGCCGAAAGAGTCTAGACCGTCTCTCCCACCAACATCTCAGGCACGCATGCCTTTTGCGTCATCCACTTGGGGGCCTCGAATGCTCCTGATCATCTCTAATCTTCCTTCTTCGCCACATGCAAGGTATGGCCGCCTGACGCTCCGGCTGTCCAAATGTGCCATGTGTAAGGGCTTTGTGCCACAGTTGTTCATATGCAGCATCGGATCACCATCACAAATCTTGCGCTGGACTTGGACATCTCCCTGAACACCCCGCCCTCGTGAAATGTAATTGCAACCCCGTATGTGGTGCTTGGTATTTCTGAAAGCGGCCACAAGGGGATCTCGACTCCCGAATGAGGGCAGTGGAGGGTCCGTGGCCGCGCGTTCCTGGGACAGCCGGGCCCCCTCCTGAGGTGCCTGAGCCGGGGTGGGAGATAGTGCCCAGAAGTTCCGTTAGACCCGGTGTGCGCCAAGCGCCATTGGTGCGGGTTTTCAGCTGCGAGGGTTTGCCAGACGGCACTAGATGTTTAATGACTATTTTTTTTTTAGTTTGCCCTCTTGGCTGAGCCTTATTCCCCAACGGCCCGGTTGGATGTGGGTGCTGGCCGTTCGAAGCACATGGAAGATGCCGCTTGCGGCTTGACGTGACGGCTGTCCGGAGAGACAGAAATCGGGTGTTGGTTATCGGGATCGGTTGTTCAGCTAGGCTAGGACGCGCTTGAGGGATTTTTTTCTGGAATGAGAACAAAGAAGAAAATGTCGGGCGGTACTCGGTCACGATCGATCGACGATTATCACGCGTGCCTAAATCGTGACCAACCCGGGAATGCCTAGCGAGCTTTTTGCGTTCGAGATGCCTCGTTGGTCTGGGGGACAAGGCAGTTAAGCTTTGTTACAATGATGGGCCATCCTTGATTCAGAAGTTCCCGGGTTGATGAGCAAATCACGTCCTGATATGGTTATAGTCCTGGTCTGGGCGATTGGTGTTCGATGCTCGTGAGGTACAGTTCTTGAGCACAACCGACTCAAAAGACACATAGCATATATATTATCAAACGAAGTGCACGGGTTTTAGTTTGTGGGATGTGAGGTGTACGGAATGCAATCAAAATTCCGTCTAAGAAATTATAACCGAAGCCCTTGGTGACATGACATACTCGCTGCGTGAAAAGGTTTGGAACGGTGAACTAATTTGCATAAATTCTGTAACGAGATATTGCTACAACATTTAGCAATAGTACCAGCAACCGACTGTTTCTGCCCTGTTGCGTTTGCGTTTGATGGCTCTTCTTGAATCGTAGTCTGCTTAGAATCGATTGCTCGGTTATCTCTACTTTGTGTTTTTGCGAGAGTTGGGAATGGGAAATCGAGGAAAAGGAATACAGCAACCCTTCAATATGAAGAAACTCCAGATGAATAAGAAAATGCAACCACACAATACAGATCCAAGCAGTAGACAATTGAAGTTTTTGGTAAACTAATCTGGCACCGATTGATTGCTGACTTGGCTTGCGACAATAAATATACGAAGCATTGATCGTTCCTATAAAGCTCAGGTGGCCAGCTTGTGGTAGAGGGACACCACTTTCACTATGGTGATTAGCACTTGAAGTACAAGCTCGTAGACCTTCAGCAGCCTTAGATGTTGACCATACGTGGGGCTTTCATTCGGTCAGAATGCCTTCAACTTTTATATTTTCAGCCGCAGTTGGAACTCCACGTTACGGGCAAGTGACCAGCAACTCCTACGCCACCCACGAAATCCCCAACTAGAGACTCGCTGGAAAACGCAAGACAAGCTGGGTGCTAGAGCTTCTTTATTCTGTACCAGACGATTTGCCTGCCATTATTGCCGAGAACTAAGCCGATCCGTAGCTTGGACGATAAGAACAGCCCAAGGTTTTGCCGTCTTCCTAAATGAAGTTTTGAAGTCTTTGTTTTTGTGTCCTTGGCTCAAACTGATGTACTTTTAGTGAGTAACTGAGATTTACCATGGCTTTTGTCTTTGTCTTTTTTTATTTTGGTTTCATCTTGATATCTCTTTCTTGTTGGTGATATTAACATGCTTAACCTCGATCACTTCCGCTTTGCTCCATTACAATGCCGGGCTCGGAGATTCAATCTCGCGAATGAGTGTGAAGCATGTCGACTGGACAGCATATCCAACACAACCCAAACAGACCATTGCCGCCGTCAATGAACCCGTCTGATCGTGACCAACATATTTGGTCCCGTACTTGCTTGATATATTACCTCCTGATTCCCGAACCTATTCATGACCCGGACTCGCCATTGAGAATCGGCACCTGCCCCCGCCTCGAATGCCCCATGTCTGTACCTTTCAAGTATATCTTCACGCCTGTGGAAATAATCTTCATCTCCCGGAACATGGCCCTCGAGTATCTCCCAGTCTGGGTGCGGTAGCATGCCGAGAACCACAACCTCTCTACCGTTCAGGTATTTCATGAGCCAGAGTGTAAGACGATGATTTGCTGGCTGAGTGACCGGGAAAACGAACGTTGCCACGAAATCTTCTTGGAGAGCCTCGCCGGCGAAAGAGCGACTGATCGGGTTCCAATAATGTTGGGGTGATACCATGAATGGTGTATCATCGGCCACCAAGTCGAAGCGTACTTGAAATGAATGTATAGGGAACTTGCTGATGTCTCTGCTTCGTTCCCAACTAACCTGCTTTCGAATACAAATCTCTAGTCGCCGTGCGTAACTCGACGGTTGACCAATCAACCAGCACTTCGTAGGTGACTTGCGCACCCAGCCATTGGCTGTATGTTGCAAGCCAATGCATATAATGTGCTCGGTTCCGCAACTCCAGCAAATGCCATCTGTCCGACACCCAAGGTCTATGTAAAATTCGGCCTCGGATATGCTCACAAAGACGGTAACCTGAATACTGATGCCTCTGTTCGTGATGGAGAATGGCGTCAAGTCGATGTCCATTTTGCTTTTGGGCTTTAAGTTTGCGCAGTGCGCGAAATCTGATGGAGACACGGCGAACGCACCCCGGTAAAGCTGTTTCCTGCCGCTCGCCGCCAACCATGCAAACAGAGACAGGTCGTCCGTCTCCTTGACGATCTCTTCCTGAAGTCGCTGGAAAGCCTTCTGCCCTTCTCCGTAGAGCATTGGCATGTTGATGTCGAACAGCCCAAGCAAAGAATAGGCACGGTCTTCGATTCGCGTCGTCTCGCGACGAGATGCCCAGGACATCTTGACCGCAACAGGAACAGAAGCAAGTTCCCTTTTGAACGTCAAGACATCGTAGTCGATCCTGGTAATGGTAGACAAAGTTGATGCCTCGCCGTCTTTGGTGAAACGGTACTGCCAGCTGGAGTCGTAGAATTTGACATATGTTGGTGCAATAAGCTCCTGCAGGGTCCAGCCGCGGCTGAACCACTTGCAGGACCTCAGAACAGCGGCATCCTCAAGCGCCTTGCGAAAGTGCCATGTGGCCGACTGCTGCGGTTTTGTATGAGGAGAAAGGTCTGATAGAAAGACGAAACAGATGTCGGCTTGCTTGTACCACTCGTACATGGAATTGATGGCCTCGCTGAGTTCTGCGCTGCTGGTTTTGTCGATGCAGCAGGTGTCGACCCAGGCGTATTCAAGGCCCTCCTCCTCAAGGGCCATCTTGCAGGCGTTGGCGATCTTGGCAAAGCCCATCTTTCCCTTGGCTTTTGGAAGATAGGCCATGTCCTGGAAGGAGACCTCTTCTTGCTCCCAGGTATGTGAGAGAATGGCGTACTTGACGGCGGAAGGATTGTGGATCTCCTCCAAAGTCAAGGTTCTGGTGTTGATCAGCCACATATTATTTCGTTACCAGAGGCGAGTGCGTAGTCAACGATCTTCGCTTGCAAGCTTGGTGGTGCTCTACGACGCGGGGAGCAACCGCTGAGATGAAGAGCGAAGCATGGTACTTATTAGCGTCACTTCGACCGTTATCATGCGCTGCCGGGTGGTTGCCTCGTGCTGGCTGTGCTGGGATTTCAAGCCACGCATCTCACGGTTTAGTGTGGACTGCGGCGTGCGCGCGAACCATTGATGAGATCCTTGCCCCGTCATTGATTGGTTGACGTGAAGTGAGGTAAGTCAGAGGGGCAGAATGAGCCAGCCGACACACACTGTCGTCAGTCCTTCTCTTTGCAGGCCACCCGAATCACGCGAAATCTACCTGTCATACCGTCCCGCCTTGTCCAGTTTCGCTGATAAAATGCACATCTACGCAGTGGGTGGTGTACGCAGCTCGGATTCCATCAGTGGGCACAAGCTGGAGGGGCGATTTGGAGGTAAGCCTTCCTGCACATGCTGCCTACAATGCATCGCGCAACGGGGCATTCTCGGTCTGGAAAACCAGATGGTGTATTACATCACGCAAGTGCGGCGGAGTAGAGCATGGCATATGACTCAGTAGCATGGATCAACTCATTAGGGGTGAGAACAGAAGGAAAAGGCACAAACGGCGATGGAGTTTTGCATTTATGCCCGAACCGAGGCTGAGCTTACTTGTGGTACTCTTCACTCTCCTCGCATTCCCCGCGGTGCTTGCGCCAGTCCTTCTTCTGGCACTCAGCGCTGCAGTACTTCACTTTCAGGCAGCGCATGCACTTCTTCAGCCCAACGCCATCCGTACCCGTCTTGCCGCAGTTCGTGCATCTCTCCTGCTGCGAGGGGGCGCCGGTGCCAACTTCCTTGTATAGATTCGTATCGACAATGTCCTCGACGAGTGGTACGGCAAAAGTCGGACTGATGGCGACGCGGGTGGCGTACTTGGCGGCCGTTTCCCACTCCGGGAGACCGATGAAGTTGTCCGGAAAATGGCCGTTGCCACATGAACAGAGGACTGGCTCGTTGGGCTCCAGAGATAGGGGGACGGAGCCGGTCTTACGGTACTCGCAGGACGACTTGTGGTTCCATGTCCGGCTGCGCTCTGCGAGGGCAGGGAGAGTCTTTTTCCAGAAGACCAACTCGTCGTCATTGATTGTAATGGAGCACATCTCCAGCGTCCTGAGAAGCAACAAGAACGGCTCGCACTTCTTGATGAGTGGAATTGTCAAAGGCAGGACCGCGGCGTCAAGGACGATGGAAGCTGCAGCGGCATCAAGCCTGATGGCGGAGATGAATATCAGCATGTGGACGCCGCCACGATCGGGGTGGTTCAGGCAGAATAGACCGGTCTGGCCGCCTTGTTGGCCCGAGGAAAGCATCGTCATGGTGAAGATAGACTCCTTGAAGTTGAGACGGGGCGAGGGTGAAAGTTCTTGTCTACCTGCGTTGACCTCCTCGCGCAGCGCCCTTTCTCGGAGAGAGAATTCAAAGGAGAGGAGTGTCGTGATCCAGCGGTTGTCTTCTTTACTTGTGAGGTCGATAATGGGGAGACGATCGAGGTTAAAGTGTGGGGTATTGAGGTCTGCCGGGGTACTGGACAAGCTTCGAGCGAGGTAAGTTGGGTAGACGAAATCGTCGAGGGCTGTCTTGCTCTCTGGTTCGGTCGGGGTAGAGCGAAGGGGGCAATGACCTCAAAGTAGGCTGATTTGCGAGCGATGCGGGTTTTGGCTTTTTTGGCGTCAACTGGAACTGGGAATGTAAGAGGATAGATGTGCTCGTTGTCGCCAAACACAATGTTGACGGTGAAGGGCGAGGCTTGCTCAATGACGACTGGGACCTTGTCGGCGAGCAGTTTTTTGCCCCTTTCCGAGAAGAAATCAAGATGGCCCGTGATAGTCTCAACTATGTTCTGATTCTTGGACGCGTCGGCGGTGAAGAGAGACACAGTTTCGCTGTTGGCCTCGACAGTAGACTCGGCGACAGCAGCCGCCGCACCTGAAGCAGCGGGATACCTGGTTTGTCCGGGCATGTACCTGGTGATGAATACATTATCCTCATCGCCCAGCTTCGTTTGGAAGATTTGCAGCTCATCACCCAGAACCTTGCTGAAAACGGCAATGCTTTGAGCGGAACTGAGGACCTCCAAGCGAACATAGGCTGTCTTGCGTTCCACCTGGAGCGCGGCAGCAGGGACGTAAAAGGACGCGATGAGTGGAGAGTTTCCAAGCCAACCTGCAGGATCCGCTTCGACGGTGACGGAGAAATCATTGCTCTCTCTCTTACCATGGGAGGCGATGTTACCAAAAACGAGTTGAACCTCGTCATAGAAATTATGCCACTTGTGATCCGCATTCTCGCCAGAGACCAAGGATCCTCTAATGGTCGGAGAGCTTATCTTCGCCTGATCCGACCCTGCAAAAACCTGAGCGAACCTCTCCCTCGGCACCACAAGACTAACAGCCACAACTTCTGGGACGTGCTCCCACGAGTCGAAACCACCGAGCTTGCGGTTGGGCTTGATTTCTTGGCGAAGCCAGGGTTCCGAAAAGACATCTTGGATATGCATTTGCAGGGACAAATCCTGCCTGAGGTTGCCCGTGAACATGAGACTTCTTTCCGCGCAAATCTTCTCAATCAACAGCCTGCAGGCGAAGTCGAAGTCGTTGACGGCCAATCTGAGCTTGAGATATCGCAGAATAGAGACGAGCGTGCCGCGATGGAAGTGAGAATAGGCCATGTTTCGAATCAACTGGGTGACGGAGGCTTTAGAAATGGACAACAACTTCATAGGGTTCTCATGAGCGAACATCTCAAGGTACAGGCTGAAGAAGATGTTCGCCAGGGCTTCAGGTTCGATCTTGAGAGGACTCCCCGAGGTCGCTCCAGAGAAGTGTTTGCTCTGCTTCCATGTGATACGGTTGTGCACTTGAGACGGGGTATCCTTGCTTGACTGGATCTTCTTGGTAGTCAAGCCGATCAGAATCTCGTCGACGCTCGATACAGAAGTGGCGTTAGTCCAGTATTCCACAGGACTCGCCCCCAGGAGTAGTGAGATTGTATGACTGTGACCGTAGAGGAGCTTGTCGAATGCTTCTTTGGTAGTATCTTGGGTCTTGAGGAGGGTCTCGGTAAACAGAGCTGACCACGGTTGCGCAGTGAGCAAAGGCAGTGTCGATACGAGAATGTTTAGAGTACCGAAGTGGTCTGCGAGGTTGGAAGTGTCAATGGTATCGAAGGCCACCGGGGCTGTCGACTTTGATCCGTAAGCATCGGGATCAAGAGCAAGGACCCGGGCATCAAATTGCCGACGGTACCATCCGGCCGATGTCTCCTTGGTCACAGCACAGTGTTGGAGGGTATGGCACAGGGCCAGGGCTTCGCTGGCAACAGAACGAATCACGATCCTCTTTGCCCGAAGTATTGTCCCGCAAGTAGTGGCCCACTCTCGGAACTGAGTCTTCGCGGCGGAGAATGCCTTAAACTTCTCGTCCTTCTGGTCAGGCTTGAGAGGAGACTTCTCTGTTAAGGGGATGAATGCAGCGGCGAGATGGAAGCCCAGGATAGGATCAGTCGCGTAGTGCAAGAGACGATGCTTCGACAAGGAGGAATAAAACAGGGGGTTCGGATAGCTGGCGACGCCGCTGGGTCCTGCGACGGCAGATTTCCAGAACTCCTGCGATGCTTCGACGACTTCGTCCGAAAATGGCAACGCAACAGGGGCGGCTGATCGCAGACCTGTGAAGGCAACGCCGTCGCCAAAAGCAATCTTCTTCATCTCCAGTGAGTGCTTCAAATTGGATACCAAAGCGGCCGAGTCCGCGGACGCATCATCGGATTTGGCGGCAGCGTCGTAGGTGACCCATATTGCGCGAACATCATCCAGGGTTGCCTGGTCGCAGAACGGCAGGACCTTGCCGTAAGAGCTTGCTTTCCATGACTTCAGTGACTCTGATGCGGAGATGAGCTTCTTAACCTGGGACGCTAGGACGCTCAAGTCTGCTTCCTCGAGGTGGAGGTTGTAGTACAGGTTCCAGGGTGTGTTGCCGGAGGCACTGTTGTCCAGGAGGAGGGAGAACAAGAAGATATTTCGCGCTTCAGTGGATCAGTAAAGGTCGATTGTGAAGCGAGGACAGCGACCATACCCAAAATAGCCTCGTCGAGGTCGTTGATGGTGATGTCTAGCTTACGAGTGGCTTTTGGTGTGTTAGTGTGCAAGCGTAGGGGAGACAGCTCATGACTTACGTAGCCCGTCCTCATTATACGTGGTGTGAAGGATGTTCCTCACATCACCACAGCCGAGAAGCAAAATACTAGCATCAAGACCGTGAGGCAAGTTTTTGGCCAAGTTGATGGCAGGAGTGTTTCCCACTGCATAGAAGTAGGAGATAGAGTTGGCGACGGTAGGAGTGAACATTCTGCCGACGGACGCGTCCGGGAGGACCTAGCAGACCAGGTTGAGAATGAGATTGAGACTCGTGGATACAGACAAGACACTAGCCGTGCGTAAATATGGTAATGAAGACAAGACGCAATGTGCCCAGGGACACTTACGATGATGTAAAAGACCGAAGGACAATACAGTCGGATGTGCGATGACCTGCGTCTCACGAAGCGAATCGAGCCCGAACGGACGAGAAGTGGGGGGCCAGTGTCAGCCCAAATGATTTGGCAGATCTCAGTCAAATCAATTGATGAGCCAAGAACAGACAAGTGATGGAAAGGATGCCTGAAGAGTTATGGAACAGAGTACAGGAGAATGCCAAGTATGAAACAAATTTAACCTGACCTCCCTTCCGTGTCTTGTCTGTCTTATGGAAGGAAGTTACGGGTGATGCATATAGCTTCCTCTCGTCATTGGGAACTTCTTTCCCAGAGGTCGTTGATTAGGTAGCCAGTTGGTCGCAGGTGGTACCCGGTGACCCAAGCTCCTTGATCTCTTTCACAGAATCAGTTGCTGGCAGCTCCGTTGACCGCCTTGCCCAGCCACAACGGCAGAATCGTTTTGTGGAGAGCTCAGCCACAGCTTTTCGATGCTTTTCGCGACGCCATCGCGTTTTTGTTTGACAGCTTCATCACCTTACGGAGCAATTGACGACTTGCGCACTTCTTTCGCCCACGCCAAGTGCAAACCCCATTCAAGTGACCTATAGGGCAGAACAGCGGCTCTCGGAAACGGGTTTTTTGTGTCACTAGCGGACGCGCTTTTCATCCCACGCCGACTAAACCAACTCAGCCGGAGTGAAAGCGTCCAGCGAGAAACAACATCACAAGTGCAGCCATGGCTTCTCAGCCTATCCCACGAGTCCGGCGCACGTCGCAAAACACACAATACACGTATGAATTGGTAGCAATTTCAAGCTAGATGCAGTTCGCTTACATGGACTAGCTACAACCTCTCGAGGTGGATCCACGATGTCAAGACGTACCCCGTTCAGTCTCCCCAGGGAGCTACGATCCTCCTGTACGCTCACGACAATGGTGTGACGATAGTCTGGAGAGGCGGAAGGCGCTTCAAGCGGACAAATAAGAAGCTTTCAACACCAGCGAACGAGAAACAAAACGGCGCGTCTGACGATTCCGTCATGATCATTGACTCCGATGATGACGAACCACCAGCCAAGGCAGGCAAGGCTTCGGCGCCATTTACGGATAAACCCGAGTTCGAGGATTCCGAGGAGGATGGCCCATACCCTGAAATCATCCAGACCCTTGATCTTTCTCTCGGCACTACGGTTCTTCACCTGGCCGTGCTGCCCATGACCCCTTGCCCCGCCGAAGATGCTGCGTGGGGAGGAGCCGATGTCCTCAAGGAGAAAATCGTCTTCACGGTGGCCTGCGCCACCAACGAGGTATACGTCGTGACGCTCCCATTGACGCCTCCGAGCCCAGAAAGCAAGGCCCGCCCTGAATTGAGGTCGAATTTGCTGGCCGGCAAGGCCGGTTCTGGCCAGTGGGGGGAGCGTGTTGTTCTCCTTGGCGGCCAATACAAGCACAGCGAAGGTGTTGCCATGTCATTAATCAAACCCAAGACATCAACCAGCTCCGACCGGATACGGGAACAAACCGGTGCTTTGAGCACACAGAAACCTCGCCTTGTTGTGGCCGCACATACTCGCGAGGCATCAGGAACACTTCGTCTTTGGGATGTCCCTCTGGATGTTCAGCCAGGCGAGGCCAGTGGCCGAATCAACCCCTTCCAGTCCGAGTACTTGCCCAGCCCCTTGTCCAGCATTTCTTTCAACCCGACACATCTTACTCAGCTCCTCACGGTAGCCTCACCGCACGCTGTACGCATCTACGACTACGCACTGCCCTCGTTGCCTCCCGACGACCAGGCCATCGGGCCGTTCCCCAGCCAGGGATCGTGGCTGCTCTCCATGTTCCAGCCGTTTACTCGCCCTACTTCGACGCGGAAGCCGATTCTCGATGCGGCCTGGATTGCGCATGGTAGAGCCGTGCTTGCCTTGCTTGCAGATGGCACCTGGGGTATTTGGGATGTGGACGGTGCCAGCCCTCTCGGCGCCTCAATCCTGGGGAAGAATAGTTCGGGCATTAAGGGTGCGGCGCTCACGACCTTTAGTGCCAGTGGTCATGTCGAAGGCACAGGCCCGTTGCGCACAACAGCTGGCGTACCGAGGTCAAACGGCAATGGCGAGTTTGTTCCCTTGACGCCGCATAGCCGTCGTGATGCTGCGGCATCGTTGAGCGCAGCTGGCTCCCTGGAACGGCTCGTGTCGGTCAGGGGCGGGATCACAGTGACGCCCTTGCCCGGCAGTGGGTCTGGCTCTGCTGACGAGAGTGTTGTGCTTTGGATTGGCGGATTGGATAATGTCTCCGTCATTCCAGCAGTGTCTCGGTTTTGGGACGCTCAACTGCGCCGCGGCTCGGGTGGTGGCGTGAATCTCTTCAGCGGCACTACCCCGACCAGAATGATCCGCCTGCACGATCTTTCCACAGGTCTTCTCGGAGAGCGTTGCTGTGGTGTTGGCGCTGCGGTCAACTTTGCGAAGCTGAAGGAGAACGACGGAGGCCTGCAGATTGAGGTGCTTATCATGGGAGAGAGCCGCTTGGTGATCGTTCATGAGTCCGAGGACACGCCTGGCACCAAGATCGGATCTGTTGTTTCGACACGACGACGCTTGTTCGGCGATAAGGGCAAGGCAGAACCGCCCAGCGCTATCATCGTCCACCCTCGACCTGATCAACCCCGAAATGTCTCATTCAATCTCAGCGTCAACAAAACGAGAAGCTTGCGTGCAAAATCAAGTGGTCGTGATAGCTTCGATGCTGAGGATCCCACGCACGACTTCACACTTCCCATTGGACGGCCCAAGTCAGGTTTTGGGTTCGCCGACACGCTCAGTGCAGCAGCAGACTTGCAGGATGATGTCACAACTCGTGATGTCGAGGTGGAGATGCTGGATATCCTTGAGATTGACAGGGCTTTGGAGGATATGGAAGACGACCGGGGTAGTGGACGGAAGAAAGTCTTCTTTGAGGAGGACCAAGACCGGTCGTTCCACTAATGTTTGCTGACGAGACTTGACCTAGATGAGACCAAAATGTACGATACCCATGGGCCGTCCCGGCAAAATCGACCCAAACTTTTTGCGTTCCTCATGGTACGCGCCGAAGTAAACCATGTCGTCATATGCCTCTTTTCCCGTGGTCTCCTTTTTCCTATTTCGAACACACATATCTATCATTTGCTTAGCCTCTCGAGGCCAAGGCAATCCGCACGTCCAGGTGGAGCGCAAGGAGAGATTCATCCTTGATCCAGCTCTGTATTACGAGCGGTACATCAAACAGCCCTGGTCCTCTGGGACTTTTCTCACCACAAGGCACAAGATCGCAAGATGAAGTGTTGTCGGGGGATCAACTCCATGACGAGGGCATAGCCGACGGTTCCTACTTTAGGACAGGGACTTTTTACGGGTGGGGGCATATGGGTGGTTCGGCATACGCGAATTGACCATTTGCTCTCCCGGCCTACTCTTGTCATCCTGTCATTTGCCCCGAATCCTTGACTCTGGTCGCCTATGGCCGCTGGAGGAAGATGGGAGGGGGTGGGGGATGTCAAGGCTGGGAGGTGGTTCCGTCGGTACATCGTATCAATTATGTGTGACTTTGCGAGCAGTGATGTGATTGTCTATCCATGTATTATTTGATGAACACCCGCCTACGGACATGGACGGTTGTTTGATTCGTCAAGTTTCTCAAACCTTAGTCATCTCCCACACGCACATACATGTCTTCGATCTCCTTCTCGTACAGCTTGAGAACGGCCACCCTCTGGACGTTGCCTTTGCCAGCAAGGGGAAATGGCTTGTCCTTGTTACTAAATAGCATCCTGTCCTTTGCCAGCTGACCGGTCTTATCCATGATGGCGTTGGACTTTTCTACCAAGGGCCAGATATTCTGAAGTACCTCATCAGTCGGAGCGGCGTCGCGGTCGACAAGATCAACGACGGCACAGATGTTCCGTCTACCCGTGCCCCCGACCACAACGTGCTTGACGGCCGGATGCTGCGCAATCGTTCTCTCCACGATTACGGGGTTGACGTTCCATCCAAACTTGGTAACGACCATGTCGTCTTTGCGCGAGTAGAACCTCCAGTGATGCTTTTTGGTTGGGTGTTTGATGAAGAGGTCGTTGGTCTGGAACGCGTCGCCGCAGTCGGTGTGCCAAAACACGTGCTGGAAGGTCTCCGACTTGGGAGTCCTGACGAACGACAGTTCAAAGACGTCGTCGCCCTCCTGAACCATGTACGGCTCCCATCTAAGCCCGCTCTCTTCTTCATTGAGACACAGCCACTCCCAGTCTTCGCGGTCTGAAACGTGACCAAACGCGGAACCAGCCTCCGTCGTCCCGTACAGGCTGTGGAGCCTGACTTGCGCAGATAATGCATTTCCGGTGGACGGGCTGAGGGCGCCGCCGGCGAAGTATATGAACTTGAGCTTTTCTCCGACGGCTGCCAGCATTTTGGGGGACTTTGCGATCATCTCCAGGTAGATTGGGACGCCAGCCAAGCTGTCAAAGTCGGCGTGCTCGAACATCTGTTCGAGCGTGGGCGGCATTATGGGCCCTAGTGAGTTGGGGCCCATCACGAGGATCTTGCCGCGATGGAGCGGCTCGACAATGGAGCACAATAAGCCAAATGGGTGATAGATTGGCATGGTCTGGTAGCACCGATGAGATTCACGAAAGAGTTTTTCGACGGATGGCCTGCCGTCGAGATCGGGGATGGATTTCCAGACGCTGATGACGGCGAACGACCTCTGCGTCCACACAACGGGCTTCGGGAGACCTGTGGTTCCAGAAGTGTGGCCCACAGAGATTGGGTCATCGATTCCTTCCGCAAAGGACCTGTTGTAAGGGTACGGCTGTGGAGGTTCGGCGTTATCGTCGAAAAGACTGTCCAGAGTCGGCAGCAAGACCTCCCTCATGGGCCTTGCCTGCAACAGAGGGTCGATCATGGCATCGACCCCCTCGGTGTGGAGAAGCGTACTGCAGTCCATCTTCTCACAGAGACTCAGGTTGAAGACCAGGCTGTTGAAGTGCGAGCAGTTGAGAACCTTGTGGCCCGTCTTTGCAACTGCCATGAGAATCATCGCGTACCTAACGTCAGGGAGGCCAAAGTAGACAATCGTCTCGAAAATGGTGCTCTTGCCGATGGCGGAGTCAATGTGCCATGCCAGGCGGTCAACCGCTTTTGCGAGCTGAGCGATGGTGATGTCTCGAAATCCATCTTTGGCAATGTCCTTGCTGATGGCGTACGAAGCCCAGACGCGATCAGGCTCTTGCGCCTTAGCATCGTCTAGGACGTGTGTGATGAGACGTTGATCCATCTTCCCTGCCTTGTTGAGCAAAGTGAAGGTGTCCTTGATAAACAAGGTGGTGTTGGTAGAAAGGGGTTCTCTATGAAACGCTTCAGAGGAAGATATTGAGGAGGACGGTACCCAAGGACTCGTTTGTACAGTTTGAAACATGTTACGATAACACCTGTCCCGTTCTGAAGGATGATACATCTCACGTCAGCTCAATTCAACGCCCTCTTTGCAACGAGGCCCCGCGAAGCTGGCGCCTAAACCGGGGCCCTCCTTAGTGTCCCAGCAACCGAGGTCCACATCACAGAATCCAGGTGATCAACTAGCAGGGTAAGTGCAGATCTTTTGCACATTCCGTGATATCTGTTACACGCGACGCTCACCAACCAACGATAAGACACTTGTACGAAGCGGACTTTTGCGAGGCTGTTGGGTGCCCCATGCCTGTCCCGGGTTGAGCGGGATGAGTCGCCGGGAATAGGACTGAGTTTGGTTAAGAAGAGGAACAAATCCCGGTAGGTAGCGGGATTCGGTAGCAGATCTTCCATGTATCGCGGGGCAGAAGTCTAGAATCGCAATGCGTTGGTATGGTGGCCCTGTTGCTGCTGTATAGATACAGTACAATATAAAATCCATGAGCGCAATATCGTCAGCCAGGCCAGAGCAGCATTCGGTAATCAGCATTCGGTAATTCGACTTCCCACTGCCTCGGAAATTTCGAGTTACTGAAGAAGTGGCCCCCTGCACTGCTCCAATGTTTACAACTCATCTCCACACGATTATCGAGTGATGGATGCAAAGACGCGAATGAGTGATCTATACGGTAGTCGTGTTGGCAAGGCTGGCGACGAAGGCGAGGGGTATCGCGATACTAGATACATACCCTACATAAGAGCCGTATAGCTTATGCATAAACCCTGAGCACGTCGTTATGATGCCAGTCAATGGATTCTGCCTTTCGAGATCGCGGCCAAAGATCTTTCAACGTTGCAAGTTCATACCCTAGACCCTGCGTCAGACCAGCACTATGATCTTTATAAGGAGATGTTTCGTGTTCTCTTGCGGGGACGGACTTCTAAACAATGAGCTGGTCAAAGTTTCTCAGTATCAAACTGTTTTTACAGTGTCCTCAGGAAGACGATCGGCCCTCAAAGCAACTGGAATCTCGGTGACTTTGATTTGGTCTATGTTCTACTGCAAGGAAGGTGGTTTATCCACAAGAGCCAGGCTGTTCAACTCGGTGCTAATCATTGTTCGTTGAGGATGGCAAAGTACGGGTTGTTTCGAACACCAGAACTGCAAAAATAACACATACGTTGAGAGACTTGTGGTATACTGTATTGATAAGCATACTAGCAGGACATCATCAGTTGCTCTAGACAACTAAGAGCCACACGTGCATGACTATCGCCTTTATGACATAGATTAATCAACTTATTTGCTTCTACTTAGGATACACTGTTCGTGCAGACGTGCAAGAGCTTTCACAAGCTAAGAAATCATAGCAATTAAATTGACAGTAGACAACAACAGAAGACGAGCTACCGAGATTGGCGTCTTGAATAGTCTTACTGAGTTTGACTATTCTAGATAACTAGATACATATCTCAATCGGAGAGATTCCACAAGCAGCATTTGCAATAAAGTTCAATGGCTTACACAGCACTATATACAGGAAGGTATTTACTCTAGTTACAGCGGACGGTATGGGTAGATGTGAAAAGATGAACGATGCTCAAGTGCACCCTTCTGTCATGACTTTCGACCCCTGACCCATGAACTAAATAATGTTTACATAACACCATCGATCATCATGTAATATTCTCACCCATGCAATCAACCACGATCATGCATGATGAAAAATACCGTGTAAAACAGCGCTTCTGCGAAGAGAAACCATTGTCATGGAAGGAACGCATCTATGTGACTCGAATAAAGAAGGTCAGGAGAGACCGAGGGCCTCATTATGTTCACATCACCATTGCGTTCTATTCGACTCTTTCCATGTGATTCGCACTCCATCTCACATCGAGCACAGAACACCGGCGCAATTGTTCAACACTGTCACGATACAAAAATGAACGGACGGGTAGAGTATCATCATCAATCCCAGTTTTGATTGAGCTTGCTAAAACGCCCCATTTGTAGACCCGAGAACCCCTTTCCATGCTATGAGGTAGTAGTAATGGTAGTGTACAGTGGGACATCGTGATGTCCAGTCATGAATTATTCGTCGTACAATTCTTCATCTTCCAGTCTTTCGTGGAGAGCGGCTTTACATGCTCTTCTTGACCTGCTCGGCGGTGCCCTGGGCCTTGCCGGCGAGCTCGCTCGCCTTGCCCTTGGCCTTGCCGGACAGCTCGTTTGCCTTGCCGGCGGCCTCGCCCTTGAGCTCGTTGGCCTTGCCCTTGGCCTCGCCCTGGGTGTTGGGGACGGCCTGCTTGACCTTCTCGGCGACGTTGGCTGGGATGTGTTAGTGAACCGCGGCCCATGATGGTGCTAGCGGGATGAGGGCCGATGCTGCTTACCTCCGACATCAATGCCGTCGACGAGCTTGTCGCTGACCTTGCGGTCGACAGTCTTCAGGCCATCCTTGACGGTCTCGGTGGCGGACTTCTGAGCGGGAACGGTGGTGGTGAAGGACCTAGGTGCGGCGGCAAAAGTTCTAGGGACGACGCGGGGGAGAGTAGCCAGACGACGGCCGGTGGTCTCGATGAGGAACGACATTGTGAGTGATGGGTATATAGGTGGTTTTGTGTATTGGGTTGAAGTTGTTCTTGTAAGGGTTGCTTGGATTGGATCGCAGTTGAAAGCGTCTGATTCGTTTGCTTAGTTTTTGTTTGTTTTGTTTTCTGTGTGATGAGAGGGTAGGAAGAAGGGAGAATTTGAGGTGCAGACAGCTCAAATATGAGGAACGAGAACGGTTGGAATGAATGCAGCTGCCCCTCGTCAAAGCTCTTGCGCGCGGTGAAGTGAGGTAGCTCAGCTGGAGCTGCATATGAGCTTGGGGTGATGTCATCGTGGCGCTCCCCCCAAGGGAGGTGAGGCAAAGATGGGCACGGGCAGCTGCTGCGCACCCTGATTTCGCGGGGCATAGCTCGCCCTAGCACCGTCTGGAACTGCACCCAAGGGCACTGACTGCAGACCACACATGCCAAAACTCCACTAAATGACGTCCCGGGACAACCATCGAGACATTGTATCACACCTACATCATCGATCGAGGCGACGCCCAATGCAGCCGCATTGTTGTACATTCGATGTATCTTTGAGCCACTGCTCTGATTCCTGCGGTTCGGTTTCTCAGGGGGATGACGTTATGGCTACTTTGACAGCACATCACACCAATCCACGCACCAAGGCTTGGGCGATTGCTTTGGGCTATTTGCATTACCTCGGTACTCGAGGGGTCTGGGCTTTCTAGTAACGAAGAAAGAAGGGGCTGAAAGGCTGGCTTACTACCAAGGTTGAGCGAGCTCAGATCGGGCCTGGTCTCTAGCATACCGAGTCCATTGGTGGATTTCCTGAGGCGGGAATTTCCTAGATTCTAAACTCCCCTGATCTCGATCGCTTCCTGGTTGCTCGGAACACCCGCCGAGTGATCTCCGTCACCCGTCGGCCGCCCAGCCCCACCCCGACTCGGACCTGGGTACGGAGCCGGACGCCTTTCGGGACTGATCTGTCTGTCTCGGACTTGCATGCGACCCGCATCCCTTGAGCTCCCTTGCTTGCTCTGAGCCAATGAAGCCCCTGCGATCCTGCCAACCAAGGACACGAAGGAGGCACGGCATGTGAGAGAAAACGCCGTCATCATGATCATGATCGTTAAATACCCCTCGAACCCGTTGAGATAGGTAACGGCTATTAGTTTCCCCATCCAAACCAACATCTCATCCTGTATTCAATACAAACTTTCGCACTAGCAGCGTGACTCTTAAAAATCCAAGTTTTCTAAATATACAATTTGAGTCTCAAACGTTCCCCAATCCAGTAACACAAGTCGTCCATGGAGAACGTGAGTGCTGCCCCCCCCCCCTTCCCTTCTCCAAGGTGCATGGTTTTGGATTCATAGGCTGACACCAAACTCATGCAGCAACACGGCGCATACGGCTCCTTCGGCTCCGCCAACGACAAGGACCTGGTCAATAAGGTCAACGCCTTCAACGAGAGCAAGATCGAGCACGGAAGCGAGGGGACCTCGTCGGCAGAGAACAAGGCCACGCAGCCGATACTCGGGACCTCCGACGGCGGCAGCGGAGACGTGCAGGAGACCGGCAGGAAAGTGACGGAGAAGGTCGGGGATATGCTGAACAAGAACAAATAGTGTATCTGGGGTGATGATGGGTCCGTTGTACTGGCTGCCCGGTTACCCTCTAAGAGTTGCGTCGTAGGACACGATTAAAGTGTAACGAATCGATGGGACATGATTGAATAAGCCGCCGTTCTGGATCCGCCATCAATGTTGCCCATGGATCCCATGTGAAGTTGGAATGCCCCAGTCGTTCCAGTCAAGGTTTACAGACGTAGGTCTCTCGTTATTCAAACTCTATAAGCCTTCCGTCCGGGCATGCCAATCCCACCCGGCGCGGAGCATGGAAGAGACCCAGGCGATGGGTTTCAACAAATGTGTGTCCGAAAGGCAGCATCGCAATATCAAGCTGATCCGTTATAGCCACCGTTTTTGGTGTTTAAGCACCTTGCACAATATCCGTAGAATTGAACCTCACCCCCTTTCTCACTACTATTCAAACACATGTGCCGGTCCTCTCACGGCGGTTCTCTGCGGCAAAATGCCGCCATCGTACCTTTCTTACCCAACATAAACGATGTGGTATCCAATACAGTCGTTTTGTCATGCGTCTCGATAGAATCGCAGTCATAAGTCGCTTACTGACCCTTGAAGACAGGCTTCCTCTTCTCCTGGAACGCCTTGAGCGCCTCGTTGCGGTCCTCGGTCGCAACGACCCGCTCGTACATCTTGTTCTCGACCTCCTCCCTCGCCCACGCGACAGCCTGCAGCGCGGCGCGGATGGCAATCGGGCCGCCCTCGCAGATCTCGCCCGCGAGGCGCACACTCTCGCTCAGCGCCGCCTTGCGCGCCGCGAGCAGCACGCCCTTGTCCTTGTCGCCCTCGCCGGCCTTCTCGGCCTCCTCGTGTGTGATGTCGACCAGGCGGTCTGCGATGCCGAGGAAGTAGGCTTCCGGAGCCGAGACGCGACGGCCAGTGAGGATCAGGTCGCGGGCGCGGGAAAGGCCAATGAGGGCGGGCAGACGGTGGGTGCCACCGGCGCCGGGGATGATGCCAAGGCGCGTCTCGGGGAGACCGATCTGGGCATTGGAGGAGAGCACGCGGAAGTGTGTGGAGAGGGCGAGCTCAAGGCCGCCGCCGAGAGCAATGGAGGAGATGGCGGAGATTGTCGGGATGGGGAGGTTCTGGAGGGAGGTGAAGGTGGAACGCAGGTTGTGGAGGAACTCGTCGGTCCTGTGAGAGATGCGTGTTAGCAGGTGAAAGTCGGTCTTCAGAGGCCAATTGGCCCCAACTGAGGGAGGTAGGTAGCACATACTCCTCCTGCGTGAAGCCTCGCCTCTCCTTCAAGTCGGCGCCGGCGCAAAAGCTCGTCTCGACAGCGCTTGCAAGGATCAAGGCGCGGGTCGGGCCCTTGACGTCCTTGCCGGCGGCACCGCCAAAGATTTGTTTCTGGGGCACCTCGGCGCCGGTCTCCGGGTCGTACTGGGCGTGGATGGCGTCGACCTCGGCGCGCAGCTGCGAGAGCAGGGCTTTGGAGAGGGCATTGCGGGCCTTTGGACGGTTGAGCTCGAGGATACGAATGTGGCCAGACCCGGGCGCGGGCAGCTGGGTAACGGTTATCAGCGGCTGGTTGGAGTCCGACGCCGTCGACGTCGAGTAGAAGGCCGCCGCCGCCGACCTCGACGATGCGACGATGGTGCGCGGGATGCGGATTGCGACGCGGAGGGGGGCGAGACGAGGAAGCATTATGTCGGTTGAGGTTTGGATTAAGAACAATGGGAAGTCGAGGCTGTAGGACAATTGGAGATCAAGAACTGGTTTCAGACGGAATGTGGGAAGCTAGCTGCAGATTCCGATCGTTGTGTTTCGGCAAAGCGCGAGAATTGGACCGAGGACGTGGATTGGAGGGAGCAAAAGCTCCATTGGTGAAAAGGCGATGACGTTCATGGCATTTCGGTTTTGCTCGGCTATTTGTGGGGGGCTGCCTACCTACCTACCTACGTACCTCATGCTATCTAAAGCTCCCCCGCAGGTGTCACTTGTTGACGCCAGTTGCCGTGGACGGATGGATGTCAGCTCCTAACCAACTGTCACAGCCCGGCCAGGTACAGCTCTCGGTGAAAGGAGCTTCCTGGCCAAGGTCACCGAAGCCGGCAAGAAGCTTGGATCACACACACACCTGCCTCGCCCCCAAAAACGACCATCGTCGATGCTTGGCAGGTGCAATATTCACTTGGAGAAACACCCTCTCGACGAATTCTCAAAAAAGAAACACCCATCATCGCCTCGCCCCGAAAACAGCCAAGACGAATCATTTATCCTGGGAAACGCCATCAAGGGGGCGCCTGTGGCCCGTGCATAGTGACGTCCACGTTCCTGGTGCCAAGCGCAGACGCCAAGCTCCCCGTCCCTGCGCAAACGCACCTCTAGCTGCGAGGAGTCGCGTGTCCCGTCAAATTCCCTTTAAATAGCGCCGTTCTGCTGCTCCCCCGTCTTTTTTTTCACGGCCTTCATCCGTTTGCCTACCGACTCATTCATCATGTCAGACAGCACAGAAGAGAGCATTCTCGTCCCCTTCCTGGGGGCCTTCCAGGCTTCCTTGTCCGTCCTGTTGACCATATCAGCCGGAGTCATTGCCGCCCAATTTGGGCTTCTTGACGATGCCAGCAGCAAAAAGATTTCGACCTTTTGCGTGCGAATGGCTCTTCCTGCACTCCTGATCACAAACGTTGGCTCTCAACTTGACCTCGAGACTGTGAGTTCATGGCCGGCCCACTTCGGCACTTACACCCGACTTGTCTGACCCATATACCAGGGAATGCGGTACGTGCCCATCGTCATCTGGGCCATATTCTACACGACCGTCTCCATTGGCATCGGCTTCGTTCTTACCAAGGTGTTCGGCATGCCGGACTGGGTCATCCCCGCCATCGCCTTCAACAACACAACTAGTCTACCTCTCTTGCTCGTTCAGTCTCTGGATGCCACGGGAATTCTCAGCTCCATCGACGACAGCTCAGGTGTTGTCAGCAAGGCCAAGAGCTACTTTCTCGTCAATGCCATGATTGGCAACTCCTTGACATTTGCTCTGGGGCCAAGACTTCTCAACGGCCAAGAGGAGGAAGCCCCTGACAAATCAAAGGGCGACGGTGAGAACAGCCAAACCGACGTTGAGGATGACCTCGAGTCACAAGAACAGGAAGCCGTCGAAAGGAACGAGCAAACGTCGCTTCTCCCAAAGCCGGCTGCGGCCAAAGGTACCCGCGCCGGATACTTTGCCTATGGAAAGGGCAGCAAGTATTGGTCTTCTCTCTCACCCACCACCCGCTCGATCCTCGACTTTTGCTACAGTTTTGTCAACGCTCCTGTAATTGGAGCTCTTATTGGAGCTCTCGTGGGTCTCGTCCCCGCGCTTCATCGCCTGTTCTTCAACGAACCTGAGGAAGGTGGCTACCTCAACGCATGGCTCACCTCCGCCATCAAGAACGTCGGCGAACTGTTCGCTGTGTTGCAAGTCATTGTCGTCGGTGTTAAACTCTCCAAGGCGATTCTTCAATACAAGAATGGAAACGACTCGAAGGAGAGCAGAGTTCCGCCGGTGCCGTTTCTGGTAGTCGCCTTTGTCAGATTCATCCTCTGGCCGATCATTTCGATTGGAATCATCTACGCCTTGGCCAGCCGGACGAACTTGGTGACCAAGGACGCGCTATTGTGGTTTTGTCTGATGCTGATGCCTACCGGACCCCCGGCTATGAAGCTGTCTGCGCTGGCCGACTGTGAGGGCTCTGAAGAGTCTGAGAAGATGTTGATTGCCAAGTTCTTGACCGTGAGTGCTGGCTTGCACTCTGTGAGACAAGAATTTCCTACTGACCATGCCGTAGATGTCGTACATAATCTCGCCCCTAATTTGTTTTGCTGTTGTCGGTGCCTTGAAGGCAAGCGAGGCTGTAGCCGGAAAATAGGAGTTCTCACGAAGCGTTTACCTTGCATGTGCTTTGACCGACAAAGAAGGCAACCAGAGGTTGGATATATAGAGCAGCATACATCATCCTCGAGACAACCTTCCGTCTTCGAGACCAATATACGATACCCTGTTTCAGTTCAACTTATCTTCAGGATACTCTACTGTTGTTGTTTGGTTCTGTTGATAGATACCACAAAAGTGTTGCAAGTATCAGAGCAATTAATACAGGGTGAACCTACCCAAAACCAACAACCATAAGTTCTCAAGCTTAAGGATGAGCTCGCTCTAGGTGTACAGTTTCTTGTAGCGCTAGATCCGTCGGGCTGCAATGAGGCTGTTGGAAGAGAGCTTCAGGCCAAGGCAAGTTGGTGTGCTTCCTTTCCTCATTACGCTGCTCTTCCATCTATAACCACCTGTTTATCCCCTTCGCACCCTCTATGATTGCTTGCAATGCAAAATTACCGATTCACATCAGCCTTCTGGCCCCTGACTAACTAGATTATTGTCAATAACCTGAAGATCGACAAGCTCATTATAGATGGTTCAAGACCGCAAAGTCAGTCCATGATTTTCGCCAGGTAGTTGTATGATCATTTCACAAGGATATCTGTCAACTTCGCTCTAATTTGGGTTCTTGACTAGACAACATCTTCAGAAGTACATTTCGTAAGATTTTGCTGCATCCAAAACCATCTTGTCAAACGGAATCCATCCCTGACCCGTCGCCTTTACTGCTTTGCTTGCATCAACTCGCCTCGCGTCGGGAGGCTCGCTGTAGTCTTCCAGATATCCCTTACCCGGCTCTCCCTCTCTGATGACATCTCTCCTCCCAGGATACGCCTTTCGCAGAACATCACAATATGCCTGGATGTTGGCGAAGTTCCCGTTGCCACCCGCGATGAAACGTTGCCCATCTGCAACATCCGGTCTATCGGCCGCAAACACAACGAGCCGACCGACGTCGCGAGCGTCTACGTGCGTCCCGTTGCCCGGTCCCACCGGCGGCAACTCATCGCCGTTCATGACACGATACGCAACGATGGCAGTATCGCTCAGCTTCTGGGGGTCTTTGGGCAGGATCAAAGGCGGACCCGCGACCCAGACCGGGTTGATCGCCGTCATGCTGAAGTTGATGCGGCTCTTGTTCTTCTCCCGAAACTCCCAAAAGGCGCGTTCGGCCTTGACCTTGCTCGCGACATAGATCTGGTGACCGGCCGCGTCTTTTCCTGCCTTCTGGAGCACCTCTTCAGCCTCGTCGTTCCAGTCCGCCTCGGTGACAACGCGGCCCTGATACTGCGGGCTGGAGCCCCTGATTGCGACGATGGATGACATGTACACGAACGACTTCAAGCCCGGCTGTTCGATGGCCGATTCCAGAATGCCGAGGGTTCCTTTCAGAGCAGTGCCGATGACTTGTTCGGCATTCGTGTTGGTGAAGTCGACCGGGCTTGCGAGGTGAGCAATCGTAGTCACGCCCTCGACCGCTTTGTCAAATGCGCCTGGCGCCGTGATGTCGGGGACAGTAGCTGTGGAAAGTTGGCCAGACGAGGCATATGACGGGAGTGCATCAAGAAGGCCTGCTGCTGAATTTTGGGATCTGACGGCGGCGCGCACTGAATAGCCACCTAGGAGGAACGCCTCCACAGTTCGGGCTCCGATGAAGCCGTTGGCGCCGGTAACAAGAGCGAGACCCTTGGTCGACGACATCTTGATTTCGGATGGCGAGTGTGTGTTGAACTTGGTGTAGCAGCAGGTTCTCGAGCTCAATTGTACCAGATCGTTCGGGGTCTTTTCGTAGAGGCGATTGAAGCACGCTGGCTTATCCGCTTGACTATATATTGGGCGCTGTCTGCAGTAGCCACGCTGACTGATGCCATGTTCTAGCTCGGCGTTTAAATTTATCTACGGCGCCACTATCTTATCACCACCCTTAACCCCGTTTCGTATCTTTGTCATGCACTTTTCCACGGACATACAAAGACGGACGTGTCGCAAGTCACTCTGGAACCCTAGCATCGTGCTCATCTGTCAGATTTTGGTGCGACAGATGCTCTGTGGTTCATTGACAAGCAGGCATTCCCGAATGCCGTAGGACTCTGCGCGCGATGCCGAAGTCGCGAGACGAATATGCGAACGGGCGTTGTGGCTTGTGGGCAAACGGATACAACCTCGCAGTGAACGGAAAGAAATAGAGGTGTCGCATGAGTGTATTTGATAGAAGCCTCGACGCGGAATGATCACGTGCATGGCCTAGCAGGGTAGATAATTAATTCAATGGCTTGCTACCATCTCATGCCACTATCCTCGCCTTTACATGGGATAGATTGTGAAGATACACCAGGTCAATGTTTAACGCAGCCATACTCAGTTTTGGGAATTCCGTCGTACGTCTTGTTTGTATCTGACCTCGTTGATGTAAGCCAAGAGGTGCTGATTCTGCGCAAGGCGTAGCTGGTTGTTCTGTACATTACATACAAACCCATAGAAGAAGACAGTCAAGGGAATAAAATCACTTCTTTGGCCGGTACGCGTCCAAGGTACTATCAGGGCTTCCTCCTTCCCGCAATCCGCCCCCGGGTAAATAAATTCCACCGCCAATCGCGACAGCTGAGCCCCCATGTCGGGGAAGGGGCATCGGTGCGAGCCGCTTCCAGCTCTCTGTCTTTGCGTCAAAAACCTCAGTCTCATTGAATATTCCATTCGTTCCCGCAGCAGGATTTCCTTCGCCGCCAAAGACGTATACCTTGCCGTTGACGGCGCCAGTCACAACGCCGCCGCGGGCTGTGGGCATTCTCCTGTCCTTCGTAGTCCAGCCACCTTCAAGGTTATCCAGATCAAGCATGAAGACTGTGTCCTTGACATTGCGCTGGCCTCTTTCGCGGCCACCAATGACGTAGAATTTGCTGCCGACAACAGAACCTCCGGCATGATCTCTACCTTCAGGAAGATTTTGCGCGGTTGATGGCAAGGTGTACCAGGATAGACTCTCTGTGTCGAAAGCGGTGACGGTATCAACGGTATCTTGCTCCCCTGCCTCTCCGATCGGTTCCAAAGTTCGCATGCCCCCTGCGAGGTAAATCTTTTTGCCGTATACGCCCACGGTTGCGCTGCCTCTCTCTTCACCCGGGGGCATAGGATCAATTGCTCTCCATACGCCAGTGGTGGGATCATACATCCAAGACTCTGGAAAGGCTCTCCATGCACCATCGGGTGCAACTGAAAGTCCACCTAGAAGATAGACTTTGCCATTTGCAGCGGCGACGTTGGGGTGGTTGACTTCAATCGGCGCGTTTGCAGCCAATGACCAAGTGTTTGACGGGATGTCGTAAATCTGGAACAGGGAGGTTGTGTTAAAACCCGGTCCGTCCAGGTTCGGGACTATGCCGCCAAGGATTGCAAGTTTTGTGTCTGATAATGCCACGGCAGCATGTTCCTGACGAGGGGCAACGGAAATTGGAGCCAAGGTCTCCCAACTACCTCCAGAACTTGCAATGACGTGTATTGAGAAAACAATGAGGGCTGTGCCCAGACTCGAAAAGCGAACCATTTTCGGGTGTTGATTGAAGAGTTAGTAGCAACGAATATGCTTGTCTTTCTTTTGAATCAAGCATACTTATATATCCACACTTGGAACGAGCCATTTTTGACGTTTGACTTCTGTAAGCTGCTGTTCGTAACTTGGGTGCCAAGTTGTGATGCTGGATGATCTGTCTCGTGTTTGCTTTTTCTGGTGCCTTATACGCAATTGTGGTGGCTAAGCATGCTGTTCCCTCTTGGCATGCCGGTGTCCAAGCAAAGCAATAGCTTACGCGGATTGCATCCTCCTAGTACATAGTAGACTTGATCATTGTCGAGAGAAACCTCCGACTATGTTCATCAGACCGTAGAGTAACAAGATGGGAGAATCATGTATCTAGATCCACCTACGAGTAGAAAACCATTTATCAATCACTGATGATTGATTTCGCAGGATTCCGATGCGAAACTGCTGACATAGCCCAGCACTCGAGTGGCAAAAAATAGCGCCGCTATTCTATCCCTTACCAAACAATTCCCGGCGCAGCTTTTTGTCACCCAAGTGCCCAGTACACGGATCGACTGGTTGGTATATTGAGTGCCCCCGAGACTTGGCGTAAGCTCACGCGTTCTTGTAATGTGTGCCTAGGAGCCCGCCCGCTTCTTCACTGGCTGCACTACGAAAGCCACTCTCCCTTCTCCACGTTGTTCGAAAATGTCTTGAATTTTAGGCGGGCCAAGCGATGGGTTCGGATTGGGTTTGATCATTCGTCCTACATGTATTTTGACGATTGGTTCTCACCACGCTAAAACTTGCTTGGTGTGAAGAACAACGTGAAACAGTTTAGACCTGCTCACAATGACTTCATTTAACACTAGACAGCTACATGAGTGTATATTCAAACTTGCTCAAACAACTTGAACAAATCTGGTAAAATCGGTAATTGGATTTGATATGTCAAATCTGCTCGATGTCATTGGCTCCCGGTTCTCCAGTTGATGGCCGATTCTCCGCCGGGAGCGTGGGTCCACCGGAGAATGACATTTTTTTGTTCACGTCATCTATTCGGCATTCGGAGTTTACCCCACTGCTTACGAGAACTGGCTTACTGCTAGCAGCTCAGCTTCTTCACACACTCGGAGGCCTTAGTAACCACGCAAGTAACCATCAGTAATTCGACCTTCGGTAGCGAACTACATAACTCAATCAAAATCGCAGGGTATTATATTCTTTGAAGGTGTGGTGACTTTCAGTCCTGAAGCGTGCATCAAATAGAACGTTACTGGGGGTTTCAAGGCGTTCTTCAATGTGCCGTAATTATCAGCTGTCGACTGACGTTGCATAGACCAAGCAATATGGAACCGCCTCAAGGAAGCCAAGAACTGCCCCCGGAAGCTATTGCTCTTGCTGGGCGCATGTACGATGGTGCGCGGAAGGGCGATGTTGCCTTGTTTCAGCAAGCTCTGCCGGCTGGTTTACCCGCCAATATGACCAACGAGAAAGGTGACACATTGGTGAGAAAATTGCTCATCAGACCCTTTAAACGTATACTAACAATTCTTCTTCTTAGCTTATGTTGGCTGCTTATCACGGGCATGCGGAGTTGGTGAAGCTGCTCATCCAGCATGCAGCCGATCCTAATCGGCTCAACGACAGAGGGCAGAGCCCTTTGGCTGGAGCGGTCTTCAAGCAAGAAGACGCCGTCATCGAGGTAAGAACATTATTGGATCTTTTTGACTGAAAGTTGGAACTCGAGTATCTTCTTGTCTTCTTCCACAACTAGACGACAATTACTTTGCATAAAGCTAATTCTTCGGGACTAGGTTCTTCTTGAGGGTGGTGCAGATCCAGATTACGGTAACCCGAGTGCACTACAATGCGTCGTTATGTTCAAGCAGGAAGACAAATGGCAGAAAAAGTTTGAGTCTGCTTCTGGACGGGGTAAAGCCACAGCGTAAATACAGTTTCGTTTTCTCGCATTATTATGTGACTCTGGACCAAACCCAATTGGGCTATTAATGAGGAAGTCGCTTAGATAACCCTATGTAAGGCGAAATGAGAATATCTACCACGAAAAATGCTGCTGCTGCTGCTGATCCTGAAGCTTTTGTCCACACACGACGTGGCTGCGTACGGGTATGACTGAGCAAATGCACCTTGGAGAAGAGTTGGGCAACTTACTGATCAAACATGGCATGGAAAGCTCCCCGTTTTAGTTCTTCGCGAACGTTTGCAAGCATGAAAAGAACCTCTTCCTCTGTTCGGCGGAGCACCCCGCAGAAGAGCCTCAGAGAAAATCCTTCCAGACCATGCAAAAGTTGTACCAAGTTGTGCATTCCGACATCTTTGAAATGAGCATCTTTGGGCCATGGACCGATCGGCGCCTTGAATCTTTTGTGCACAATGTTTTGGAACCCAGCATCCCTTACCCAACCCTCGAGCTGTGGTCCAGGACGGGCTGTTCGCCCCATTGTCTCGCAAGCCTGCACGAATTGAAGGTTCCACTGGCGTTCGATGTGATACTCGGTATAAGTTCCGTCATCCGAGTAGTATAGACCATCCATATCCTGAAACTCAACCCAGCCGCCGGGGTTCAGGTGGCTAGGACCATGACTGTCAGGAAAGTCGACGTAATGTGCGCGACTGGAAGAAACTCACTCATATATGTTCTGAACGAGTTTCGGCCAATCTTGGATGGCGACAAGCATATAGCGGACAAATATGTAGTCATATGTCCTGGTTCCAACCCATGGGCTTTCGACATCATCAATCTCGAATTTGACATTGTGCGGCACCCTAATGTGTCAATTGCCGTTTGTGTACTTGCCATATCGACATGAAGGCACTTACCAGGGTGGCTGAATAGCACTCAAGTCGATTCCGATGATCTACATTCCGATCAGTAAACATGTTCTCAGTTAAAGCTAGCAAGGGGCGTCAGTTCCAGGAAACAATACATGCCTCAGTGTTTGGAAAGATATCTCCCATCTCAACTACCCCTGCAAACGATGAGTCATCTTTCATGATGTTTATATTCATTGAATGCGAGAAATTTAACACATCTTAATCTGAAATTACTTACAAATTCCGGTACCTGTCCCAATATCGAGAATCCTGTGGACTTGCTCTCTCACTAGTGGTGCCAGAAAAAGTTTGTAGCCAATTGACTTAACCATAAGAGCGTGGGCCATGTCGTTACGATCCAGTTCAGCCTGCAAAGGTTAGGCTTGCATATGGGACTTCGAACTGCGAAAATAACAACCTCGTCATTTGGAAATGCGTAAACTAGGTTAACGGTTCAGAACGTTAGTATCACCTAAAAGGACGTAGGACGTACCTCCTGATCGGAAAGCATGATATCGGCGTCCATATTCCACTGGGTATTTGACAACGCTGGACGAAAGCGATCTAGAGTACGATGACCAGACTTATGAGCCGAGGGTCTAGTCAATGGCTTCAAGTCGCGTACATCTGCTCATCAAACGAGTTTACATCATCAGTCTAGATGCAGTACGTCAGCTTCACCAGCTCGAGGCAGTGTTGGAAGGAAAGACAAACACCGTATCCATCTTCAGACACGAGCTCTGACAAACGGTCCGCATTCGCCCAATTGTTGGCCATCCTGGAGTATTTGGCTTGGAGCAGATTCGTCGACCCACCAATATGATGAAGTCTTTGAAGATTTACGCACAGGTGTGGCGTGGAGATCAGACTGTTAGAAGAGCACAGAGAATAACTAACCAATGGATATGGGTCGACGGGAGGATGTCCCCTTTTGACGGACGCAGAAGCAAGCGAACTGTGATGACCCACCGTTGGTGCAGCGGCCCAGATGCGTATCACATTCCGCATTGAGATTCCCTGCCAACCGATCCGTGTCGCTTATGGCTGAGAGGCCTAGAGTGTTTTTCAGACCAATTATATTCCCGCGTCTTCGAAGATAGCCATTGTAATATCGGTACAGATGCCCGCGGATGTGCTACCCCTCTTTGCCATCCTGGTCGGCGGCGTATCTCGGTGTGGAAACGATGCAGTTCACCGCGACAGGGACTCTGAATATCTTGAGGCGCATTCGAAATCCCCAGCACTTCCTGCGAGAGCAACTTTATTACATCAGAACCTCAAACCAGGTTTACCCAGAGGTCTTGGCGATCTCGGTAGCAGAATCTGGTCCTTTCCGCATCCGCCCAGCGGAGACGCAGTCGAACCTATGAAGTTCTACTCCAACGGCACAGAGATTTTACCTATTTCCAGGCGAAGGAAACCGGTGATTCAGAGCAAGGTGGCTTCTTAAAAATCACCGTGAAGTTGAAGTTATTTGACTTCTCCAATTTTTTGATCGGAGGCCTTTACTAGAAACGGGCTGTTGCAATTACAGTCCACAATTGGCGATTCCTTTATTGCTCACAAGATCATAGCACAGGCATAGACGCCCTGAATCTAAAATGCTCTACAAGTTACTCTGATACGTCTTCCTGTAAGAATAGACTTCTGGAGCTAATCTGGAACCATTTTATGTATGTCAATTGGGATGCTCGGTGATGGGAGTCCATGGCTATTAGAGAAGAGTTGAAGCTGTTGTCACTGCCTCGAAACCACATTGCCTAGATGTGAACATGCACGATACACAAAAGCGATATGTCGCCAGTCGTATCAATGAAAATTGCAGTGAATGTTTTCGGGTTCGTGTTTTCCGGGAGTGTTTGTAGCGTTGACTCCGTAACTACCAGGGTTGTTGTTTGGCCACAGATCAAACACTTACAAAGGGAGAGACGTCTGGTGATAGTAGCCCAAGGCCGCATGAGTACCAGCAGATTGAAGAGCCACGTTATCGTTATATGACAATGCAGACGAGTGGCTTGGGCCAAACCTTCACCAGTTCCCAACCCGTGACCTTTTGGATGCCCAGCAATTCGCACAGCCTCTTTGTTTGCTCGTCCAATATTTCTGATCATTTGGTAGACAGGGAATACAGCCAGGGGTTTGTTGGTGTGACGAGGTTTGTACTAGAAAAATATCCTTCTGCTTCATTTACTGGCATTGCCTTATACAAGGAATCATCGTCACACCTAGACTATTCATCCTAGTTCATCAATCAAATTATCTGGGTTTGGGAGGGGTGGGAAACATTTAAAGTCTGAATTGTTTCTTCTTCGTTGTGAGTATCTTCTCAGACTACTAAGTCTGAGACGAATGCATGTCGTTATTTTGACGAGGACCGCATCATTCCTTGGTACTAGAGTTGCATTTTTAACTATCGGCCACCAAATACCTCAAAAAATTTCCTGCGCATCATGAAGCCTTGAGCTATCGCCACCGCTTCCATCGTTGTGTTTTCCAGCTTCGCAGGCACGATCTCTGCCGCTGCACGCTGCGTGCGCCGAGAACAAGATGGAACCTTCTTCTACGAGGTCTCTATATCAGACGTGGTCGGAGATGAACTTAGGGATGTATGCGGTGGCCTGTGGGACAATCTCAAAAGGCACCCCGCCTGCATGGTCTACAAGCCCAACGGATGCGAGGAAGGCACCTACCAAGGCTACCTTCATTGGCACTTCACCACCAGTACTGTCTGCAACAAGGCCATGATTCACTCCGCCTACTATGAAGCCACAGAAAGCCAGTGGGGGGCCATAAAGTGCGATTGAGGACCCCGATGATACAAGTAATTGGCTCGTGGTCTCCCTCGACGGGTAGGGGGACCCACATAGCAGTAGATGCCTCACCATCTCAACCCTTATCAGATAGAATAGGAAAAGAGAAATTCTCTTCCCTTTTGAATAGAGATGTATAAAATGTGAGACCAACAATTTGGGCATGAAAAAATGTATTCTACTGCTGCATGTGTAGTCGAATCACTGGCGCGATACATCGAACAAGAACTCAAAATACTCCCCCACTGAGATTTTCACGACAGAAGCGGAGCACTTGGTCACAATTTCAAGATCCAAATTTTTCTATTTAAATCAACAAGTATGTATTCTATTTTTCAAAAAGCCAGCGGTGGCCAAATCCAAAATTTGACAGAAGCCTGAACGTATGGAGCTTTTCTAATAGCTTAATGCAATCATCAGCAACTCATCCTCCGAAAGATGCTGATGCCGACTGATCAACTATGGCGATTATTCTCACGCCAACTGACGAAAGCTTCTCGATTTAATTCCAGATATCATCCATGGTGTCGCACTGGATTGACCCGTATTTGTTCTGGGTCGCATGGAACCAGGCACGGTGAACCATGTCCTGCCCGCATGGCTTGTAGGTCCACAATTTGATGATGAGCCCTCTCTGGTCGTTTCTACATATGGGCTTCTTTGCGTCTATGAACTGGCCGCCACAGTGACGTGTCGACTCCAAGTTTTCCATGAAAGATCGGCAGACTGCCGTAATTTTGTCTGTCGGAACCGTTGCCGTGATGTCGTACTGTAGACCGAAGAAGAGTTCAGGGTGTGCATCTTCCGATATGCCTTTGAGTAGGCAAGTTGGCGCCCTGATTTCACGTGGCTGCAGAGGGTCAGGTATGATTTCAGGGGCTTTTGGGAGGCCGACGACGGTTGCTGCCAGAGCAAAGGTTGGTGCTATGGTGTTTGCGAGCTTCATGACTGAAGGGTTACAAAGCTTTCAAATCCGATAGTGTCAGTCTTATGGTAACACGAAAACCGGTTTGACTGATAAGGATGTTGCAAATGAAATAAAAGCCGGACTTGACATTGACTGTTGCCAAAGCCTATGTAGTACTGAGTGACCGAGGACATCTGGGTCCCTTATGCGACATAAATTGGCTACCTTGAGCGAGGATATCCGGTCTTGGGGTTCTATGATGTTCAGCGATGGAATGCGATACGGCACCTTTGTCCAATGAGACGGTCCATGAGTGCGGATCCCTACGCAAGTCTCAATTCGCAACCGTAGGAATCGAGAACTAAATGAAGTGCACAAGTCCCAAGCGATTTCGAAGCTGTTCCGAGAGTAGGTGACAAATATATAGACTTTAAAATTCCCGAAGCCTGTAGTTTACCCCATGGCCGTAGAAAACTATCCACCAAACAAGATGTGTGGTTCCCATGGCATTCTTATTGATGATCCGGGGTTCTCACATACCCTCTTTATGTTCTTTAATAAACTGTGGGCTATTAAAATCTGTCAAATCTTTGACCTTGATCATCCCACAACAGTGCATAGTGGAGCTATCCAGTAAATCTTTACCTCCGAGCCATTGGCAATTGCTCTCGCCCGAGATTCACCTAGACTACTCACTGGATCACCCCCAACAACGAACAAGAGCTATATTTAGCTATAAGTACTGGTTTGAACGCTTTTGAGTATGGACGAAGATGACAGAGAAGCCGCGAGCTACCTACCCGAGAATGAGATCGCTACCCCAGCGTTGGGCCAGCTTTCCCAACCACCTGCAACCTTCCCTGAACCTTTGTGCAACAGGAGCAGAACTCTGAGTCCTAACCACGGGCATTACGGCGGCACACATCGTCATTCAGCGTCATCGCAATCTCATCGACTGTCGATCTTGGGTATTTTGTCAGCTGCCGAACCACGACTGTCAAATTCAGAAGATGGTATCCATGTTCCCCGGCTAAGAGACGAACCAGCTGCCCTGCTCGCTTGGGACGATGAAGCACCAATGAGACCTATTCGAGAACTAATTCGCGAGGTTGATGATCATTATGGAACGCCTTCAACTCCATGGAGACAAGGCCAGGCGCCAGATTGTCGAGAAACCGGCAGTGATGACCGCCGTGAAGAAGACATCGATTACTTCAGAAGACAAGAAGGGGCTGCGTCTCTCATCGGCGAGTTAATTCGACAGCGGCATGAATATCCAGGCGAGTTCCGAAGAAGGAACGATGGCCGTCTAGTCTACGTAGTGCAAGGGGTCAATGGGCAGTTGGTTACTTATTACAACACCGGACCGCCTACGTTCGAGTGGGATGAGGTTCGACCTGGAGCTGGAGACGGTCTGGTTGGTAACCACGAACAGGTGAATGGGAATTCAGAGGTGCCGGTCAACGACGAGCAAGCTAGATTTCTCATAGAGGCTGGAGCAGACTGTCAGTCGTACGAGCGGGCGTACCGCTATAGCGATGCGTTGGATTTACCAGATTTACACTGAGACCAGAGTATTGCTATGTATTGACAAGAGAATTCCCATGGTAAGGATTTTCGACACATCAGGACCTTTTGGCTTATCTTGGATCGTAGCCAATTGCTAAGTCTCCAGGATAGGATTGGCAAACTACCAAGTCCACGTGTGTATCTCATGGTCGCAGTCTTGGCAGACATGGAGGATGGACAGTTACTGCCAAAGAATTCAAATTCAAGCAGCACAATCCTTCAGCAGCAGGCTAGCCTTCATCGATCCTGCCGAGCCACGATAATAAGCCAGTACTCGACGCTGAGTTCATGAGACGCGTGCCTAACATCATCGTAATTGCTTAGCTAGTTCCGAATAATTACTTTTAACAACGCGTTTCATCGTCTTCGTGAACACTGCGTTTGTCGTCAATAGCTAAGAATCAATGTCGCCTAGAGAGTGCACAGTGTAGCATGAATCCAATCGGTGCAACATGTGGGAAAGGAGGGCCAACTAATCAGGTCATTGCATGTATGGCCATTATGCATTGATGGTTGATCCACGATAAAACAGGAAAGAACATCGACATCGCGCAGGAAAATCTACAGCCAGTAGCCGGTGTCGAAGCTCTCAACTCAAACCCTCGAATTCCAAACTTAGAGTTGAAAGCTGATTGTGGTCATTATTACCATTCCGCCAGTGAGCAGGGGGGTTTCAGCGTGCTCGGCTTCAACGCCTAAGGGGTTCTGTTGATCCTTATGCTGCATAGCATTGCATTACCTAACTCTAACTTCAAACAAATGCTGGCTGCTTTGGCTCTCAGAGGTCGTCCAGCCCTCACACAGACTAATCATCTACTCAGCAATCCCTCTAGCTTCTTCAGCGCATCCCTCTTGACCTCCTCGACCGGCGGCTGCACATCGACTCCGACAACATCGGGCTCGTCCTCATGCGGCGGGTCCAGGCTCTGGAACTGGCTGTGCACGAGGTTCGAACCTGCGAAGTGGCCGTGCCTGTTTTTGACGCGCTCGAAGAGCACCTCCTCAGGGGCGTGCAGGGTTACAAAGTTGACAAAGATGTCCTTCTCCGGGTGCGAGGCGCCACGCAGGACGTCGCGGTAGGCTCGCTTCAGCGCGGAGCAGGTGACGATTACGCCCCGCAGGCCGTCGCGCTCCAGCTCGCGGAGGGCCTCGTCGCGGAGGTTATCGAGCCAGCCCCAGCGGTCGTCGTCGGTGAGGGCTTCGCCTCTGTGCATCTTTTCCACGTTTTCTTTGGGGTGGTACTGAGCGGCGGTGTCAGCGTTAGTGTCCATGCGCTCGCGGTTGATGCGTTTCTTGGTTGGCGTTGACAGGAGAGGGGGCACAGACATCGTCGCCTTCAATGAAGGTCATGTGAAGTGATTCTGTAAGGTACTTTGCTATCGTAGTCTTGCCCGTCCCCGTTGGTCCCGTCAGGAAGACAATATGCTGTTTCGGACGCGACATGTTTGGGTTGAGCTGATTCAATGCTCTCGGCGATAGAAGCTTTGAGCAAAAGTGTTGATGCTCGAAAATAAGGCTGGCTTTGGAAGAGCTCGGAGGCGTTCCCTGCTTCGGGTCTCAGGCAGATCAGAGCACGCGGGGTGGGAAGGGTTCAGATCTCGTTGTCGAAGCGTCCGCGATTGAGTAAGTCGGGAAGACGATCGATACGGAGAGACGAAAGTTCAAATGGCCACCGGTTCCCGTCAGAGTTAGATTGAACAGTGTCAAGGTAGGTTTCTTGTCTTCGAACGGTCTGATGTCTGATGTGCTCTTCTTCTTCTCAGAGTTTCCCATTTGTTGCACTCTTACTTTCCCATGGTGTGCCGGTACAGTCGCTGGATGGCGTTCGGATGATGTCATGCGGACCTAGCAGCGGGACGTTTGGGTCGAACCGTTCGTGTCATGTTCCTCTTTTGTCCCCTTTTCGTTCAATCATAGCCGGGACGATGGATCAGACATTCCAGAATGAGAAAACTCCGACGAGAAAACAAACAAACGAAGCGACACATGGAAAACCGTTGTAAAAGCTCAGAAAGCTTGCCCATGTTGAATAACCCGGCAGTGGTCCAATCAGTTCATGCCTTCGTTTTCGTGTCACCCGTTCTGGCCGTGGACAAGTGACACTGAGAGCAGCATGAAAATCATCCAGTCTAGTATCAAAGCCTTGCATCACTCAACCTTCTCGAACCCAAGCGACTCGAGCAATGCTATTCAAAGAGTCTGTTTTCCCGGCAGTTCCGGATTTTGCTGGGGCGATCCATAGACTTGACATTGTATGCGTAGGGTACGGATTCGGACAGCGAAACGGCACAACCACTCAACGACTGTTACGTGGGGACAACTGTCAGCAGCCGGCGCCGAACTGTCAAGCGATCAATGAATATGAGTCTCGCATCTAGCTCTCTCATCACAGCACCCAATAGGCGTCGGTCTATTAGTCTAGTTGGTTAGGACGTCGGATTCTGATCATACTCAGTCTCTTCCGTAGGCCCAGGTTCGAATCCTGGATGGACCTTTCTCTTTTGTATTTGGGAAGTGCTTCATCGCCTTTTTGCTCTCAATCATCCGTCACCCAGGCCTGCCCATCAGAGTCAAAACCAAGTTTTGTTGACTCGTTCCAACAAAACTGCTTGCAGCTGCAGTTCGAGACGCACCTCATTGACGGGCTGTCTGGCTCACTCACATACATGGCACCAAACATGACATGGAATCGCGCACTGACAGGTTCCTTTCTTTGAAACAAGCAGCTCATCCCCGAACATGAGAGGAACAGCATCATCGTCTCGTATTCTCCCAACCCTTTTCACACACTCTCTCGTCATCCAACAATGAACATTGGATCGATCTGCCGATGGTCGTATCTATCGGAAAGCCTACCCATATCGCACGTCTCCAGCGCCTTCGCGAAACCAATCATCCGCCGCCAACGCTTCCTCGGAGCTCGCGTAGCTGATGATAGTGCTCTTTGTCGTTGTGTAGGCGTGGTACGCATCGATGCCATTCTCGCTGCCAACGCCGCTCGCGCTCTTTGCGCCACCCCACGGACTGCTGGGGTCGTTTCGATGATGCGTGTTCACCCACACGATGCCTGCGTCAATCTGTTCCGACACTCGAAACGCCTGCGCCACGTCGCGAGTCCAGATGCCCGCTCCCAATCCGAATTCACTGTCGTTGGCGAGTGCGATGGCCTCCGCCTCCGTCTTGAACGGCGCCACCACAATCACCGGCCCAAACGCCTCCTCGCGCCAGATGCGCGTCTTGAGGATGTCGCCCTCGGCACCCGACACCAGCACCGTCGGTTCGAAGAAGTAGCCCTTGGCAAAGTCTGTCCCGTCGATGCTGCTCGTTCCAGACATGCGACGGCCGCCAGCGAAAGCTGCACCCTCGCCAGCAGCAAGCGCCTCGTTGACAAGCGCCTCTACGTTCTGTAACTGCTTCGCCGAGATCAGCGGGCCCATCATGGATTCCTGGTTACTCGGAGACCCCATCCGCCGAACAATGGATTCGGCCTTGGCTCTGAGCTTCTCCAACACCGGCTGCAGGATCTTGTCTTGGACGAGGATCCTGGTGCTGGCGACGCATGTTTGGCCGCTAGCGATGAACGACCCGAAAGCAATGCCATTGACCGCAACATCGACGTCGGCCTGCTCAAACACGATCAACGGCGCCTTTCCTCCCAGCTCCGCCGTGTATCGCGCCAGGTTGCCGCCGACAATCGACCCAATCGCCCTGCCCGCCACTGTCCCGCCCGTAACGTCGACCTTGCGGACAAGCGCATGCTCGACCAGCGATTTGCCCGTTGTCGCGCCGTAGCCCGGGAGAACGCTGAACACTCCGTCGGGTACACCCGCCTGCTTCAGGATCTTGCCCAGCAACAACGTCGTGAGGGGCGTCAGCTCGCTAGGTTTCACCACGACGCTGTTACCCGCTGCAAGCGCAGGAGCTATCTTCTTGACAGCGATGAGCAGGGGATGGTTAAAAGGCGTAATCTGCACCACAACGCCCAGTGGGACACGGTCTATCCAGTTGTGCAGCTTGCCCACGGTCGGCAGCACAGCACGTTCTTCGGTGCGCAGCAGCGCGGCATAGTATTTGAACCATTTCACCAGTGTGGGCACCTGAGCGCGCATCTCCCGTATCGCGCGTCCGGTCTGGCGCACCTCTAGAGGAATCAGCGAAGGCAGTTCCGCCGTGAGGAGTTCCGCCGTCTTGTCGAGGACGTCGGCGCGAACATGACGGGGCGACTTGGACCACGTCCCAGTCTTGAAGACCTCGTGCGCAAGACGGATGGTCTCATCGACGTCTTCGGGGGACGCTGCGTGGCAGCTGCATGCAGTTAGATTTCACTCAATGAGAATGGATGGCGGACGAGAATGAGACTCACTGGGCGAATATCTCACCCGTCGCGGGGTCTTCAACCGGGATCCTGATGCAGTGTGAGAATTGAGCATGAGCACGAGCGCAAAGAAGCGGCCTGCAGCTCCTCGCTGCGGGGTATGGGGCAGAGCAAGACGAGGTGAGGGGAAGCAAGAGGATGTCACGAACACTTCTGCATGGCCCGGTTTCTCCTGGCCTCCGACCCAAAGGTTATACGCCTGGGCTGTCATCTTGTCTCTTGTGCGGCTGTCACTCAGAGTTTCGTCTGTGGAGGGCCACCTCGTGAGAATTCAAAGATGCCAACGGCGTGGCACCTTTTATTTGGGGTTGGGTTATCTACCTTAATTACCACTGCGGGGAACCATGCGGGATGCATCGATAGGCTATTGCCCTCCGGCCGGCTCCGTGCTATTCCCCACTCCAAGCTCCCTCCACCGAGATAACAACTTGCCCATTCTGGGTTGCTAACCTTTGTCAACGCATCTCGTAACACGCGACAAAGACCACGGACAGGGATCAACGTCAAAATGCGAGGCTGTTTAAGGTCCACAGCTAACACCACCATCCGCTGCCAGCTTTGGTCCTTTCGCCAAGCTGAGAACAGATGGGGAGCCCATTACCGCTAAGCCTTGAGAGTGGAACGGCTGCAAGTTTTATACTTCAAGGGGGCACGATCTCGCTCGGCTTTGTACAAAGCGCACATACTCGCTCGACGAAGCATGTTTCTCGGTCCTGCAGGCCAACGCAATGAACCACTAGAGCAACGGGCAGCTCAGACGCTGCCTCAAACCTACAGGAAACCTCGTCACGGCAAGCAGTGAAGGCTTGGACGGCTGCCATGGACTTGGGCCCAAAGTCGGCCAGAACGTCTTGTCGTTCGTTATGCCATATAAGCCGGCATCCGACGACTTTGATCATAGACCTGTGACTGACGCCCGCTATTTGAAATTCGTGTTAAACGGCTGGACTGGATTCCCCTTTCTGTTCTTTGTTTTGGTTCGCGGCCGGAAGTCTTGTCAGAGCTCTTCGCAGCCAACAGCAACGACACCCAATACCCCTTTCTTTCCACTGCCATCATGGACTACCTACGCTCTCTTATCGGTGTCAGGACAAAGCAAATTCGGGTGCCCAAGGTGGCGACGGACGATGTCTACCCGGTTCACTTCTTCGATGATACCAAGCCCTTCCGCGAGATGCTCCTGAACTGGACGCTTCGCTTCGACGATGTGCTCGACGCGGAGAAACTTCATCTTTCTCTCGCCAAACTTTTGGAGATTGGCGACTGGAGGAAGCTCGGTGGACGCATGCGGTTAACTGTGAGTGTTCCCTTGAACGCCGCTTCATCTCACCCAGGCTCAGATTTCTCTTGGCGAGACGATCTTGCTGACAAAAACCAACCGCCCAGGATGACAACAAACTTGAGCTTCACGTCCCGCAACAGTTTACTTCGGCTCGCCCCGCCATCCGCTTCTCCCATGATGTCCATGATTTCAGCATCAAGGAACACAACATAGCCAAGCACTTGCCAACCACCACTTCCACCCCGTCCGTCCAGCCCGGTGTCATCAACTTTTACCACCTTGGTGCACGACAGGATGCCCCCAGGACCCTCGAGGACCTTCTCTGCTCCGACGAGCCCGGCATCTCCCTGCACGTCGTCTCCTTCAACGATGCGACACTTGTCGGTCTGCTCTTCTCCCACGTCCTCTTCGGCGCCGCCGGCATGCAGGCGCTCGTTGAAGCCTGGTCACAGGTGCTCGCCGGCCGCGAAGCCGAAGTCCCGGCCATCCACGGCGCCCGCAAGGACATCCTCGACGATGTCGGCGTCGACACGGACCCTGAAAAAGAGCCGTTCCTTCTCGACCCGCGACAGCTCAAGGGCTTCCGGCACTTCAGGTTTAGTCTGCGCTTCCTCTGGGACATTATGCGTCGTCCGGAAATCGAGTCCAAGATCCTCTGTCTTCCCGGCGACTTCGTCGCCAGCCTCCGCGCCCGCGCCATGGCCGACCTGCACGCCATGGACGAGAAGGGGCTGGGCACCGAGGAGGCGCCCTTCGTCAGCGAGGGCGACGTGCTCACCGCGTGGTGGACCCGTCTCGTCTGTCTCGCCCGTGGCTCCAACCGTCCCGTCACCGTCCTCAACGCCGTCGACATCACCGGCCGACTAAAGACCGTCTTCGCCCCCGGAAAGCTCTACGTCCAAAACTTTGCCCTCGGAACCTGGACCCTCCTCAGCTCCGCCGAGGTCCTGAAAGCGCCCCTCGGATACGTCGCCCGCTGCTTCCGCTACGACATCCAGACCCAGACCACGCCGTCCCAGATCATGGCCTTCATGCGCCGTCTGCGCTCCGGCGGCCGCTGCAAGTCGCAGCCCCTCTACGGCGACACCAACAGCATGCTCATCATCTTCACCAACTGGGCCCGGTGCAAGTTCTTCGAGTGCATCGACTTCTCCCCGGCCGTCCTCCCGCGCATCTCGGAACCGGTCATGGCTGACGGCGAGATCCAAGCGAACAGCGACGTCATCAGCAACGGCGGCGACCCGGAGAAGAAGCCCAACGCTTCCATCGCCGAGGTCCTCAACCGCCCGCCCCCGGGCAAGATCGCCTACCACCACTCCCTCGCCCGCACGCGCACCGTCCTCTCCCGCAACGTCTTCACCATCCTCGGCAAGGACCTCAACGGCAACTACTGGATCTCGGCGCTGGGCCACCCCGAGTGCTGGGACAAGCTCGAGAAGGAGGTCGCCATCTCCTCCATGGACGAGCTCAGACGGCTCAACCCCCAACCTCTCAACTAAGAGAAAGGGGGCGCGCGGGGGAAGCCAATCGCTACTCAAAGTCGTTGACGCACATCCTTCCCGGCCTGTCCACAACAGCGACATTGCGTCGGCAGTCATCGGCCCACTGCGCGCGTTCCGGCAGGCTGGAGGATGAGGAAACGGGAGTTTTCGGGCATTTAGTTAGCTAGCAACACGGTCACGGTTACCGGATTCCTTGTCCTTGTGTTGGGTTCCAGCCGAGTCTTTGACGAATTCCCTTGGGAGTTTCTTCGTGGTGCCTGGCTTGTCTCTTGTGCGGTTTTTTCTTTTCTTTTTTCCTTTGTAAATTTGTCTTGGCGATTGGGGGGCTCGGCGATTCTGCGCGATCGTCTCCTCTGGGACTGTCTTTCAAGAGCCACCCCGATTTCGTGGCTCACTGGTCTGGGGTTAATTAGTAATCCGTGCAAGTCGCTTGCTCTGGAACATGGACGATGAGGAGCGGGGTGGGGCGTGAGAGGGAGGGGAGGGGAGGGGAGGGGAGGGGAGGTTGATGTACGATGCTCAGATTGCACTGCCACGAGCGCACTACGAAACATCTTGAATACCATCACAGCGAGTCTGTCATTGATTTTCGCATCAAACCGTGGACTTCTCGTATGTCTGATACGTTTTACCTCCAAGCCAGATGCGTTCGAGTGTGGGTTATCGCATCACCTATGCCATGAAGGTTTACCATGACTATGAAGACACGGAACGTGTCCAATTGGTTGAGGCAGCACGGCAATAATCGGCTGGAGCGGCTTCTCGGCTCGATCAAGTCACTTCAGACCACTGTGGCTTGACAAGGGACAACAGACCGACAGTGCTACTATGAGACGTGCTATGATATTTGCTATGAATATGTTGCTATGACATAAGAAATGCAGAGTGCGATCAACGCTGGTATCAAAATCTAAAAACACAACATCAAGGTATCACCAATTAGACTTATAGATGTGGGAGTAGCCAAACAAATACCATGCCACCGTATCGTAACCGGACTTTATGCTTTCTCTTTCCTTCTTCGTTCAGTCATTAATGACCCCCTTTGGCTTTTTACTCGTCCATGAAGAACTTGACAATCTCCTTGAGATCAAAGAGCGTGACGCCGCGACGCGGGTAGCAAATGTATACCTGCTCGCCCAGGACGCCAAACTTGCCTCTGAATTCGGCCTTGTTGCCGAGTCCGAGGCTCTTGACGATGCCGGAATACGTCTTGCTCAGGAACTTGGCCCGGACACCGTGGAGGTGCTCGCCGGGCACGAACCTTTCGCTGACGCCTGCTCCAAAAGTCACAGGTCCCGATATGCACGACAAAGCATACTCAACGAGAACCTCAATGGTGCCGTTTGGTGCGTCAGGGAAGTCGAGCGCCCACTTGACTTGCCAGCCGTGTCTGGGCGCGAGCTGTGCAAGGACGACCATGCACAGAACCTTGCCATCCTTCTCGGCAGCAAAGTAGCGGCGATGAGCCTGGTCGATCCAAGGTCGGATTTCGGTGAGGTGGACCTGCTTCTTGCCCTTGCGCTTCTCTTTCCATGCGTCGATAGCCTGCTCGGCACGTTTGATGAAGTCTTCGTTAGGCTTGAGTTCGTGGATCTTGATGCCCTCCCTCTTGACGCGTCTAGCGGCACGGCCGTCGGGTGTGGTGTGTTGGTCCGCGTCCGCCCGCTGCTCGACGGTACAGCTCATGGTCCGCCAGCCGATGCGGCGTCCGAGAATCTCCTGCACCTTGTTGGAAACCAGCATCCATACGGGTGTCAATTTGAGTTCCTTAGTGACAAACTCAACGAACGCCGGGATAACCTCTTCGTATTGACCCCGGTCGCAGAGAGGGTCTCCGGTGATCATCGCGAACTTGCCCTGCTTGACGTACCCAACTGCAGCACCGCTACTGTGGCGCCAAATCTCAAACCTCTCGTCGAGCCATGAGGTGTTGGTGGCGTCGCCGTAGTTGGCAATGAGATCCTCCAGTGGTGGCAATTCCTTACCGGCCCATGCCTTGGTAGTGTCGGCAGCGGGGTGCGGCAGGGTAAAGGACCGCGAGGGTAGAGATTTCGGGTCACGGTAGAACAAGGTGCCGTATCGAACATCTCCCAAGTTGAGGAGGAGGAAGACAACGCGATCCAGCCCGAGGCCGGCACCGCCGTGCGGGGGAGCACCGAGATCGAAGGCCTCGAGGTATTCGGCCATCTCCTCCTCCGAGATGCCCTTTTCGGCCATGTTCTTTCGTAGCTCAGTGGGGTCGTTGATGCGCTGGCCGCCGGTGCAAATCTCTTGGCCGCGAACAAAAATGTCGAACGAGTTGGTCCAGAAGGGGTCTTCGGCCTTGTGGGTGTAGAACGGGCGAGCATTGGCAGGGAACTTGTCGAGGATGTAGTAGTCTGTGCCGTACTTCTCCTTGACCAATTCGCCCAGACGAATCTCGTCAGGTGTCGAGAGGTCTTCGTCAGCAACATCGCGACCATCATTACGCAGCATTTGCAGACCCTCGGGGAATGGGATGATGGGAGTCTCGTCCAACCATACGAGATCCTCGCTCGGGAAGCGCTCGCGGATGATCTGGAGCTCGGGCATCGACTGGACAGCCGTGAAAATGTTCTTCAAAGTCTGGTCGAGAACCTTAATAAGCTCGTGGTAGTGCTTTTGAATCTTCATCTCGATGTCGAGGCCAGTGTACTCAGTCAGGTGACGGTGGGTGTTGGAGTTTTCGGCGCGGAACACAGGACCGATCTAAGCATGTTAGCATCAGTTGACTTGCACGGACTGTGCGCGCATTGCGTGACTTACTTCATACACCTTGCCAAAGTCGGCGGAAATGGCCATTTGCTTGGCCAGCTGAGGGCTCTGTGCCAAAAAGGCCCGCCTTCCAAAGTAGTTGAGCTTGAAGACTTCGGCGCCACTCTCGGTTGCGGCGGGCTGCAGCTTGGGGGTTTGGATCTCGATGAAGCCGCTGTTGTCAAGGGTCTCGCGGAACTTGCGCGTAATCATGGCACGCACGCGGAAAAGCGCTTGGTTGCTGGGGTGTCTCAGGTCGAGTATACGGTTGTTCAGCCTAAAGTTCATGCTGTCTGGGGGTTGGTAGTTGCTGAACGGCGGCGCTTTGGCGGGGTTGAGGAGGTGGATAGAGTAAATGTCCACCTCGACATCATGGTAGTGCGCCGACTTGACTTCCTCGACGGGTTTCTTCAGAGTGCCAGACACCTGAACAATGGACTCTGGGTGCAGTCGCTGGACCCATTTGACCATGTTGGGCGTTGCATGCGCCAGAACTCCCTGGATTGTGTCCGTCTGGTCACGGAAGAGGATGAAGTCGAGATGCTTCGAGATGTTCCTCTGGGTGTGGATTCTCGCGCGGAACGTAATCTTTGTACCGACGTCCAACTTGACGGCCTCACCAATAGTCGTCAACTCGGTAGGGTAGTCGTTCTCGTCGCCCTCTCCATATCGTGCCCTCGTCTCCTCGTCCTCAGCGCGGCGGGCTTCCTCATACTCTCGCCTGCGGCGTTCCTCGAGCTGGCGCTCTTCTTCCTGTTTGCGCAACAGCTTCTCGCCGCGTTCCTGGCGCTTGAGCTCGCCGCTTCTTGCTGGGCTACGTCCTGTGCTGGACTTGCTGGACTGGCTGGTGGAGCTCGAGGTGGGAGACTTCTTCTCGTAGACGGTCGTCTTAGTGTGCGTGGGAGCGATCGGGCTGGTTGATGTCTTCAACGGCAAAGTAAACTTCTGAGCGAGGCGCGAAAGCGTGCTCGGAGAGCGTGTCACAGCTTCCTGTTGGGTCATGGTGTCGTTACCTCCCCTTGGCGAGGGTTGGGTAAAGCTGTGGTTGTGCGTTACTAGTTCTCTTGGCAGGTGTGAAGATGAATTGGATGTGGCAGAGTGGTTGAGTCGGCCAAGACAAGTTTACATAGGGGACGAGGAGGGGAATCAGGGTAGATCAATGCGGGTTCAGGGTATAAGAAAGAAGAGACTCGGTGGGAGCGGAAGGGCGGAAGGAGGGGTGGGAGAGGATGAAAAAAAGCCAAACTGATAACGAACACAAGTTCGGATTCCGTCAGGTCCTTCAGGTCCCTGGGGTCCCTCGTCCCTCGGCGTGCGACATCCAGCGGTCCGCTCGAGCAAGACGACGTCGGTCTTTCTTTGCATGTTTGACTTTGGGCGTCGTGTACCAGTGACTTGGCAATGGGTACGCCGAGCCTTGGGAGACTGCGGTACGGAGTCTTGGTTGATGGGACGGCTGGGAATACGCTGGGAGTGACTAAGACGCTTATACGACATGATGGCAGGGCGACAGAGGTTCCAGACTGGCCGCCAGCCGGGTTGGAAACTCGGGAGCTTGGAACACAGCAAGGAAACGCCAGGAAGGCCAAGGTACCCGGTACCAAGAAGCAGGAGTACTGCAATGACCTCGAGTTACCTCATCTCACCTCCCCGATTGCCGGATGCTTTCCACCACCCCTCCACCTTGAGGCCCGAAAAAGAGCACGAGTCGAAAAACAAAAAAGTTTGCTGAAAACACCACATGCCGCAAGGCAGGGGCATCGATCGCATCGCGCCGCATCGGGCTCGGGCAGACGCGGGCGGTCGTTAGACTCAGAGGCCGGCCGTGGGTGAGTGGTCCCTCTTCCTCTGCCTGCCCACTCCCACCTCTCTCCCTGGAGCTCCAATCCTCGTCGAAGTTTCCTCTGTTTCCTCTGTTTCCTCTAGGAAATTCGGCCGTGTGGTGTCAATGAGACGTCATTGGCTGTGGGGCACAACAGACATGCCCCTGCCTGGCCCGGCCTGGCCTGTTGGTGACTGGTGAGGCCAGCAAAGGGTCACGGACGTCGGATCCGAGGTTGTGAGTGGTTGAAACCCAAACAGGGTGGTCATTCATGGACGCTTTGCTCCGGCAATCGCTCTAAAAGACTGGATGGAGCCAGGTCCACTCCTTCCCGTGTGCAAGGGTTGGATCTTTGGGTTGTTTGGATAGAGAAAGGAGGGAAAACTGCTTAAGGAAAGACGGGCCCCATTGGATGAGGCTACCCATTCTGTGGTAGTGTAAGCGTGGCATTCTGGCATCGTCTGGAAACCGCGGGCATCTGCGCTCCTGCTGCACGAGAGAAAAGAGGTGGTGCCAATGCTACCTTAGCTCCGATCACATCCCGGAAGGTGCGGCCCCACCCCACCCGCGGGTCCCTGGCCGCCTGGCGGCCCTGCGCACCTGCGAAGCGCAACAGCGCAAAATGACGTCAAACGCTCGGCACCTGGGATGATCCCAAGGTTCCGCCGCCTACCTAGGTATCCCACCTCTCACTAGCCACCGTGGCATCCCCAGGATCCTAGGATGGATGGATGGATGGATGCGCAGGTCCCCTTGCTGCCATTTCTCTCTCACCTTTGACACCGGCCTGACCTCACCTTGCGGCAACTGGAAACTGGCATCTCCTGCACACCTACATCCCGCATTAAGTGAGCATCGTCTGGTGGTAACATGGTGACATCTTGTCTCGTGTCCCCTGCCCCGCCCTATCACGCCTGCCCTGTTTTGTTGCTTGTAAACGGCTGGGACGGATCCCCCTTGGCCTCGGCTGATGTTGTTCGCTGCCCCTTTTGCGTCGCATGTCTCTCACGTCGACAGGCTTCTCGATCCCGCAGATACGCGTACGGAAATATCTGCATTCAGCATCCGTCAAACTGACATTTTGCCTACCTCATCGCTGTAACCTCGAACCTCGACTGAGCCACAGGTTCCGATCTTCATCCGCCACACACACACACACATCTGCCACCATCCGCCACATCTCCTCCTCCCCTACAGACTGTACCACCGCGTGGCACGGGCACAACGTGGCAAGGCACACCTTGCCAAGGAAAAGGCCACCTTGGACGTCAACGATACCTGACGCCGTCCCCTCCTCCATCAGCCGCTCGGAGCCCTTAGCTCGCCGTCGACTGACGACCTCTATCATACCTTACCTACTTTGCCTCCCTCAGTACCTCGATGCGGTATCCCACGGGTTCCTCCTCCATCACCCACTTCTGTTGATTTGTCACCATTTTCTCCTCCCATCTCTGATTCCGTCCCTTCCGACCTGTTATCAATCGCCTGCTGTTCCGGCATACCCGAGATACCATACAGGTAGACACCACAGCACCACTGTCTGACCGCCGCTTTCGACCTGGAGCACTGAGATATGCCCCTCTGATGTCCAATCGTCCGCCGCTCTTTGCCAGCCTTACCCACTCCGCTAGCTTGGGTCTGACCTCCTGTTCGCGCTCCGTGCATTCCGTATCCCGCATCCCGCATCCCCAATGCTGCAACAGAAGCTCACCCGCACCGTATCCAACATCTCGAATGCTTCCAGGGCGAGCAAGAGCAGCAAGAAGGGTAGCAAGGCCGCTAGCAAGGCCAGTAGCCTAGCCGGCAGCATAACCGGCACTCCCGACGAGGAATATGACAACCCACTGGAGAGCGTGTCTCGCTGGCGCCTGACCGCCAACGCCGTGGCCCTCCGTTCGGGGGCCGCTTTTGCCTTCGGACTGCAGAACCTTTCCGCTCCCGTCCCACCCGCTGCGAATAGAGTCATCTGGCTCGATTCGACTCTCTCGGAATGGAGCGGCAAGGAGAAGATCAGGGTTGACGTGTGGCTTCCACCCACCACTTCGGCCAACAGACCCACGGGCAAGGTCCCTGCAGTCATCAACTTTCACGGCGGAGGTTTCGTCCTCGGACAGGGCACCGACGATGCACGCTGGGCTGGCGCCGTAGCGACCGCCCTCAACGCCGTTGTCTTCTCCGTCAACTACCGCCTGGCGCCCGGCTACCCCTTCCCCACACCGGTGGAGGACTCTGCCGACTCTATCCTGCAGATCGTCGCTCGTGCTGAAGAGTTCCGCGTTGACACCCAAAAAGTCTTTCTCTCGGGCTTTTCGGCTGGAGGCACGCTAGCCCTCGCCAGCTGGAATATTCTCCAGGACCCTGACAGGTGGGGTTACAAGTTTAAATTCCCAGTCCCCGACATAGCCGGCATTGTCCTCTTCTATCCACTCTTGGATTGGACTATGACAAGGCCGCAGAAGCGCCAGACATGTGGGAGGCCAGACATGACCTTGCCCAAAAGCATGACCGACCTTTTTGATGCATCCTATGTATACCCTCCCCGACCAAGGTCGGAACGCGGTGATCCCCGTCTCTCGCCAGGTCTCATGACAGATGAGATGATAGATCGGCTGCCACCCGTCCACCTGTGCATGTGCGAGTACGACATGCTCCTATTGGAAGGCCAGAGCTTCGCCCAAAGGGCAAGATCCCGAGGCCGCAGGATCAGCACACGTGTTGTCAAGGCCGAAAAGCATGCCTGGGATAAGCCTCCACCGTTCACGCCAAAAGAGTCAGTCATGATCGAGTACAACGAGGCCATCACGGCCGTCAAGGAATGGATGGAGAACCCCGACCCGAAGCTTGGATGAGCGCCGTGTGCTTAACGTCGCGCAAGGTTCCGTCGTCTGACACTTGGGGCGGGCACAAGCCTTTTAGCAGACACGTCCAGTGCGGAGCAGCGCAACTCGCTCTCAGCCTGGAAGACGTTTTGGTTCAGAGTTCTAGACCAACAAGGTTTCTTTAGGACCCATATTGAAGGGTCCCTGGAGTTGTGGACTGTATTTGCGTTGCGGGTTGCACATTGAGCGCATTCGAACATGACTGGGGGAGACTTGCTAGATGCTGTCCTTGGCTACTCTGCGGCCGGATATGCGGCTCGTCGACGCCACGTTAGATACTTTGAGCCTTGATATTATTTCAGCGGAATAGACATTCTCATTTCAAGGTGGACAGCGGACATTTCATCCGCGCATCGTTTCCCACACTGAGAACTGACGTATCCGCGGGGCGATGTTTGATGTCCCACTGAATTTGTTTCTTGTTTTCCGACACGTGAATGGCTGGGGTTCCAAACTTTGGAACACTGCCATTCAACATTGCGGGGTCGGGGAAAACTTTACGGATAGGTTCTCAATAACGAGACGTTCGACATCAAACACAAACACGAGATGGAATGTACTCGTCAAAGGCCGGGTTGACTGGCGTGAGGTCTTGGCCAAGTTGGGAGCTGTCTGGGGTGTGACAGCGCATGACTTTGTGAGAAAGCCTCAAAGCCACCGCCGCCACGAGACCTTGGAGGGTACCATATATTTCTATCTCTAGCGAGCCAGGGCCGACACAAAGTCCCCCCCTTTTGGGTTTGCCTAGCGGCAGGCTTCCCGCAGGTGATCTCCTCCCGCATACGACGCTGCAATGCAATGTTCAAAGTTGACCTTCAAGGTGATTCTTCAGGGCGTGCTTTGTTTCTGTGTAAGTGTGAGTGTTCGAGGCTTGGTGCGGCGGGGGGTTGTGGATTCTTGTACGGGGTTTGAAGGGTGTTTGACACGAGCTGCGGCTGGGGAATGGAGACCTTGAAGCCAAGACTTTGAGCCACAGAGCGTGCGCGTTGGCCGGTGTCGTTATTGAGGAGAGTGTCGAGGGTACGTTGAAGATGCTACGCTTGGTTTGGGGGGTTCTTGGTTTGTGATCCTGCGTTGTGTTTGTGGGACGTGATCCCGGATGTTGGAGGAGCGGTTTGGTTGGGGTATGCCGGCCAGTTGCCTATCGCCTTGGATTTGTTCTGTCTTTCAGTCAGCAATTGTCTGGCTCTCCGGATTTCGTTCTTTGTCTCAAGATGGCCATGGAACAGATACTTCAAAGTAACAGTACGCTTAGTTCCTTTCGTCTGAAGCTTCGTGCAGCATTGCCAGACTGCCCAACGTTAAAGAGGGCTGCTACTTTCAGAAACCTAGAGATTTATCAATACAACTACACTGCATGTTCAGCTCACCTTAGCGATTTCTTTGCTAGACAATGACTGGGTCGTCCTTGACTAGGCCTTGAGACTTCGCATCGCGCGGGGGTCGAACCCGCTCCCTGATATCTCTGGCTCGCAAATGCAAGGTGTATAGATACTCGAGGCGGCCAGATGCCGAGACACCAACGACGCTATAGGGCCGAAACCCAAGGTTCCCGCCCATCAAGAAATAGAGGTTACGCCCATCAAGAAATGAAAGAAGGTGGGCTTTTGCCCATACAGAAATGAAGAGAGGGTAGGCTTTCGCCTGTCCATGAGCTGGAGGTGTTGGCTTATTCGTAAAGAGAGCATCGATGGTTTAGCTGGAGTGCTCAGACGCTGGGACAATAGGCGGCTAGTTTTGCTTGGATGCTTCAATCCTGGCTTTCGCATCGTCTAGAGAACCATGAGGGCTTACGTGCCTTTCCATTTGTGACAAGTCGTAGCACGCAGCCAAGCATAGCATAACGAGGTGTCCAAGTGCTTGAATTGAGAAAGGGGTAGCAGAAGGCGGTGGCCCATAGCAATAGGCCTCCGAAGGGCCATTACGTGCCCTGGTGCATGACGAGGCTGAGGCCAGCAGCCACAATATGGCGAACCTCTTTGTGAACAAACGCTATGAAGGGTCTCCTTACCACTTGGGTTGTGGCCTCATTTCCTTCATAGACAAATTACAGGCATCTATCTTCATCTCAAATTCATCTGAGATCTGGTTAAGACGGGGTTGCAGCCGCCCGGCCGTGTGAGCCTGCGACACGCAATCTGCAATAATCGATCTGATCTACATACTAGATGCAAACGCACCGCCTCTATCAAACCACAGAATTCGATGCGAGATTTCACACGCTTTCCTGTTCCACCTACTAGCTATAAATGCTTATCTCTAATACCAGATCCATGACTTCTGACGCTGGGCTGCAATTGAATTATAATGATCACAACTGACAGGACGGTTTCGGTCATCAGGAACTCAAACATGGCTTGGTAAAAAAAACATATAGCCAGCCTATACGGCGTTGAACTTGGATACAAAGCGGCCGGTGGACAGAGTGGCTCGCATCGTCAATAGAGAGGTTTTGACAAAGGGCATCTAAGCGTTCAGGAAGGAGGCGGCATTTAGAGCCTGCTTCTTGCGTCCAAACACGTGAAAGATTGGTGGCAGCCGGCTTTGCTTCTTACAGATATTTGTTGTTGCAAACACTCACTGTTTCTTGTGGTCTCAGAAGATCTAAAGCAGCCCGAAAAGATAGTAGCAGCAGCAGCATCACTACTTACCAGGGAACGGCAAGCAAGCCGCCTATCAAATCACGTTTTAGCATCTGTATCATCAGGGTGGAAAAATGAGTAAAACCCCCCACAGTCCCTTGTTAAGATCTCCAAGCGAGCCCAAGCTAATTGTTTAAGCAGATCTACCTTACTATTTTGTTCTCATTGCTACTACTCAGTAATAATACATCTTGTTGATCATGTGACGTATAGGGCAAAAACGGTGGCTAGCAACCGGCATCTAGGGTGCATACTGTCAAGCACAGCTCCTGGGAGCTGTGGATACCATACTAGCGAAATATACGAGTTCCTTGAGCTCCTTTAAACGTCAAACTGCGGGAATTCCTATTTCATACCTTCATTGGGTCATGCTGCACACGTCAGATACGGGTGGCGAGCAAAGTCAAGGACGCGCGCACTATGGGCGATATAGCAAGTAGGCGTCAAATAAAAAGCTCCCTGAATTCTGCCCCTCCTCACAGTACGACCCAATAAGGTGGTATATGTATATTTAGGCTCAACGGGGCCGAGGAAACGCTCCTGACGCGCCGGGGAAATTGATTCTGAGAGCTGGCGGACCTCCGACGCCGGGAGTGCGCAGCGTTATCGCGGCTACTACCCCCTTGGAGGGACCAGACGACAGATGGTTCTGGAAGCACGCTTCTCAGCAGTGACTCCTAGGTAGCTAGTTTCGGCTCTCTTGTACGAAACTGACATACTTTACTAAGAATGAGTGTGATTTGTAAATATAACTAAGAAAACGCTGCGTCTGCTATAAGAATAGCGAGTCATACAAGTTGATGGAAGTGAGACATTTGGATAAGAATGTGAGCCCCGCAGTCAACCATGTTTACTCTTCTCTCGGAACCCAATTCCGTATAATGGATCCCTTCGGTTCAGCCTCCTTTTCATGATATGTTCATCTACTATATAGCCCCACTGAACAAGCTCATGATCGTCTTTCATTGGAGAGAAATAGCCATGGGAGTTGTGCGCGAGTCAGATGCTTCTCCTGTTTGTCTCGCAAATAGAGAACACCGCGAGGGTCTGTCCTTGCCGACCCGGCCGGTCAAGTAAACAATGGGGGACGCAGCTCCTCAACTTTGACATAAGACCCAGCCTCTCAGGGTACAGCCATCAGGTCCTATGTGAAGCCAATCAGAGCCGTTCCCAAACCTCAGGTTCTAGAATGTCAGCCCTATTCGGGCTCTGCGCCCGAGCTGAGGGTTCGGTCAAAGCAACTACGATATCTCTCATGCTAAAGCCCTTGAAACAAGTTGAGCCACTCGGCTGGATCCGCCCCTGGAATACAAACCCGTTTCCAGCAAAGACGTCTGGCGAATCGTAGTGGACTATGTGTTGCCCCAATGAGTTCCTCGTGCTCAATCTAGCCCCAAAATAGACCAAATGCTCCGAGCACAGCTGACCGTCTCATCAACATGAGCATGGCTTGCGAGAGGCTTGGTGTTGAAGAGCTTCACGATGCACGGTTTGCCAATACTCGTACCTTGTGAGCGATCCGCTTTTGCAATCAATCCGTCACCGGTAAGTTTCTCGTGAAGTGGCCAAGACCCAAGAATAAACTTTGGAGTCGACGATGACATTGTTGCTAGATGCTGTAGGTTTGATGTGGGCTTCGAAACGGATCACAACTTGCAAAAACGACAATCTATGGAATCCTAGAATTTAGATATAAGTCGGCCGATTCCCCGTCTAATTCACGTTTTTATTCCAGTCAACACACTCTCATACTTCATCAACTTACTTAGCCCTTCGCTCAATCATCCTCAAGACTCAAGTCAGTCACTCAACTATCTTTTTATTCAATCACTCTCAACTCAAACTTCAAAATGCGTTTCTCCGCTATCTCTGTCTCTCTCGCTTCTGCGCTCGCAGTCAATGGCGCAGCCGTTCCTGTCGTGGCACAGGGTAACATCTCCGCCCGTGAGGCCAACCCTGTCAATGTCGAGACCGTCACCTTCGCTGGTGCAAAGGTAGACAACGTTGTCGTCGCCCGCTCCGACGAGGCCGCCCCTCTCGCCGAACGCCAGGCCGGCGTCACCGCTGTCGTGAGTGGCCTTGGCGCCGGAGCCATGAGTGTCGCTACCGAGGTTGCTGTCAACCTGATCACCGATACCCTTCGTGCGGTCGTCGATTGGACCGCCGCCCGCGAGGCCTTCACTCAGAAGACCGCAACCCAGATGTACAAGACCAACCCCGACCCTAAGAAGTTCCCCGCCGCCATCTGCTACAACCAGGGTTACCGCGTTAAGGACCCCAAGGGCATCGATGGTAAGGCCAGTGTTACTCTACGCTCTAATGTTTTGCACGTCAGGTAAGTTTCCTCAATTATATCCATCTGCTACTGGAAACAAACTAACATGCTATACAGCTACGACTGCATGTACATGACCGCAGCTAACGCCTTTTACACTGACGGCGATGGTGGTGCCATCAACGTAAGTAGCAGATCCCAGTCTGGTGAATCACAAGACATTGGCCTACTAACACGTTTTGGCAATAGCTGTACTACGCCTACGACGGCAAACGTTGCTCTTTCGACAAGGCTACCGGTGACCTTACCTGCAAATAGACATTGGTCGCCTCGTGAGGATGGGCTATAGAATTCATTCGCTATGGAGCCGTCGTTCTTCCTGAATGGGTCTCGTCTTTTTGTACATCAAACTTTTGAGAAATATCTAGCCTCTGTTACACCTTGTCCTATTGAGAGACGACTGAGTCTAGGATCGCATATGCCACAGATTCAGGTGCCACCCGTCGATAACATTCCCCTTCAGCCCCAGCCGGGCCAGCTCGTTTGGGGTCTTGAACCGTAATCTCTGCATCGTGATACTCCCGCCCAGTGACAGTCACGACTTATATTGTTGCCTATGGCCCCCTGTCCCTACATTATTTCCCTTCGCCGTTGATTTAGGCTATTAGTTCAATGTGGAGGGTACTTGTTTGATGTCTCAGTTCAAAGCTATAGGCTAGTAGTCTCACCAACTAGTCAGAGTCAGCTTCACCCCGATCCTATTATTAGCAACAGTATTGGCTTCCAAGGACTATCATCTTCTTTGATTCATTCTTCTCCTCTAAAAAGTTTCAAGTATGACTGGCCAAGCAGGCTATTCAGTAATAACAGACTTTTAAAATGGGCAAAGCCAGAAACTGGCCTATAGAACCGGCATATAGCTATGCCGAGCAATTAAGAGAAACAGGTGTGATCCAAACAAGACTTTGTTTCGGTCAAAAATTGACTGTCAGAGGATATGGTTCATTTCCCAAGAAATACCTATGTATTCTCACAATCCTCTTTGGAGTTTGAGTCATTTTATGAAATGACACCACATGCACCTAATCCCATGTTTCGCTACAATCGTTGTTGGGTCAATCAATATGGAGCTTGAGCTGGCGCTGAATTGGCCGTCCCTAGGCCGGCCACCTCCCTACGCGTACTCCTCAATACAATGAAAGTCAGCAGGAGCCTCTTCCTCATGATCTGTCATATCTGCGAAAATACCCTCATGCAGGCCTACGCAGACAGTTTGCAGACTTCAGCAATCTCTTAGGATCTTGGAAGATCTGAGAGATTTTCTTTTCAAGTCCACGTTACTCTCAGATCATGCATCCCGTTTCCAAGCCTCAGGATGGCAAGTGATGTGTCACGCGGCCCAATCAGCCTAAACCATAACTTGCCCCCCATGGAAGCACACTCCCACAATTTAGCACGTATTTCTTGCGAAAGACAAAATCAAATGAATTGCTATAGAATTTGGAGCTTGAAACGACGACTGAAGTGAACTCCTTACGGAATATCTCGATTGACCAGAAAAGGTTGACGACCGTACTATACGCAGACACACATTTTCAGCAGTTGGTTTTGGCGTTATGGAGTGGAAGTTTGAAGGCTCAGTTAGGAGCTAACGAAACAGCTAGTGCACAGATCAAATAGTAATCCTGGTTAAGAAGTAGTTGAAACAAGGGGGCGGGGGGAAGGGGTCATGGGGGCTTGTACGAGTAGCTCGGTACTGGTTCGGACATCTTCCATGTCTCTGATAACATGGTGCCCCTGTTATTTTCACTTGGACTTGATTCCACTTCTTCCCACCTAAACGTCTTAACGGGTCATAGCACGACTCCATTCTTGCTTCTTCAGTCCGGTCTCTTCACTCTCGCGCTTCCGTTCCTCCGGCCAGTATGCCACAGCGAGGCTTGATCTCGTCTGTGGCGCTCAGGTAGGTGGCTCACACCGCCATCTACTGCTGCATGTGTTCGTTGAATAACCCATCGACCCCAAAATCCTCCTGGAAACCGTACAAGGTGTCGGGTTTTCTCACGGCGTCGTGATCAAGCCCCTCGGGCATCTCTACATCCCCAGATGGCTCCTTCTCCCGCCCGGAGGAAGCCTTTATTCCAGTCACTATCCATAGGTACGCCGTTTATAGCGACTGCATGCTATGCTGCCATGTGGATGCCAGCAGCTACCGCGCACTTCTCAGTGCTGTTTCTGTAGTATGGGTTTGAGCTCTGACATGCTGTCTCCTATTGCGAACGAGGCGGCTGGACCTGCAGTTTGTCAATTAAGAGTGTAGTAATTGGCGGCGATGCACCTAACTGCACACTGATGCTTTAGGATGGGGCGTCGCTATGCTAGCTCCCTTAGAGTATCTTTGTGTGGCTATTGTGGCTACTGGAATGGGGTGATATGCACATGGGTCAGATAGATAGACTAAAGAATAACAGCCTCAGGAGATCACGGATCGGGCTATTCTTTTTCCTTTTTCCTTTGTATTTTAGATAGCTTAGGAGCTGCCCAGCAGGGCAAGCTCATCAGGAGAATCATCACTCATCGTCGTAAACTTACAGCACGAATATATGAGTTGCTGCCACACATACTGCTTTGTCTTATTTTGCCTTATGGAGTGACTTTATTTTATTCTTTTAAAGATTATTAGACCTGAGAATCCCATTCTCGACTGCTAGGTCCCTCTTTTACACCCGAGAGCGTGCGTAAGAGTAGCACTGGCCAAGCCGCCTGCCTCCCTCTGCCTCCTCGACAGCGCGCTTCACGTGCGCTGGCGAAGGCTGGTATGTTAGGTTAGTGTGGATTGGTTAGTTGCGCTCCCACGCGCGCAACCCGTTTTCCCTACTAGAGTATCTTAGGTAATATTTTGTTGTTGGTCTTAGGGGTGATACGCGGTAGGTTACTTGATAACATCAAGCGAATATTGATGACCTTGTCTGAATAACTTAATCTTATCTTTGTTATATAGATCCTCTCCGTAGTTATCTAGCCACCTTGCAAAAGCGGTGTGGTGTTGAGCGCTGTGTATGACGGCAGATATTTCGCTTGAAGCATACTTAGGACGTTGTAGTCGCGCATACCGGTCAATGTTACTATCCTAAGCGGTAGTCAGAATAAGTATGTCCTTTTTTATGCTAGGTGGGTTTCTTAGCAGTGGCGTATAAAGTAGGCCAGCAAGCTTGTTGTTGATTTGGCTCAAGCCGAGTTTTGAGGACCGCTTAGTGTTAATATGCCCATCTTCTTAGATGTCAAAGTAGTGAACGAAGTGCTCATCCGCCATATTGTCTCCAATAGTTTGGTCAAACTTGAGCGACGAACGCATGAATGTGTTGTAGCTGAGGAATGCCCTGGCTATTAGGCTCTTGAGATGTACCGTTCGTTTGTAATCGTTCATCACTGCATATTTGACATTGTGCCCCATGATTTACTTGAAAATGTCACTGGAATTTTTTTCCTTTGGTTTCTTCTGCGATGGAGACGTCTGTTAGGAGGCTGAATTCATGGTACAACTGAGTGTAGCTAGCGACAGCACAGGTGCGCCCGACGTGGTAGTGCATATCGGTATACTGATTGGCAAGCTCGCGAGAGGCGTTATCAGTTGCGAGGTCAGGATAGCAAATACGATACGGTTTGGTATTTTCAGAAAGCATTTCAGTATGGCGTTGCGCCTTCTAGTGAGATTTCTGCCATTCCCCTGGTACCAGAGCCGGGTCACCTCGGGATGCCTGGCGAACTCCTCGTGATATCGAATTTTTTTTGATAGTGCAGCGAACTTTGTCGGCTGTCGATCCAACACCCCCATGAATTCCCTGAGGTAGACGCTTTTCTTCAATAGCAGCAAAATGGTCATTTTTCTTCCTATTTGAGAACGAAGCCGAAATGCGTGCTAAAGGCTGGAAATAACGGTAGTCAAGCAGCACCATTTCTGAAACGTTTGCGAAAAGAATTACTGAGCACTAAGTCTAGAGGATCGTAGGAAAATGAATGAAACTCCAATTAATTGATCTGGACAGAGTTGAAGGAAGCAACTAGTGTTCAGGGGGTCGGAGATGAGGACTCAGCTAAAGACCTTCGGAACTCATTTTTTCTCAAGCAACAGCAGAGGAATGATTCCCAAGACCAAGTTCAATTAAGCTCATGCGGTATTTTCAAGTCTTTATAGAGTAGTAATAAAGCTCAAGTCTAATCTGTTTGCTCTCCACGCACACTTCAAGTCAACATGGGCAAGGCTGCAGGTATTTTTCCGTTGATGCCCCTATGGTTACAGCAACTACCACACCAAGCAGGGGTACATGGAAGGAGAAGTTACGGCTCAGTCCAACAACATCAACAGTTTCTGTCTTCTTAATTACATCGTACTGCTGCCTCTCTCTCATGGCATCCTCTCCGCCAGATTGGACCCCGGTGAGCTTAACGCCCATCGTCAAATCTATTGCTAAGTTTCCTACGGAACTGTCTGGTGCAATGTCCTCTTACCTGCCAATCTCAAACATCAAGAAACTACATCTTGTCTCCACGCGAGTTGCCAATGTCGTCAGCGCCCATCTCCGCGTTACACGCGTTTTCATCTCAGCCAACCCCTGCAGCATTCAAGTATTCTAGGTAATTGCTGACCATGAGAAGTTCCGTTAGGATATGCGTGAGATCGTCTAGGGTGATGCCCGATTCGTAGAATCGCTGGGGGTAGAGACATGTAATACCTGCCGTAACACGCCGAAACTGCGCAACAGTTTGTCGCGCAGCTACCCCTAGACGGAGCTTACGCCTACTACCACGAGCTTCCAAGCTTCCATGCAGAACGAAGATGTGACGGCTTCTGCCGCCGAAGACGCTGGCTTTGAATGGGCTCTAGATATTGATAGGTTTCCTAATTTGTAGAGGGTGACGTTAACGCCTGCGACTTATGCGGTCCTCTTTTCCCCTCTGCACCTGACGCCTATGATTCAGGGGTTCCTATATGGATCTAAATACCCGATTCCTTGCGGCTGGTTTGTCTAGTAGAATAGCGTAGGCAGCGGCTGAGAACTGGGAGAAGGGTCCTTAAAAAGAAAGTAGCGTGGTTCTCACACGACAGCAGAGCACCAAGGCCTTGAGTTGATCATTGATGACAGCCAGATCAAGTCAGGGCTTGCTTATAAGGTTTTTTTAGCGCATCCTCTGCATAGACCAAGAAGCGCAAGGGTTTCTCTATAGCAGTGGCGAGAACGCGCACTCACGCTCCCCAGAAGGAAACTGTGTATATGTAGAGTGAGGATTAGGGATAGAGAAAGACGCGTTTGAGCCAA